ATGTCCCTATAGGGAGGCTCAAGTAAAGCCAGCAGTGGGCGACACACCATGACACGTCTCTATAGGGAGGCTCAAGTAAAGCCAGCATTGGGTGACACACCATGATGCATGTCCCTATAGGGATGCTTAAGTAAAGCCGCAGTTGGTGACACACCTTGATACATGTCCCTATAGGGAAGCTCAAGTAAAGCCAGCAGTGGGCGACACACCATGATAAATGTCCCTATAGGGAGGCTCAAGTAAAGCCAGCAGTTAGTGACACACCATGATACATGTCCCTATAGGGAGGCTCAAGTAAAGCCACAGTTGGTGACACACCATGATACATGTCCCTATAGGGAGGCTTAAGTAAAGCCAGCAGTTGGTGACACACTTCGATACATGTCTCTATAGGGAGGCTCAAGTAAAGCCAGCAGTTTGTGACACACCATGATACATGTCCCTATAGGGAGGCTCAAGTAAAGCCGCAGTTGGTGACACACCTTGGTACATGTCCCTATAGGGAGGCTTAAGTAAAGCCAGCAGTTGGTGACACACCTTGATACATGTCCCTAAAGGGAGGCTCAAGTAAAGCCAGCAGTGGGCGACACACCATGATACATGTCCCTAAAGGGAGGCTCAAGTAAAGCCAGCAGTTGGTGACACACCTTGATACATGTCCCTATAGGGAGGCTCAAGTAGAGCCATCAGTTGGCAACACACCATGATACATGTCCCTATAGGGAGGCTCAAGTAAAGCCAGCAGTTGGTGACACACCATGATACATTACCCAAAAGCGAGGCTCAAGTAAAGCCGCAGTTGGCAACACACCATGATATATGTCCCTATAGGGAGGCTCAAGTAAAGCCAGCAGTTGGTGACACACCTTGATACATGTCCCTATAGGGAGGCTCAAGTAAAGCCAGCAGATGGTGACACACCTTGATACATGTCCCTATAGGGAAGCTCAAGTAAAGCCAGAAGTGGGTGACACACCATGATACATGTCCCTAAAGAGAGACTCAAGTAAAGCCAGCAGTGGGCGACACACCATGATTCATGTCTCTATAGGGAGGCTCAAGTAAAGCCAGCAGGGGCGACACACCTTGATACATTTCCCTACAGGGAGGCTCAAGTAAAGCCAGCAGTTGGTGACACACCATGATACATTTCCCAAAAGGGAGGCTCAAGTAAAGCCGCAGTTGGCAACACACCATGATACATGTCCCTATAGGGAGGCTCAAGTAAAGCCAGCAGTTTGTGACACACCATGATACATGTCCCTATAGGGAGGCTCAAGTAAAGCTAGCAGATGGTGACGCACCATGATACATGTCCCTATAGGGAGGCTCAAGTAAAGCCGCAGTTGGTGACACACCTTGATACATGTCCCTATAGGGAAGCTCAAGTAAAGCCAGCAGTGGGCGACACACCATGATAAATGTCCCTATAGGGAGGCTCAAGTAAAGCCAGCAGTTTGTGACACACCATGATACATGTCCCTATAGGGAGGCTCAAGTAAAGCCACAGTTGGTGACACACCATGATACATGTCCCTATAGGGAGGCTCAAGCAAAGCCAGCAGTGGGTGACACACCATGATACATGTCCCTATAGGGAGGCTTAAGTAAAGCCAGCAGTTGGTGACACACTTTGATACATGTCCCTATAGGGAGGCTTAAGTAAAGCCAGCAGTGGGCGACACACCATGATACATGTCCCTATAGGGAGGCTCAAGTAAAGCCAGCAGTTGGTGACACACCTTGATACATGTCCCTATAGGGAGGCTTAAGTAAAGCCAGCAGTGGGCGACACACCATGATACATGTCCCTATAGGGAGGCTCAAGTAAAGCCAGCAGGTGGAGACACACCATGATTCATGTCCCTATAGGGAGGCTCAAGTAAAGCCAGCAGATGGTGACACACCATGATACATGCCCCTATAGGGAGGCTCAAGTAAAGCCAGGAGTGGGCGACACACCATGATACATGGCCCTATAGGGAGGCTCAAGTAAAGCCAGCAGAAGGTGACACACCATGATACATGTCCCTATAGGGAGGCTCAAGTAAAGCCAGCAGATGGTGACACACCATGATACATGTCCCTATAGGGAGGCTCAAGTAAAGCCACAGTTGGTGACACACCATGATACATGTCCCTATAGGGAGGCTCAAGTAAAGCCAGCAGTGGGCGACACACCATGATACATGTCCCTAAAGGGAGGCTCAAGTAAAGCCAGCATCGGGTGACACACCTTGATACATGTCTCCATAGGGAGGCTCAAGTAAAGCCAGCAGTGGGCGACACACCATGATTCATGTCCCTATAGGGAGGCTCAAGTAAAGCCAGCAGATGGTGACACACTATGATACATGTCCCTAAAGGGAGGCTCAAGTAAAGCCAGCAGTGGGCGACACACCATGATACATGTCCCTATAGGGAGGCTCAAGTAAAGCCAGCAGTTGGTGACACACCTTGATACATGTCCCTAAAGGGAGGCTCAAGTAAAGCCAGCAGTGGGCGACACACCATGATACATGTCCCTAAAGGGAGGCTCAAGTAAAGCCAGCAGTTGGTGACACACAATGATACATGTCCCTATAGGGAGGCTCAAGTCAGGCTGCAGTTGGTGACACACCATGTTACAGGTCACAATGAGCCCAACTCTGGCTGAGTACACAGTTTACCATCCCACGGTGCAAGTAGAGTTGTAAGGTCTCTAGTGGAAGTCTGGCGTAAGAATAATCGAACAACACTGACATAATTGCATTGGTTTCGACACATTACGTTCCTCCATACCCCAAAATGCAGTATAGCCAAGCAATGAATTTAGCCATGTTTGACTTGTGAATTGGGTTTCAGATTGTTTTGAACAGTATTCCAGTCATACCATGGCATGTCAGCTTACTATGGGAGGAAAGCCCGAAGTGATGCAAATTTCAAGACATTTTCTACTTTGGTGCTGACATGGGCAAGGGTATGGTGCTAACACGGGCAAGGGTATGGTGCTGACATGGGCAAGGGTATGGTGCTAACACGGGCAAGGGTATGGTGCTGACGTTGGCAAGGGTATTGTGCTGACAGGGGCAAGGGTATTGTGCTGACATGGGCAAGGGTATTGTGCTGACATGGGCAAGGGTATGGTGCTGACAGGGGCAAGGGTATGGTGCTGACATGGGCAAGGGTATGGTGCTCACGTGGGCAAGGGCATGGTGCTGACAGGGGCAAGGGTATGGTGCTGACAGGGGCAAGGGTATGGTGCTCACGTGGGCAAGGGCATGGTGCTGACAGGGGCAAGGGTATGGTGCTGACACGGGCAAGGGTATGGTGCTGACACGGGCAGGGGTATGGTGCTGACACGGGCAAGGGTATGGTGCTGACAGGGGCAAGGGTATGGCGCTGACAGGGACAAGGGTATGGTGCTGACAGGGGCAAGGGTATGGTGCTGACAGGGACAAGGGTATGGTGCTGACACGGGCAAGGGTATGGTGCTCACTTGTCCCTGTCAGCACCATACCCTTGCCCCTGTCAGCACCATACCCTTGTCCCTGTAGGGTATGGTGCTGACACGGGCAAGGGTATGGTGCTGACAGGGGCAAGGGTATGGTGCTCACGTGGGCAAGGGCATGGTGCTGACAGGGGCAAGGGTATGGTGCTGACAGGGACAAGGGTATGGTGCTGACGTGGGCAAGGGTATGGTGCTGACATGGGCAAGGGTATGGTGCTGACAGGGGCAAGGGTATAGTGCTGACAAACGTACAAATATAATCGGGTAGCGCATGCTTCTGGCGTGACCAAGGGACACAACTCTGCTCAGCAAATTATGGCGCCTCAGACGACTGGGCCATCTGTACCTATGTCCTGTACAACTAAGACCTGAGCTCTACTCTGTGCAAATCCTACTATTGCACTTAATTGAAACAATGTGAAAAGATGGTGAGGTGAAATGGGGTTAAACATCGTGTCCAAGATTATTGCACTTGTATATAGCTGTGTGTGTGTGTGTGTGTGTGTGTGTGTGTGTGTGTGTGTGCGTGTGCGTGCGTGTGTGTGCGCCACAGTTTAACATGAATACCCCACTCAGACACAGCATACTGACTCCGAGCTGACCAGTCCTTGTTTTAGTCCCTTAGACGCCAGGCAGGGTAACAACAAGTACCATCTTTTAACGTCTTTTGGTATTACGCGGCCAGGGATCAAACCCCGGACCTTCCGCTCTCCGGGAGGACGCTCTACCACTAGACCATGGAGGCGGTCTAAGGGCTGTAGCACGTTATATGAAACACCTTATGTAATCTGAGCACTCACTGGTTCCCTCTAGGTGAGTGAGTATTGTTTTACGCCACTTTTAGCGACATTCCAACAATATCACGGAGGGGGACACCAGAAATGGGCGCTACATATTGTACCCAGGTGGGGAATCGAACCAGGGCCCTCGGCATGAGGAAGGAATGCTTAAACCACTAGGCTACCCCGCCGCTACCCTCTGGGTGGAGCCAGGCCATAGCTTCATTCGTTGGTTGAAAATAGTGACCATGTGTCGTCGTGGGTGATGGTGAGGTGAGGTGAAATGGGGTTTAACGTCGCGTCCAAGATTATTGCACTTATATAGCGACGTGCATGCACGTGTATGTGTGTGTGTGGCTGCTTGTACTAGTCCGGACTGATGCCGATTCATAGTGCTAGCTCACTGAGATACCATGCCGCAGTTTAACATGAATACCCCACTCAGACACAGTATACTGACTCCGAGCCGACCAGTCCTTGTTTTAGCCCCTTAATGCCGAGCGCCAGACAGGGTAACAACAAGTACAATCTTTAAACGTCTTTTTGTATGACGCGGCCCGGGATCGAACCCTGGACCTTCCGCTCTCCGGGCGGACGCTCTACCACTAGACCACGGAGGCGGTCCGTGGGTGATGGAGGAACATAGTAAAACAAAGACATATTGACAAGGACTCTCTAATAACGGTAAAATTAAAATACCTGTAAATAACTTTGTGGAATGGAACACTTTCTGATAGTATATCACTGTTTTAATCACCATCACTGATATAGGAAGATCTGACAGTATGTAGTTCTTGCATAACAATAAGAGACCATTTCTCTGAAATGGCAATACTGATTTCGACCATAATCAATACACTGTGAGGCCTGGACAAAACTACACATACAGGACAATAGGAAATCTTGGTAAAACATGGCAACACAACCTCAAAACTGATAAATGACCATGCTTGAAAATAGGATTCAATTGGATTGTGACTGGGCGTGATGTCATATTATGCAGAGTGTGAGCAGCTACCATGAGGCCCAGTGACCACACCACATTACCGTGTTGTCTTTCAGTAGCCACGAAGCATGGACCACATTTCAAGCATAGTCGGAAACATAACTGCGATAGTTTGTAAACAAGGCTGTCACTGCACTAAGCCAACAACCAGACTAAACAAGAAACCACAACAAACAAATAAACTGTGCGGCTGATAAAACTCGTCCAGATACTTGGAGCCCAACGCAAGTGGTGGAAAACTGTGAAAAGAGACCGTCTTCGTTCATGGGGAGCTACGAGTTGTTGGTGCTGTAGCCCAGCTAAATGACATCCAGAAAGGGGAACAGAATGCGGTCTACGGTAGCCAACGCCTGCACCACTCGGCTGCAAGACCTTCCAGACTGCACATCCAACACTGCGCAGCAAGGCTTTCTGCTTCATGAAATATTGCTTCTAAAATTCATTCCATTCTGACCCTGATATAAAAGCCCAAACAACTTGACACTCTGCCAAGAAAAACAATCTCATGTTTTTGCCCCCAAATGCCAACAAGCACTTTATTAATTTGTTGTGGTTAAGAAGACTAATCAGCAACAAGAGCAGCTAAAATTGTCAATATTTGATTTTTCGTCAACTTCATGAACATAACAGTGAGGTACCAACATCTTCAACTAAACATAAGACAATGATATAAAATACAACTAACAAAGTATAAAATGGCTGATGGAATGTTGACAATCGCTGGAAATACAGGACTCGTATAGGATTACATCGTCAGTCAGAGTACATATATATATATGGAAAAGATTTGACAATGCATCATGGGTAATGAAACTATCACTGATGATGATAACAGAGTGATCAGTAAATCACAAGACGTTTGTATGTACAACATGATGTTCTGATTTACACACATGGGAGCATCACGCTTTCATCCTCGCCACACTAAATATGTTCAACTCTCATGTGTAGCAAACCACACTGCCAAGCAAATGTTACGACCGATTATGATAAATGAGTTTAACAGTGACTTGCATCATCAACTGGTGGACAAGCTGACCCCCGGGCACACAGGAGCCAGTTTTTGTAATTATTCTTAACAAGGTTGTAACTGAAATCACATCTGGCTTGAATAGAAACTACATGAGAACGATGTCTATTTTGAATGAACGAATGAAATCATTTCATTCCAATATTGCACAATCAATGACATCATTGCTGCAGCAGTCTGGTCTTCCTATTGCAATTAGTTGTGAATCAAATCAGTGAGTGAGTGAGTGAGTTTTTACGCCGCTTTTAGCAATATTCCAGCAATATCACGGCGGGGGACACCAGAAATGGGCTTCACACATTGTACCCATGTCGGGATTCGAACCCGGGTCTGAGGCGTGACGAGCGAACGCTTTAACCACTAGGCTACCCGACCGCCCCGAATCAAATCAGCACAATTACTGAACAGAACACTTTACGTATGTTGGGGATTTCTTTATCCAGTTAACAATATGAAGACCTCTGTAAGCCATCCATGGGCTCGGACTACTGTAAGCCTATGCTACCATTTAAAAGTCTGTAAAACAGTGCCCTATGGGGTTAGTGAGTGAGTTGGGTTTTACACCGCTTTTGCAATATTTCAGCAATATTTTTGAGGGCAACCCAAGATATGGGCTTCAAACATTGTACCTAAACAGGGAATCAAACACAGACTTTAGGTGTGATGAGCAACCACTTGGCTACCTCAGCCCCACCCCACAGTGCCCTATGGAAGGAGGGAGGTGGCTGCTTGACCAAGTGGGAAACAAATGGGAGTTGACATAAGACCATAGACTACTACATGTAACATCACCATGAAGGAAAGAGATACCGCTATGTACACAGACAATATTTACAGATAAATCTATACATAATATGCAACAATAAAACAAGGTACAAATACACATGATATGCTTCACTGCCTCAGAGTGCTCAGTGGAAACACCGCAGAAACTCCAATGGAAACACTGCGGAAATTCTGCAGAAACTCCAACAAAAGACTGCAGAAATTCCATGGAAAACTGCAGGAACTCCACAGTGAGATTGACTGCCACAAGTCCAGGTATTCAGCTAAAGAAAACTCTGCACTAATTACAACTGAATCTGATACATGAACCTCGGAATAACTACCCAATCATTGGTAAGCATTTACATACATTTCCTGGGTATCAAACAAGCTAAAAAATTTATCATAATAATGGCGTTATAGCCAAAAAGAAATTGATTGAAAATAGGCCTGATGATTTCCTTCAATCAATGAATGGTTAAATCTTATTGGACATATTCTATTTATATACAATCAAATGTACAAAAATAGATAAGAAATAATCTTTGTGATACCTGAAGTATGATACCTTACAAACTTCATACAGAACACTTAAGATACATAATTAAAATACGTAATATGAAAAGTAATTAAGATACAGCTGCTGCATCAGAAAGATGGGAAGACGTAACACAGTGATTCAGTTAAAGCTTTCGGCCATGTTAACACTTAAAGCAGTTTCACACCGAACAGCCACATGTCCGCACTGGCAATGAAACCCATGTGTTTGCAAAGTCTGAAACATCTATATCCTTGTTTGTACGAGGGACTTTTTCTAGTTATGATGGAATTGTATAGAATATAGAATGACTGGACTAAAAAGAAGTATTTACAAGAAATGACCTATAAATCTGTACAATTACTTTCAAAAGCAAACAATGCATTTCAGCTTAAAACATGAACAGTTTTAAATAGAAGCTCCTAAATGAGAGGACAGGGAGACAGGCGTGCGTGTCTCTGCTGGGGAATTTCATCCATCTTTGGGGATAGTTCTGCATAATGTACCCCAAAAAGACACAACAAATTAAGGACTTGTTCATCCTCCAAAGTCACCAAAGACTACCTATAACATTCCCAAGCAACAGAAACTACTGCCTAGCAACCAATGTAGGAATACTTTTTTATCACAAATTTCTACCCCCCATGTGACCCCAAGTGTGATCAAATATGGCTCAAACATCTGACAAACTAGTACTTTGAATATCTGATGATCTGGTAATTAAAACATCAGATGACCTAGGAATTTTAATATCTGATAATCTGGTTATCAAAACATCTGACCTACTAATTAAAATATCTGACGACCTTGGAATGAAAACATTTAATGACCTAGTAATTAAAACATCTGAACTAGTAATTAAAACATAAGACGACCTGTAATTAAAAGATATGATGACATAGAAATTAAAACATAACACAGCCTAGTTATTAAAACCTAGGTTGACCTTTTAATTGAACAATATGATGACGTGGTAATTAAATTATCTGATCTAGTAATTAAAACATCATATGACCTAGCAAATAAAACATCTGACAACCTAGCAAATAAAGCATCACGTGACCTAGCAAATAAAACATCACACGACCTAGGAAATAAAACACCACATGACCTAGGAAATAAAACATCACATGACCTAGGAAATAAAACATCTGACGACCTAGCAAATAAAACATCTGACGACCTAGCAAATAAAACATCTGACGATCCGACTAAAACCTGTGAGGAACAAGTGATAATTTGTTGTGGCCTCCCGTGGCCTTTTGTGTCTGCACCTCAGTCCCACCAAGACACTACCTTAATGATCAAACAGTCATATAAAAGTTATAAAAATAGTTGTTTTGTTAAAAGATTTAACAATTGCAGATCCTCGAGATTTTCATAAACTGCTGTAGCTGAATTTGTAAATAATAAAGGTTATATCCATATAAAATAAACCATAGAATTAGTCCATTCCATTACTGGAACAAGTAGCAGCAGTATCCGAACTTTGACCTCTTAAGGTCAACCATGTGACCTTGACCTTTTGATCTGAAGCAGTTTCATCACAACCATAGATACAAAGTCTCATGATCACAGTTGTATATACTCCCTGTTAGCGCTTCACTGCATCTATCACACTTAAAGGTCACGGACGCTGTCACCTTGACCCTGAAAGATCATGTCAAGGTCACATAACCATCACTGTTGTCCTTTGAATAAATATATATATATATTTATATATATGTATATATGAGCACTTTGGCAAGTCATGTCTTGATTGTAACTCTTGTCCGGTTCCGGGAATCAGATGTCGCCACATCTGAAGCATGTCCTTCATCACGCTTTAGCAGGTTTTGTGGCGTTATCTCCTGTTCCGAAGTAGCGCACATTGGACCCCTCCTCCAGCAGTTGGTTCTCCTCGCTGTCGTGCACAACCTCCTGGTTCAACAGCATCTGCATGCTCTCACTCGTGTTGTACACGTCGTACATCGGATTGGCGAAGTTTGTGGACTGAAACAGAAGAATGTCATCAGTCTACATAACAATGAATGACTAAACATTTGAGCAGCCACTGTGTCAAATTCCCACATCATGACAATAGCACAGTGTCATCCTACACAGGCCAGGGCAATGGTTCTGAATGTCATACAGCTGGAATGGAGATCACTAACCGTCTTACAGTGATTCATAAACATAAGTTTTATTCTGTTTAACATTTGGATAATATATTTACTGAAATGGTTCATAATTTACCATTGCACCATTGTTTGCTGATAAAAACATGCAAATTTATGCTCAGTTAAATTGAAGATATCATAAATATGATTATTGAAATCAGTTTGCGCAAATTTGACAATTTATACAGGCTTCTAATATGAAACGCATTCCATATTCATTCAAGCAATTCAGGTTCAAGAAAATTTACAAGTTTTATGCTCCCTTTGGTCCTAACCTCTGTATGTTTGAAAATGTCATGATATATTTATATATAAATGTGTACTTTGCTATCAGGAATAAATGTGCAAAATATTGGTTTATTCGTCCCATGTTTAATGAAGCCTCGACTGTTTGAAATCAGCCACCCTCTTTCGAACACCTTATGCTAAAATTAATCCAGCAGGTAGCTAGGGATAAGACGCGTAACAACAAATCAGCAGGCTAAAGGTTAAGCAAACCTATTACAATTGGACACACTAAGACAGCATTTGTAGCCCATTTCACATGCTTGGCTTTCAAGTGCTCGTCTGTCACGTGCTTGGTGCTAACTGACGTATAACATGTTGGCCTCTCTCCCCTCTTGTCTGAATCGAATCGTCCAACCTTGGCGTGTCATGTGTGGTAGGATAGTTACACAGAGCCGAGATACGCCAGAACAATAGTCATAACACAAAGACCCTAGTGGTATAACGTCACTTACAGCATCGCCTCTAAATATAGGATTATTTCCGAGTGGGTCTCTCTCGTCCGGCTCCTCCTCGTGGCGCAGGTACATGGGGTTCTTCACATCCATCCTGTTGGGTTCCTTCATCCGCTTGTGGCCGTACTGCTCCACCCTGCACACATTGTTACACATCACCACAGGTGTATACATCATGGAGGCTCGCGGGGAAACGTTTCATTCTTCTATGTATTATCTTCTATATAAGCATTACAGTCATATGTGACTCGAACATGACTGGCATTCTGCTTAATAGTGCAGGAAAAACAGTTCTTAGAACACTCTCAAAAGAACCAGATAAAATATTTTCCAAAATGGCACCTTGATATTACTAAAATCTCATCGAATTATGTACCTCCTTCTGACTGCCCTTGACATTACATACGTGCCCCCGATCCCCTCGACATTACATACCTGCCCCCGATCCCCTCGACATTACGTACCTGCCCCCAATCCCCTCGACATTACATACCTGCCCCCGATCCCCTCGACATTACGTACCTCCCCCGATCCCCTCAACATTACATACCTGCCCCCAATCCCCTCGACATTACATACCTGCCCCCGATCCCCTCGACATTACATACCTGCCCCCGATCCCCTCGACATTACGTACCTCCCCCGATCCCCTCAACATTACATACCTGCCCCCAATCCCCTCGACATTACATACCTGCCCCCGATCCCCTCGACATTACATACCTGCCCCCGATCCCCTCGACATTACGTACCTCCCCCGATCCCCTCAACATTACATACCTGCCCCCGATCCCCTCGACATTACATACCTCCCCCGATCCCCTCGACATTACGTACCTCCCCCGATCCCCTCGACATTACGTACCTCCCCCGATCCCCTCAACATTACATACCTGCCCCCAATCCCCTCGACATTACATACCTGCCCCCGATCCCCTCGACATTACGTACCTCCCCCGATCCCCTCGACATTACGTACCTCCCCCGATCCCCTCAACATTACATACCTGCCCCCAATCCCCTCGACATTACATACCTGCCTCCGATCCCCTCAACATTACATACCTGCCTCCGATCCCCTCGACATTACATACGTGCCCCCGATCCCCTCGACATTACATGGCTCCCTGTGATCCCCTCAACATTACATAGCTCCCTGTGATCCCCTCGACATTACATACCTCCCCCGATCCCCTCGACATTACGTACCTGCCCCCGATCCCCTCGACATTACATACCTGCCCCCGATCCCCTCGACATTACATACCTGCCCCGATCCCCTCGACATAACATACCTGCCCCCGATCCCCTCGACATTACATACCTGCCCCCGATCCCCTCGACATTACATACCTGCGCCCGATCCCCTCGACATAACATACCTGCCCCCGATCCCCTCGACATTACATACCTGCCCCCGATCCCCTCGACATTACATACCTGCCCCCGATCCCTTCGACATTACATACCTGCCTCCGATCCCCTCGACATTACATACCTGCCTCCGATCCCCTCGACATTACATACCTGCCCCCGATCCCCTCGACATAACATACCTGCCCCCGATCCCCTCGACATTACATACCTCCCCCAATATTACGCACCTCCACCAGATCCCCTCGACATTACATAGCTCCCCCCAACATTACATACCTCCCTGTGATCCCCTCGACATTACATACCTCCCCCTAATCTCCTCGACATTACATGGCTCCCCCAACATTACATACCTCCACACATTCCCCCGACATTATGTACCTCTCCCCGATCCCCTCGACATTACATAGCTCTCCCTGTGATCCCCTTGACATTACATAGCTCCCTGTGATCCCCTCGACATTACATAGCTCCCTGTGATCCCCTCAACATTACATACCTCCCCCTAATCCCCTCGACATTACATAGCTCCCCCAACATTACATACTTCCACTCATTCCCCCGACATTATGTACCTCTCCCCGATCCCCTCGACATTACATAGCTCCCTGTGATCCCCTCGACATTACATACCTCACTGTGATCCCCTCGACATTACATAGCTCCCCCAACATTACATACCTCCACACATTCCCCCGACATTATGTACCTCTTCCCAATCCCCTCGAATTAACCTAGCTTCGCCAGACATTACATAGCTCCCCCAACATTCCGTACCTCTGTTTCCTCCTGTAGAAGACGATACCAAGGACGAGGAGCAGCACCAGGACCAGGGCTATTGCCGGGATGATGATGTACAACGGGTCTGGAAGAGACAACGTCAGGTCATCACAAACATTAGAGACACAAGAGACTTATGGAAGAGTCTCAGTAAAAGCTTTCATCAGTAGTTTTGTTATATAACTGAAAGTCAGCTCAATGTTTAGGGAATGTAGACAATGTCTACAGCAGGATCAACTCACTGAGGACACCCTGGGGCTGGTGGACGACTGGCTTGGTTATCCCGCTGTCTTCACATAATGTCCCAGAGAAACCTTCCTTACAACTGAAAAAAGCAGAATTATTTTGTTGCAGTTGTTTAAAGATACTCTTCAATAAATACACAAAGTAAAAACAACAACAACACAAGCACAATGTTACATGAAATGAATTCAGTTGTCTTTACATCAGGCACCATGTCAGCCTTGAATTCGTCCGTAATCCCTCACGCACAGATCAGAAGGGTTGACATGGATGTATGGAGGAAATAATGTCATGATCAAACAAAAAGATCAAACATATTCTACTCATAGGCGGTTAAAAAACAGGACAGATTAACTATAGTAATATTAAAGAATCGGGTGTTCTTAAACTTCTTATGAGTAGAAAACTACAATATTGTTTGATCAGCCTTTCCCTTCCCTTTAAAAATTACGGACCAAAATGACTGCTGTCCAAATATGTTGTAAGTCACTAGAACTTCTGAAGCTATAATAAATTTGACACCACCTTGGCTCAAGAAGAATGTGTTTACAAGTAATTGTGTAATTGTGTGCACAATTCAGGCTTCAGAAAAAGCCTGTGTACTTAACAAGAAACCAGCACATGATGAATACATGGTCTTCAACTGACAGACACTTCAGACAAAGCTCTTGCTTTCAAACATGTCATTTTACATCAACTTCTGTTGTCTCATTTAACCCTTTACCTCTGCAAATGTGGCGGCTATTGCATGATAGCAAGTTGTTAGGGGAGCTCAAGACAAGCAATGGATGATTGTTATAATGTTAGTTTCGATGATACAGACTGGTGAGACAGCATGGAGTAAAGCAGCCAGGAGTCCTGCAGTATTCTCAAAGCATGGATCACAACACACAGATGTTACAAGTAGGCCTTGGCCCTGTCTCACAGCGCTACACCTGGCATATTTGCCATAGGAATTACAACAATTATAGAGGCACAGTGATTTTGTATGTGTATGATAAAGTACAGGAATAACGGCGGTTACAGAGGCATGATCATTCTGTATGTCTATGATAAAGTACAGGAATTACGGTGGTTACAGAGGCACGATCATTCTGTATGTCTATGATAAAGTACAGGAATTACGGTGGTTACAGAGGTACGATGATTCTGTATGTCTATGATAAAGTACAGGAATTACGGCGGTTACAGAGGCACGATCATTCTGTATGTCTATGATAAAGTACAGGAATTACGATGGTTACAGAGGTACGATCATTCTGTATGTCTATGATAAAGTACAGGAATTACGGTGGTTACAGAGGCACGATGATTCTGTATGTGTATGATAAAGTACAGGAATTACGGTGGTTACAGAGGTACGATGATTCTGTATGTCTATGATAAAGTACAGGAATTACGATGGTTACAGAGGTACGATCATTCTGTATGTCTACGATAAAGTACAGGAATTACGGCGGTTACAGAGGCACAATCATTCTGTATGTCTACGATAAAGTACAGGAATTACGACGGTTACAGAGGTACGATCATTCTGTATGTCTATGATAAAGTACAGGAATTACGGCGGGTTCAGAGGCACGATCATTCTGTATGTCTATGATAAAGTACAGGAATAACGACGGTTACAGAGGTACGATCATTCTGTATGTCTATGATAAAGTACAGGAATTATGACGGTTACAGAGGTACATTCATTCTGTATGTCTATGATAAAGTACAGGAATTACGGCGGTTACAGAGGCACGATGATTCTGTATGTCTATGATAAAGTACAGGAATTACGGCGGTTACAGAGGCAAGATGATTCTGTATGTCTATGATAAAGTACAGGAATTACGATGGTTACAGAGGCACGATAATTCTGTATGTCTATGATAAAGTACAGGAATTACGGCGGTTACAGAGGTACGATGATTCTGTATGTCTATGATAAAGTACAGGAATTACGGCGGTTACAGAGGTACGATGATTCTGTATGTCTATGATAAAGTACAGGAATTACGGCGGTTACAGTGGTACATTCTTTCTGTATGTCTATGATAAAGTGCAGGAATTACGGCGGTTACAGAGGTACGACCATTCTTTATGTCTATGATAAGGTACAGGAATTACGACGGTTACAGAGGTACGATCATTCTGTATGCCTATGATAAAGTACAGGAATTATGACGGTCACAGAGGTACGATCATTCTGTATGTCTATGATAAAGTACAGAAATTACGGCGGTTACAGAGGCACGATCATTCTGTATGTCTATGATAAAGTACAGGAATTACGGCGGTTACAGAGGCACGGTGATTTTGCATGTCTATGATAAAGTACAGGAATTACGATGGTTACAGAGGTACGACCATTCTGTATGTCTATGATAAAGTACAGAAATTACGGCGGTTACAGAGGCACGGTGATTTTGCATGTCCATGATAAAGTACAGGAATTACGATGGTTACAGAGGTACGACCATTCTGTATGTCTATGATAAAGTACAGGAATTACGATGGTTACAGAGGTACGATGTTTCTGTATGTCCATGATAAAGTACACGTATTATGACAATTGTAGAGCTATGATATGTCTATACATCTATGCATACCAATAACAAGTCGTAGAGCTATGATCACTTTGCGAAACAGGGTCGAGGAAATACTTATCTCAGAGATGCCAACCCCTATTGAAGCATTGGAGTAATCAGGTGGGTAAAAACGTGTAATCTTAATGTGGAAAAGAGTAATGTTAATAGTACCATGGCACAGGTTTTCGCTACAACATTTTCGTTAGGCCTAGACGTGAAACATGGGTACACAGGTATTGTCGCTAGGCTTAGACGTGAGTGAGTGAGTTTGGTTTAACGCCGCTTTTAACAGTATTCCAGTTATATCGCGGCGTGTCAGCTTAATGTGGGAGGAAAGCCCGAAGTGATGCAGGTCTCAGATGCTTACCACTTCGGTGAAACCCACGGGCACGGGTATGGTGCTGACAAACCTAGAAACATAATCGGGGCGAACCGGGATTCGAACCCACAATCATAGGTTTCTGGCGTGCCTTAGGGACGCAACTCTGCACAGCGAATCGCGGCGCCTTAGACGACTGGGCCACCCGTGCCCCCGCCTAGACGTGAAACATGGGTACACAGGTATTGATGCTAGGCCTAGACGTGAAACATGGGTACACAGGTATTGATGCTAGGCCTAGACGTGAAACATGGGTACACAGGTATTGATGCTAGGCCTAGACGTGAAACATGGGTACACAGGTATTGATGCAAGGCCTAGACGTGAAACATGGGTACACAGGTATTGACGCTAGGCCTAGACGTGAAACATGGGTACACAGGTATTGACGCTAGGCCTAGACGTGAAACATGGGTACACAGGTATTGACGCTAGGCCTAGACGTGAAACATGGGTACACAGGTATTGACGCTAGGCCTAGACGTGAAACATGGGTACACAGGTATTGATGCTAGGCCTAGACGTGAAACATGGGTACACAGGTATTGATGCTAGGCCTAGACGTGAAACATGGGTACACAGGTATTGACGCAAGGCCTAGACGTGAAACATGGGTACACAGGTATTGACGCTAGGCCTAGACGTGAAACATGGGTACACAGGTATTGATGCTAGGCCTAGACGTGAAACATGGGTACACAGGTATTGATGCTAGGCCTAGATGTGAAACATGGGTACACAGGTATTGACGCAAGGCCTAGACGTGAAACATGGGTACACAGGTATTGATGCTAGGCCTAGACGTGAAACATGGGTACACAGGTATTGACGCAAGGCCTAGACGTGAAACATGGGTACACAGGTATTGATGCTAGGCCTAGACGTGATACATGGGTACACAGGTATTGACGCTAGGCCTAGACGTGAAACATGGGTACACAGGTATTGACGCTAGGCCTAGACGTGAAACATGGGTACACAGGTATTGACGCTAGGCCTAGACGTGAAACATGGGTACACAGGTATTGATGCTAGGCCTAGACGTGATACATGGGTACACAGGTATTGATGCTAGGCCTAGACGTGATACATGGGTACACAGGTATTGACGCTAGGCCTAGACGTGAAACATGGGTACACAGGTATTGACGCTAGGCCTAGACGTGAAACATGGGTACACAGGTATTGATGCTAGGCCTAGACGTGATACATGGGTACACAGGTATTGACGCTAGGCCTAGACGTGAAACATGGGTACACAGGTATTGACGCTAGGCCTAGACGTGAAACATGGGTACACAGGTATTGACGCTAGGCCTAGACGTGAAACATGGGTACACAGGTATTGACGCAAGGCCTAGACGTGAAACATGGGTACACAGGTATTGACGCTAGGCCTAGACGTGAAACATGGGTACACAGGTATTGACGCTAGGCCTAGACGTGAAACATGGGTACACAGGTATTGATGCTAGGCCTAGACGTGAAACATGGGTACACAGGTATTGATGCTAGTAATACAGCCACACGGGACAGCATCATTATTTCAAAAATAGGGTGATAAAGCTCAAAATAGGCAGAACACATTACTCAATTTGCATTTGAATTATTCCATATGATAAACCTCCAAATTGAAAGTCAAAGCATTCCATTAACTTCGAAAATTTGGACATAAAATGACAATAGCACTGGAAAATATAAGTTCCATAACAATTTCCAACACCTCATCTATCGGGGCCACATGTTAAACTCGTATTTTGTATATCTTTGATAATTTAAAATTACATTTAACTAGAAAGCATTTAATTCAAGCTGCCGTGTGATCAAGCCTCCCAAACCCATTATTTTAGCAAAGCGACAAAAAAAAGGCATCGGAAAAAGGCACAATACATACTATACAGCTTTGTTGCCGAAACATGTGGTGAAAGGTCCACACATTCACAACATGCATCACGTGACAATACATTCAGAACTGTACTGCAGAAAGACAACGTGGTATTTCGAGGAACGAATTACTTTCCTGTACAATGTGTCATGTGACAGGGGCATTAACAATTTGATCGCCGTGATATTTAATGCATATAAATAATATGTGAAAACAATGTCAAAAATTGTACTTTGGGAAGGACAAGCATAATAGCGTCATTTCGGGTAACAAGAGTATTTATTACGCCAACAGCGTACTGGTTGGCATCTCTGTGTTGTGTCACCATCGTAAGTTTCTACAATAACAGCCCCAACTCCATCCCACTGCACGAGTGTGTATCAACGATTGATGGCAGCGTCTAGAGACAAGTAAGACTCTCACATGCAGAACTGACAGGTGGCATTGTGGTGGCGGCCGAGGTGACAGCCGTCACACCTTCCTCCATTGTGACAGACACCTGCACACGCATGCTGGCAGAGCAGCCCCACATGACCATAGAAACACCTGTTAGTGGACACAGACAGAGGTCACAATACGCCAGGCACTGAAGCTCACCTGTACTATCAGAAATCATACGTGACCAACCAGGAGAAAAGGGACTCTACGGGTGCTAGGATACAACTGTGCTGTGACGTCATAAAGACAGGCATTTGACGTCAACTTACTTCCGTAATAACGCCATGTGAGTGGACTGTACAGAAACATTTAACTTTCTCTTGTCAGTTCATAATGTAATAAAAACATTATTTCAAAACACTGCAGCATACATGTCTACTTTCAATAATTTAGAGTGAGTGAGTGAGTGAGTGAGTGAGTATGGTTTTACGCCGCTTTTAGCAATATTCCAGCAATATCACGGCCGGGACACCACAAATGGGCTTCACACATTGTACCCATGTCGGGAATTGAACCCGGGTCTTCGGCGTGACGAGCGAACGCTTTAACCACTAGGCTACCCAACCGCCCCCAATAAATTAGACATTACATCTAAAGTCTCCAATCATTACATCAACAGTAATGCAGCTAAAAAAGGGACTTTGCAGAAAATGAGTCCAATGTTTGGTGCCCTGTATCTCTGCAATACTTATGAATTGAAGCTTATGAATTGTATTTTTGGGCTCCTAAGATACTGTAGTTTTAAGATATAATAAGTAGTCCAAATGTGATTTTTCACCGTTAGGTCCCTTACCTCATGGCTGGTCACATATTTCAATCAAGGACCAAACATTATCAGTTGGACATTGAAACCAATCTGAGAAATAGGTGAGGAATGGGCGAAAGATGTTGTCATCGATGAGAAATATTTCTGTATTACACGTATGACATGTTATGCATCGAAATAATTATGAAGCTATTTCAGGAAGAAGTCACGTACAGTATATTCCGGATGGCACATTTTAATTGATAAACGGCAAACCCTCGATCACAGGGGGGCTACCGAGGAAGAGGAGTTACGTTCAATGCTTACTTACAGATGGACAGACGGACAACGGAGGAAGAACAATGACACAGCTCACACTGACTTTGTCAGAGTGACTAAACATGCTGGACAGACATGATGAACACAGCCATGATGAACACAGTCACCTCTCCCATACCCAAACACAGGAAATAAAATAAATCTATAGTAAAGTATTAAAGATACAGAACATGTTATGTTTATATGCAAGAGAAAAATGGAGAATTCAAAGGATTTATCAGAAACAAGGACATCATTAGAAACATAAATAAATCATATATAAAAGCAAACAATTTGAAATCAAAAGTGTTAAATTTGAAGCTGAGCTGTGAGTTAAATAAGAAGCCTCGCTGATGTGTTCACAGATATGGAGGGGGCACGGGTGGCCTAGTCGTTTAAGGCACCGCGATTCGCTGTGCAGAGTTGCGTCCCTTGGGCACGCCAGAAACCTATGATTGTGGGTTCGAATCCCGGTTCGCCCCGATTATGTTTCTAGGTTTGTCAGCACCATACCCGTGCTCCTGGGTTTCACCGAAGTGGTAAGCGTCTGAGACCTGCATCACTTCGGGCTTTCCTCCCACATTAAGCTGACACGCCGCGATATAACTGGAATAATGGTAAAAGCGGCGTTAAACCCAACTCACTCACTCACTCACTCACAGATATGGAAGGTCAAGCTATATATGAATAGACATATTGACCCAGATTACAACAGAAGACAGCAAGCTCAGCCCATCTCCTCATGATCAGGCACAACAAGAAAGTGAGCGGTGAGATTCCATCTCCAGTGACATCAATATGACAGCTGTAACAGCTGTGACAGCTGTAAATGGACATGCTGCACATCATCCCACCCTATGAGGAGTCAAACCTAGGAGTACTCCAGTAAGGAGTGAACGCATTACCACAAGGCCAACCCATCACCTAGGTGATCTGACCCGTGAAGGTCCGGGATAGAATAGGTCTTCAGCAACCCATACTTGCCGTAAAAGGAGACTATGCTTGTCGTAAAAGGCGACTAACAGGATCGGGTGGTCAGGCTCGCTGACTTGGTTGATGCATGTCATCAATCCCAATTGCGTGGATCGATGCTCATGATATCAATCACTGGATTGTCTAATCCAGACTCGATTATTTACAGACCGCCGTCATATAGCTGGAATATTGCTGAGTGCGGCGTAAAACAACAAACAAACAAACAAAACAAACAACATAGGTGATCTGACATGACTGAATACGGTTTCATGCCACTTTTAGCAATATTCCTGCAATATCACAGCAATGGACAGAAATGGGTTTCACATATTGTACCCATGTGGGGAATCGAACCCTAGCCTAAGAAGGCTCAAGGCTTTAACCACTAGGCTACCCCACCACACTATATACAAACAGACATGAAGTTATTCTTGAGTTGTTACAAAAGATGGTGTATAAACAAAGATGAAGCTCTATCATTAGTACCATGCAACAACCCCAACAACTCATCCAAAACCAAATCAAACCATTCCAAGGGGAGTTAACTCCATGTTGTTACCTGCACTTGTACTGGCCGTCTTTAGTGTGGATACACTCCCCGCCCTGACCACACCGACATGAGTCGCACCTGGGGCCCTTGTGTACACTACTGCACAGGCACGTCTTCTTCCCGTTCTCTGGAAACAGACACAGTATCCCGTGTTATGGGTTTTCGGACGCTTAAGGCACAGTCGTTGTATTCTTTCTTATCACATGAACAACTGTAAAACATCTCATTCACTCATCTCACTCATTCACTTTGTCTTCAAAACAAGCCATGATCTGAGGATGTACAATTTTGGGGTGATGCTACACCCACCCTGTAATAGCACGAGTAATCACCACAATCACGGTTGTCCCAAAACCTCTGATCTGACAATATACTCACTGTAGTTAATATACAGTCACTGAAGAAACGGTACTGAAGAAACCAGAGGTTCCCGCTTTGGCATCATGACACTACCTGTAAGAACTTAACACATATTCCCACACCGCCTCTTCTATATTACACATAGCCCAAGTTACCATGTGTCTTTCTGGAATATGTACAAATAACACTGATCTGCTACTGACACTTGTATAACATGCCACCGGTACCTGCTGGGAAGTCGGTACAAGCACAATGTCGGCTTCTCTGAAGATATCATATGATGCAAAGAGGAAGCAATTAATACATTTCAAATCCTTCTGCAGCTATGGCTCCCTTCTGCTACTATGGCTCCCTTCTGTTGCTATGGCTCCCTTCGGCTGCTTTGGCTCCCTTCGGCTGCTTTGGCTCCCTTCTGTTGCTATGGCTCCCTTCTGCTGCTATGGCTCCCTTCTGCTGCTATGGCTCCCTTCTGCTGCTATGGCTCCCTTCTGTTGCTATGGCTCCCTTCTGCTACTATGGCTCCCTTCTGCTACTATGGCTCCCTTCTGTTGCTATGGCTCCCTTCTGCTACTATGGCTCCCTTCTGTTGCTATGGCTCCCTTCTGTTGCTATGGCTCCCTTCTGTTGCTATGGCTCCCAATCTGAGGTTATGGCCCCCCTCTGTGGCTGTGGCTCCCATCTATAGGTACAGGCTCCCATTTACAGCTATGGCTCCCTACCTGTGGCTATGGCTCCCTATCTGTGGCTGCGGCATCTTTCTCTAGTTATGGCTCTATTCTGTGGCTTTGGCTCCTTTCTGTAGCTATGGCTCCCTTCTGAAAAGTGGCTCCCTATCTATAGTTACAGGCTCCCTGTCTGTGGCTATGGCTCCCTTCTGTAGCTAAGGCTCGATTCTGTAGGTACAGGCATCCTATCTATAGCAGTTGCTCCATGTTTGTAGCTGTGTCTACCTGTCTGTGCAGCTATCAAGCAGACTTACCTAATATGCATTTTCCACCATTCTTGCAGAAGCCAGAACAGTTGGGGCTGATGCTGACACAAGCAGGGGCGGGGCCGGGGCACTTGTCATTACATGTACAGCGATCTGAAGCAAAATGAATGAATGAATGAATGAATGAATGAATGAATGAATGAATGAATGAATGAATGAATGAATGAATGAATGAATGAATGAATGAATGAATGAATGAATGAATGAATGAATGAATGAATGGTGGTTTTATGCTGATTTAAGCAATATTCCAGCAATATCATGGCGGGGGACACCAGAAATGGGCTTCACATATTGTACCCATGTCGGGGAAACGAACCCGGCATCTTTGGCGGGACGAGTGAATGCTTTAACCACTATGCTCAACCAATTTGAAGGTAGTGGGGGATAGACATGGGTTCAATTCCCCACATGAGTACACAGTGTGAAGCCCATTTCTGGTGTCCCCTGGCGTGATATTGCTGGAATATTGCTAAAAGTTGAATGAAACTGTACTCACTCAACACTCACCCAATTGTTGCTGGTTGTGTTCTATATGTCATATATCCCCACTTGATGCTGTGTTGTTATATCATATATCCCCACTTGATGTGAGTGTTGTTATAACACATATCCCCTACTTGTGTTTATATCCCCACTTGATGCTGTGTTGTTATATCATATATCCCCACTTGATGTGAGTGTTGTTATAACACATATCCCCTACTTGTGTTTATATCCCCACTTGATGCTGTGTTGTTATAACACATATCCCCTACTTGTGTTTATATCCCCACTTGATTCTAGTGTTGTTATAACACATATCCCCTACTTGTGTTTATATCCCCACTTGATGTGAGTGTTGTTATAACACATATCCCCTACTTGTGTTTATATCCCCACTTGATTCTAGTGTTGTTATAACACATATCCCCTACTTGTGTTTATATCCCCACCTGATGTGAGTGTTGTTATAACACATATCCCCTACTTGTGTTTATATCCCCACTTGATTCTAGTGTTGTTATAACACATATCCCCTACTTGTGTTTATATCCCCACTTGATGCTGTGTTGTTATAACACATATCCCCTACTTGTGTTTATATCCCCACTTGATGCTGTGTTGTTATAACACATATCCCCTACTTGTGTTTATATCCCCACTTGATGCTGTGTTGTTATAACACATATCCCCTACTTGTGTTTATATCCCCACTTGATACTAGTGTTGTTATAACACATATCCACTACTTATGTTTATATCCCCACTTGATGCTGTGTTGTTATAACACATATCCCCTACTTGTGTTTATATCCCCACTTGATACTAGTGTTGTTATAACACATATCCACTACTTGTGTTTATATCCCCACTTAATGCTGTGTTGTTATAACACATATCCTCTACTTGTGTTTATATCCCCACTTGATGTGATTGTTATAACACATATCCCCTACTTGTGTTTATATCCCCACTTGATGCTGTGTTGTTATAACACATATCCCCTACTTGTGTTTATATCCCCACTTGATACTAGTGTTGTTATAACACATATCCCCTACTTGTTGTGTATATATCCCCCACATAATGCTAGTGCACCATCTATCCTGTAAGTAATGTTCTAACAGACCTGAAGGTGTGTTGCTCTGACACATGTAGTCACACGTGTGTTCTGTGCACTGAGTGGAGGGCTCAAAGGTCTTCGGGCAGTGACACGTGCGCTGGTTTTGGCTGTCCACCATACAAATGCCACTGTTGTAGCAGAATAGATCCTCACACTGCTCACAGCGATGGCCTGCAACATACAAGACCCAGACATCCAGAGGAACAGTCACAGGAACGTCAAAACCTGAGCCCATTTGCACATAGCAATCTTAGCACTACAACAATCGTAACTCCCATACTCTAACATAGACTTAAGATCGCTTTGTGTAAGTGGGCCCTGCATGAGAGAGTGAAAGGGGTAGTGCAGTGCGCAGTAGGATCTGCAGTAGGGCCTCCACCTTGTCCTGGAGTAGTCAGAGCCACCAGTTAATGAACCATACCCCTGTAAACCTGATCCTGGAGTAGTCCAGCCACCAGTTAATGAACCAAGCCCCTGTAAACCTGATCCTGGAGTAGTCCAGCCACCAGTTAATGAACCATGCCCCTATAAACCTGATCCTGGAGTAGTCCAGCCACCAGTTAATGAACCATGCCCCTATAAACCTGATCCTGGAGTAGTCCAGCCACCAGTTAATGAACCATGCCCCTATAAACCTGATCCTAAAGTAGTCGAGCCACCAGTTAATGAACCAAGCCCCTATAAACCTGATCCTGGAGTAGTCGAGCCACCAGTTAATGAACCATGCCCCTATAAACCTGATCCTGGAGTAGTCGAGCCACCAGTTAATGAACCAAGCCCCTATAAACCTGATCCTGGAGTAGTCCAGCCACCAGTTAATGAACCATGCCCCTATAAACCTGATCCTGGAGTAGTCCAGCCACCAGTTAATGAACCATGCCCCTATAAACCTGATCCTAAAGTAGTCGAGCCACCAGTTAATGAACCAAGCCCCTATAAACCTGATCCTGGTCTCTCAACACTTGTGCAAACAGGCAACAGTTCACCTGGCCAACAATCAAACCACTATCCCGAGCAGAGGCCACATCCTGTTCTACTACATACATGACAGAGATCTTGGGGATGTTAGAAACCTATGATTGTGAGTTTGATCCCTGATTGCCCTGATTATTATATCTAGGTTTGTTGTGGGTTTCCTCAAAGTGTTAAACATCTAAGGCCTGCATCACTTCGGGCTTGCCGTGACATTACTGTTATACTCTTCAAAGCATCGTTAACTCATTCACTCACTCACTCACACTCACTCACATACATGAGAGGGTACTGACACCCGAGTTAGGTCGGAACCCACATGGGAAAGTGGGTGGGGACTAAAGGTACGTGGCATGCCTACCTTTGAAGCCTTCCTTGCATAGACACTGGGGTTGGCCGCTGCGCAGGGTGGTGCAGTTCAGGTAGTTGCCACTGATGCAGTACTGCCCACACCACGTCTTCTTCTTCTCGGTGCATCTCTCGCCAGAGTAGCGCACGTCACAGCTGCCAAAGACATGGATACATTTGGATGCAGATGTCAATATTATCTACAGTCTCGTTACTTTACACCCAAAGCAAGCAGCTTAATATTACTAACTACATATAGTTATCTAAAAATCAAACACTGTATTTGAGTATTGAGATGTCTGACTGTCCACATCAGGTGATCAAAAGAACAGCAGATTATGACAGCTGCTCATCGTAAGAATAGTCGATCACAGGAACAGCTGATCACCAGAACAGCCAATCAAAGGAACAGCTGATCACCAGAACAGCCGATCACCAGATGAGCTGATCACAAGAACAGTTGATCACAGGAACAGCTGATCACCAGAACAGCCGATCAACAGAACAGTTGATCACAAGAACAGCTGATCACAGGAACAGCCGATCACCAGAACAGCCGATCACAGGAACAGCTGATCACCAGAACAGCTGATCACAGGAACAGCCGATCACCAGAACAGCCGATCACCAGAACAGCCGATCACCAGAACAGCTGATCACAGGAACAGCTGACCACCAGAACAGCTGATCACCAGAACAGCCAATCACCAGAACAGCCGATCACAGGAACAGCCGATCACAGGAACAGCTGATCACTGGAACAGCCCGATGTCTCCCTGTGTGGTGAACTCACATGCACAGGGCCTTCTTGGTGATCTTGTCGATGAGGCAGGTCCCGTGCTTGCAGTAGCCGGCACACAGGTAGGTCCGGCAGCGGGGTCCCTCATAGCCGGGGGGGCAGCTGCAACATCCATACACATGGAACATGACACAGGTGCAACAGACAACAAAGGTGTAACTGCCAACAGGTTTGTTTCTTGTTTAACGCCGCACTCAGCAATATTCCAGCTATATGATTGCGGCCTGAATATAATCGAGTCTGGACCAGACAATAAAGTGATTGACATCATGAGCATCCATCCACGTAACTGGGATACAATGACATGCATCAACCAAGTCAGCGAGCCTGACGACCCGATCAAGTTAGTCACCTCTTACGACTGCATAAACAAAATAAACTGCATAATAATGAAAATTCCAATGATAAACTGGAACACACCTGAAGATACCTGAAAGTGATTACTGTGAACAACCCTCTCACCTGCAGGTGGGACTTGAGTCGTGGTCCTTGGGCATGCTGCATGAGCCGCCGCCGTCGCAGTAGTTGTCACAGACGTTGACCTCGCACTTGTCCCCAGTGTAGCCGACCTGGCAGCTGAGAGAACAACACTCACTCAGCATGTGTAGTCTTGTGTGTCTCAAATAACATCTAGCCAGCTTACTATGTCTTTTATCCATATCCAGCCCCGAGGCCATATGAAGAAGCATGGAATACTCAAATCCCCCTCCAATACTACTGCCATTGTCAGTCTAAGTCAAAGTCGTTGCCATGGAAACTCGAAAAATAATTTTTTCAAAAATCCCAAGTTATTAAAAGGCACCAGTTCACCACTAGACCTATCAATGTGCCAAGTTTGGTTGAGATATCTCTCATAGTTTTTGTGTTCTGCTCCGGAAACGAAACATGACAGACAGACCGATGGACAGCACCCATTCCTATATCTCCCTTCCCCTTTGTGGCGGGGGATAATAACTTATTATATCACAAAAAGAGTAGGATACACGGTTAGGGTCATATACGGATAAATATGAGAATACAAAAGATCAGGTAGGTACTACTTTCAGTGTTTACAAACAAATATGGCTTCGGCCTTGTCAATCAGTGATTGAGTCAGAAACAATGATTGGACAAATTACTTGGATATCTGTTATCATTATCCAAATGTTAGTATATGATACCAAAATTAGGTGTCAAAAAGCAACTTTGTGAAGAAATTCAGTGAGGACAATCGGGATATTAGTTGCCTGTGCTTGTATAGCTATTTTTCTCCAAACTTATATCTCTGATATTTAATGTTTCGTTTTGTCACTGTGTGAGATAAATGCTACATTTTTGCAATCCCCTTATGAAACGTTATGAAACGGCCTGGCAGACTCTAAACAAACGCCACGTTTCATTGACTAAAGTAGCTTCCGTTGTGCTCAAGGGCATGCGATTACTCTAGCCAGTTGACTAAAGGAATCATTGACAAAGGTGAAAAAGTATCTGAAGGAATTTGTCATTTTCACTATATGGTAGTTACACCACTGTCTACAAGACTAATATCAGTTGGAACTCTGCTGACATTTGTCACTGTCTGACTGACTAGTCACTGTCCGACTGACAAGTCACTGTCTGACTGACAAGTCACTGTCTGACTGACTAGTCACTGTCTGACTGACTAGTCACTGTCTGACTGACTAGTCACTGTCCGACTGACAAGTCACTGTCCGACTGACAAGTCACTGTCCAACTGACAAGTCACTGTCCGACTGACAAGTCACTGTCCGACTGACAAGTCACTGTCCGACTGACAAGTCACTGACATTGTGATGTGATGTACAGAAACCTATCTGCACTTAGGATTACTGACAATAACTACCGGTACATAATTACTGACAATCACTACATAATTACTGCGATCACTACATTATTACTGCGATCACTACATAATTACAATCACTACATAATTACTGCGATCACTGCATAATTACAATCACTACATAATTACTGCGATCACTACATAATTACAATCACTACGTATCTACAATCACTACATAATTACAATAACTACGTATCTATTGACACTTACCTGCATTTAGGCTCGTTGTACATCGTCATTGTGCAGTTTCCGTTCACACAGAAGTTCTGGCAGGGTTTGACGAAGTCACATCTGCCACCATTCAAGTACTTGGAATACTTCGGACATTTGCAGGAATGTCCCTTGGTGGAATCAGGAGCGTTGAAGCACATGGCCTTGCCGCAGTGGGTGTCCCTGGTACAGTTGTTGGGCACTGGAACACAGCCACAGTCACATACCAATAGCAGCAACACAACCACACACTTCCATAACCATATGATAATACGCATTCACATTCACAGCTCTTACAACAAGCATGGGGTACTGGGGGCTAGTCAGCCCTCACACCAAGCGTTGGGTACTGGGGGCTAGTCAGCTCTTACAAGCATGGGGTACTGGGGACCTCGTCAGTTCTCACACCAAGCATTGGGTACTGGGGGCTAGTCAGCTCTTACAAGCATGGGGTACTGGGGACCTCGTCAGCTCTTACACCAAGCGTTGGGTACTGGGGGCCTCGTCAGCTCTTACAAGCATGGGGTCCTGGGGACCTCCTCAGCTCTCACACCAAGTGTTGGGTACTTGGGGCTAGTCAGCTCTTACAAGCATGGGGTAGTGGGGACCTAGTCGGCTCTCACACCAAGCGTTGGGTACCGGGGACATAGCATTCACTCGACACGCCAGACTATCTGACCACCCCAGACAAAGGTTGGAGGAGACTTACAGTCATTGTTCATCTTCTGATCCTGGGCCACGACGATGGCGCTGATGTGTTCCAGGCCTGTGTAGACAACCTGGGGCTCAACCGGGGTGTGGTTTTGGGTGCGCCCAAACTTGTGGAGTCTGAGCAGCTGGTACTTGTGGAATGTTAGGACATACAGGTAGTCCTCGAACACCTCCAGCTTGAATGGGGGGTCCGACTCTGCAACAACACAACTCACAAACTAAACCCAGGAACAAGTGAAGCTCTTCATCCTGTTATCAGTGAGGGGAAACAGTCAGTGTGTGAGTGGTTTAAAATCGCTTTGAACAGTATTTCAGTTACATTACAGTGTGGAAGCTCGATGTGTCAAGAAAACAGTTTAGTGCCTTACCATTGAACCTCTGTACAGTTTAGTGCCTTACCATTGAACCCCTGTACAGTTTAGTGCCTTACCATTGAACCTCTGTACAGTTTAGTGCCTTACCATTGAACCCCTGTACAGTTTAGTGCCTTACCACTGAACCTCTGTACAGTTTAGTGCCTTACCATTGAACCTCTGTACAGTTTAGTGCCTTACCATTGAACCTCTGTACAGTTAAGTGCCTTACCATTGAACCTCTGTACAGTTTAGTGCCTTACCATTGAACCTCTGCACGATGGTCCTTCCCTTGCCGTTAACACTGACCGTCTCCACCGTGCTCTTCTTCGTGTCGCACCAGTACACCCAGCCGTTCTCGTGGTCCACCGCGATGCCGTTCGGCCAGTCCAGCTCGTCACTGACCAGCACTGTCCTATTGCTTCCGTCCAAGTTGGCGCTCTCGATCTTTGGCCGCACCCCTTGTTCTGTCCAGAAGATCTTCCTGAAAGGTGTAGCAACAAAGCATGGTCTGAACAATCGTGTTGACTGTACACACAGTGTATTGGGGACCTTTTCCTAGCTTGCATCGACAAGTATAGGTTCCTTGGAACCAATTCAAGCCTAGATTCCCACAGGGAGACGAGCAAAGGTTACTGGGGCCTATTCTATCCCAGATTCCCAAAGAGAGACAAGCACAGGTTACTGGGGCCTATTCTATCCCAGATTCCCAAAGAGAGACAAGCACAGGTTACTGGGGGCCTATTCTATCCCAGATTCCCAAAGAGAGACAAGCACAGGTTACTGGGGGCCTATTCTAACCCAATTCCCACAGGGAGACAAGCATAGGTTACTGGGGACTATTTTTACCCGATTCCCACAGGGAGACAAGCATAGATTCCTGGGGACTATTTTAACCCAGATTCCCAAAGAGAGACAAGCACAGGTTACTGGGGGCCTATTCTAACCCGATTCCCACAGGGAGACAAGAACAGGTTACTGGGGCCTATTCTATCCCAGATTCCCAAAGAGAGATAAGCATAGGTTACTGGGGGCCTATTCTAACCTGATTCCCACAGGGAGACAAGAACAGGTTACTGGAGCCTATTCTATCCCAGATTCCCAAAGAGAGACAAGCACAGGTTACTGGGGGCCTATTCTAACCCAATTCCTACAGGGAGACAAGCATAGGTTACTGGGGACAATTCTAACCCAATTCCCACAGGGAGACAAGCATAGATTCCTGGGGACTATTTTAACCCAGATTTCCGAAGAGAGACAAGCACAGGTTACTGGGGGGGCCTATTCTTACCCAGATTCCCACTGGGAGACAAGCATAGGTTACTAGGGGCCTATTCTAACCCGATTCCCACAGAGAGACAAGCATAGGTTACTAGGGGCCTATTCTAACCCGATTCCCACAGGGAGACAAGCATAGGTTACTAGGGGCCTATTCTAACCCAGATTCCAACAGGGAGACAAGCATAGGTTACATTCCCAAATGTTCTCTGTACTGCTGATGGTTGCAGTATAAAACAACATTCATCCTTCTACAGTCCACGTACCCAGAGTTGGGATCCACGGCGATGGAGTGGGGTTGATCCAGTCCGCTGTCGATGATGTGGATTTGGTTGCTGCCATCGTACGTCCGCAGTTGGATGGACTTGGTTGTAGAATCAATGTAGTAGATACGTTTCAGAACCCAGTCCAAGGATATGTCTGAAATCTTTGCATGGCCAAACCACAGCTGTGGACCCTGTGAAGAAAAGCCATGATCCAACACTTGACATTCATGAACATCAGGTTCCTCATAATCTTTAAATCATAAACTTATATGGACATATACATATTGTCATTCACTCCTACACGTCTCTCCAGTTTAAAGAATGTTGTGAAATCAACAATTTTCTACAAAAAAAAAGTAATTCAAGCTAAACAGTGTACACAGGAGTGTTAAAAAGCCTGCCACATCACATTCAACCAACAACAAAGTGAGTGAGTAAGTATAGTTTTTACGGGTTTTAGCGATATTCCAACAATATCACTGGTGGGGGAACACCAGAAATGGGTCTCACACACTGTACCCATTCAATTGATCAAACTCAGGTCTTTGGCATGACGACTGAATGCTTAACCACTAGGCTACCCCACCACGCCCTTAGAGTGTTCACCTGGTATGGGTTAATCAGTCATTTTGCTTTGTTTCATTTTAAGTTAAAAATCCTTTGTTTTCTTTAGCAATAAACAGACTGTAAATTCCCCCTGTGAAACAGACAGCTCTTGCTACCTTAGATTTCTGGTCCCGCTTGGAGCGTTTGTTGGGGGTGTTCTTCAAGACGTCTTTGTGAACAAACACCATGTCATCCTTATCCTCCGTTACGATGAAAGCAGTCCACTCAGCTTTGGTTGTGTCGATGTCCATCGCTACAATACTGTTCTTCTTCTTATTGTGTAGCTGTGAAACAAACATAAATAAGTTATCAAAAGTTTACAGGCACTGGGGAACACATGGAGTGAATGTTTCAGAAGTGACAAACCCTTGATACAAGGGGATGGAAACAAGGTACGATGTAAACATCCTGCCCTGTGCATAAAACTGAATCGTGTTCCATGGTAGAGATCACCCCCTTCCCAGTCGAGATCACCCCCTTCCCAGCCGAGATCACCCCCCTTCCAAGTCGAGATCACCCCCCTTCCCAATAGAGAGTAGAGATCACCCCCCTTACCAGTCGAGATCACCCCCCTTCCCAGTCGAGATCACCTCCATTCCCAGTCGAGATCACCCCCTTCCCAGTAGAGATCACCCCCCTTCCCAGTCGAGATCACCCCCCTTCCCAGTCGAGATCGCCCCCCTCTCAATTCAAGATCGCCCCCTTTCCAGCACTTTCAGCAGCAGAGTGGTGGACCCACCGTAACGTTGATGGTTTTGACGTCGATAGTGGTGTTCAGGTTGACCTGGGTGGGACTCTGCAACAGCACCGTCTTCTCTGCAATCAAGATGACAGGTGGCGGCCCTGCAACAAACAAACAAACCCCCTCGATGTGATGTAGTCACAACAACAATAAACACCACACACCCTAGTGGAGAATTCATGCTCCACTAAACAGACACAGCATACAAACATACATACACACACAATGAAGTGTGACAGACTGTACATACACAGGTAAGTATAAACACAGGTAAGTAAAGGTAAGTATAGGTAAGAGCTCACCATCTGCTGAACAGGCCCCCTCTGCCCCGAACTTGCGACTGTATCCCTCCCGACACCAGCAGTAGTGGTGGCGCTCGTCCATGGTGTAGTTGCACTTCTGTGAGCAGACGCCCCACTGGTCACACGGGTTGACAGCTGCCGCACAGAACAACGAGATCAACTTGGAACAATAGGAGATTGGAACAATGAGATCAACTTGGAACAACGAGATCAACTTGAAACAACGGGAGATTGGAACGAGATCAACTTGGAACAACAGGAGATCGGAACAACGAGATCAACTTGGAACAACAGGTGATCGGAACAACGAGATCAACTTGGGACAACAGGAGATCGGAACAACGAGATCAACTTTGGACAACAGGAGATTGGAACAACGAGATCAACTTGGGACAACAGGAGATCGGAACAACGAGATCAACTTGGGACAACAGGAGATCGGAACAACGAGATCAACTTGGGACAACAGGAGATTGGAACAACAAGATGAACTTGGGACAACAGAATATTGGAACAACAAGATTAACTTGGGACAACAGGAGATTGGAACAACGAGATCAACATGGGACAACAGGAGATTGGAACAACAAGATCAACTTGGAACAACAAGATCAACTTGGAACAACGAGATCAACTTGAAACAACGGGAGATTGGAACAATGAGATCAACTTGGAACAATAGGAGATCGGAACAACGAGATCAACTTGGGACAACAGGAGATCGGAACAACGAGATCAACTTGGAACAACGGGAGATTGGAACGAGATCAACTTGGGACAACAGGAGATTGGAACGAGATCAACATGGGACAACAGGAGATTGGAACAACAAGATCAACTTGGAACAATGGGAGATTGGAATGAGATCAACTTGGGACAACAGGAGATTGGAACAACGAGATCAACATGGGACAACAGAAGATTGGAACAACAAGATCAACTTGGAACAACTAGATCAACTTGAAACAACGGGAGATTGGAACAATGAGATCAACTTGGAACAACGGGAGATTGGAACGAGATCAACTTGGGACAACAGGAGATTGGAACGAGATCAACATGGGACAACAGGAGATTGGAACAACAAGATCAACTTGGAACAACTAGATCAACTTGAAACAACGGGAGATTGGAACAATGAGATCAACTTTGGACAACAGGAGATTGGAACAATGAGATCAACTTGGGACAACGGGAGATTGGAAAAACTAGATCAATTTGGAACAACGGGAGATTGGAACGAGATCAACTTGGAACAACAGGAGATTGGAACAATGAGATCAACTTGGAACAACAGGAGATCAACTTGGAACAACAGGAGATCAACTTGGGACAAGAGAGATCAACTTGAGACAATAGGAGAGCAGCTTAGGACAACAGGAGATCAACTTGGGACAAGAGAGATCAACTTGGGACAATAGGAGAGCAGCTTAGGACAACAGGAGATCAACTTGGGACGAGAGAGATCAACTTGAGACAATAGGAGAGCAGCTTAGGACAACAGGAGATCAACTTGGGACAAGAGAGATCAACTTGGGACAACAGGAGAGCAGCTTAGGACAACAGGAGATCAACTTGGAACAACAGGACATCAACTTGGGACAATAGGAGATCAACTTGAGACAATAGGAGATCAACTTGGGACAACAGGTGATCAACTCCCCCCTAAAAAGATAATCCTTAATAATTGTTTTAATAATTCATAATCCTTAACTTGTTTTGTTCAGTATACGTTTGACTGGCTATCTGGTCTAACATAGGAATAAATAATGACAGACAGGTGAGTTCATTGTCAAGTAAGCCTCCACAATCCTGACAGAATGACACATATAGTATAGTGCTGAACAAACCCTGACACTGAGACCGGATAGCAATACTTACGATCACATCGGAAGCCGTCGTGGTTGAGCTTGAAGCCATCCTTACAGTCACACCTGATACCCTTGGTCAGATCGCGACATTGCTGCTCACAGCCTCCGTTCTTCACTGAGCACACCAGGTTCTTCCTCACAGTCTCTGTCAACAGAACATCCCCAAAAATAGAAACATAGATCAGTATATCAGGCATATACAAGGGAGGGTGTGTAGATGTACAGGTAGGGCATGTCAGGCATATACAAGGGAGGGTGTGTACATATACAGGTAGGCCATGTCAGGCATATACAAGGGAGGGTGTGAATATATACAGGTAGGCCATGTCAGGCATATACAAGGGAGGGTGTGAATATATACAGGTAGGCCATGTCAGGCATGTACAAGGGAGGGTGTGTAGATATACAGGTAGGCCATGTCAGGCATATACAAGGGAGGGTGTGTAGATATACAGGTAGGCCATGTCAGGCATATACAAGGGAGGGTGTGTAGATATACAGGTAGGCCATGTCAGGCATGTACAAGGGAGGGTGTGTAGATATACAGGTAGGCCATGTCAGGCATATACAAGGGAGGGTGTGTAGATATACAGGTAGGCGATGTCAGGCATGTACATGGGAGGGTGTGTAGATATACAGGTAGGCCATGTCAGGCATGTACAAGGGAGGGTGTGTAGATATACAGGTAGGCGATGTCAGGCATATACAAGGGACCGTGTGTAGATATACAGGTAGGCCATGTCAGGCATATACAAGGGAGGGTGTGTAGATATACAGGTAGGCCATGTCAGGCATATACAAGGGAGGGTGTGTAGATATACAGGTAGGCCATGTCAGGCATGTACAAGGGAGGGTGTGTAGATATACAGGTAGGCCATGTCAGGCATATACAAGGGAGGGTGTGTAGAAATACAGGTAGGCCATGTCAGTCATATACAAGGGAGGGTGTGTACATATACAGGTAGGCGATGGCAGGCATATACAAGGGAGGGTGTGTAGATATACAGGTAGGCCATGTCAGGCATATACAAGGGAGGGTGTGTAGATATACAGGTAGGCCATGTCAGGCATGTACAAGGGAGGGTGTGTAGATATATAGGTAGGCCATGTCAGGCATATACAAGGGAGGGTGTGTAGATATACAGGTAGGCGATGTCAGGCATATACAAGGGACCGTGTGTAGATATACAGGTAGGCCATGTCAGGCATATACAAGGGAGGGTGTGTACATATACAGGTAGGCCATGTCAGGCATATACAAGGGAGGGTGTGTAGATATACAGGTAGGCCATGTCAGGCATATACAAGGGAGGGTGTGTAGATGTACAGGTAGGCCATGTCAGGCATATACAAGGGAGGGTGTGTAGATGTACAGGTAGGCCATGTCAGGCATATACAAGGGAGGGTGTGTAGATGTACAGGTAGGCCATGTCAGGCATATACAAGGGAGGGTGTGTAGATGTACAGGTAGGCCATGTCAGGCATATACAAGGGAGGGTGTGTAGATGTACAGGTAGGCCATGTCAGGCATATACAAGGGAGGGTGTGTACATATACAGGTAGGCCATGTCAGGCATATACAAGGGAGGGTGTGTAGATGTACAGGTAGGCCATGTCAGGCATATACAAGGGAGGGTGTGTAGATGTACAGGTAGGCCATGTCAGGCATATACAAGGGAGGGTGTGTACATATACAGGTAGGCCATGTCAGGCATATACAAGGGAGGGTGTGTAGATGTACAGGTAGGCGATGTCAGGCATATACAAGGGAGGGTGTGTAGATGTACAGGTAGGCCATGTCAGGCATATACAAGGGAGGGTGTGTACATATACAGGTAGGCCATGTCAGGCATATACAAGGGAGGGTGTGTAGATATACAGGTAGGCGATGTCAGGCATATACAAGGGACCGTGTGTAGATATACAGGTAGGCCATGTCAGGCATATACAAGGGAGGGTGTGTAGATATACAGGTAGGCCATGTCAGGCATATACAAGGGAGGGTGTGTAGATATACAGGTAGGCGATGTCAGGCATATACAAGGGAGGGTGTGTAGATATACAGGTAGGCGATGTCAGGCATATACAAGGGAGGGTGTGTAGATGTACAGGTAGGCGATGGCAGGCATATACAAGGGAGGGTGTGTAGAAATACAGGTAGGTGATGTCAGGCATATACAAGGGAGGGTGTGTAGATATACAGGTAGGCGATGTCAGGCATATACAAGGGAGGGTGTGTAGATATACAGGTAGGCGATGTCAGGCATATACAAGGGAGGGTGTGTAGATATACAGGTAGGCCATGTCAGGCATGTACAAGGGAGGGTGTGTAGATATACAGGTAGGTGATGTCAGGCATATACAAGGGAGGGTGTGTAGATATACAGGTAGGCGATGTCAGGCATATACAAGGGAGGGTGTGTAGATGTACAGGTAGGCCATGTCAGGCATATACAAGGGAGGGTGTGTAGATATACAGGTAGGCGATGTCAGGCATATACAAGGGAGGGTGTGTAGATATACAGGTAGGCGATGTCAGGCATATACAAGGGAGGGTGTGTAGATATATAGGTAGGCCATGTCAGGCATATACAAAAGGGTGGGAATATATATGGATTCTAAGCGCACACTTACCGCAGTAGCGAGTGTCTTCATCAGACTTGTCCTCGCAGTGTGGGGTGCCATCACACACCATGGTCTGGCCAATGCACTGGCGGGAGTTGTGGCACTTGAAGTCCATTTCCCGACACTGGTGCTCCCCGGGACCTGTGCAGGGAGTGCACACAGCTTAGTGGCAGAAACAGAGGTCACGACCCGACCAGGGGTCAGGGGTCACTATGTGGACAGGGCCATAAACAGAGGTCACTACCTGGACAGGGGTCAGAGGTCACTACCTGAGATGCCGATCTTAAACATGGTATCCCCCTTCGCGATATGGTGCCTTGACATCACTAATGGCGACTGGACCACATCATCCATCCTTGTTCCTACCCTTTAGAATGCACATTAAGCGCAAGAGGGCACGTATAGCAGACAGCTTGTTTATTGGGAAATATAAAGATGTATTCGCTGGTGCAACAGAGGTCATGGGCATGACCAGATATTTCAAAAAGGAATATATGGTAACAGAGCTCCAGATAAGCTTTTGGTGTTGTGGGTATTTTACCCATGCATCTTAAACTCATTGGGTATCAGTAATTCTATCTGGGTATTCAAATTTCTGTTACCCACTAGTTTTTACACATATGGGTCTTTAAGTTAAATATTTTAAAACACTATTCATCTAGTCCCTGCAAACTGGTGTTGTGTGGGTTCGAGAGCTTTATAGGACTCAAAAATACCATGATACTTCCACAAGAAAGTGTGATGGCAAATGATCATTGTGGAGTTTGGCTAGGTTGACGGAATGCCCGTTTATAATTTCAGATTAAGTTGCTGATTTGCTAATCGAATACGCAGGGTTACTTCACAATATTTTGATGATACGCACAAGTTTAATTATTGTAGCGTATCTGTAATGTTCGTTGCGTATTTGATACGCTTAGATTTGATTTTATTGCATATTTCTCCATTTCTGATGCATATTTTACGCAGAAACGCAGCTTATCTGGAGCTCTGTGGTAATGATTTTTTAAACTATTTGTAGCTCAAAATGTGCCACTCATTTTAAACCAAAATTTCAGTTTCTGCCATGTTAAAAAAAGAACATTCAACAATACAACCCTATTTTCTCCTGCAGTGAGAATCGGTACAATGAGGATCTACTCACAGTGATCCTCGTCAGAGCCATCAAGGCAGTCCTTGCTGCCGTCGCAGACCATGCTGCCCCAGATGCAGACGTTGTTTTTACAGCGGAACCTGCCCGGAGCACAGCCCGATTTGGCTGCAACATAGCATTACAGTAGGTTGTTACAGCAGACCATTACAGTAGGTCGTAACAGCAGAACATTACAGTAGGTCATTACAGAAGAGCATCACCGTAGAACATTACAGTAGGTCGTTACAGTAGAACATTACAGTAGGTTGTTACAGTAGAAAATTACAGTAGGTCGTTACAGTAGAACATTACAGTAGAACATTACAGTAGGTCGTTACAGTAGAACATTACAGTAGGTTGTTACAGTAGAACATTACAGTAGGTCGTTACAGTAGAACATTACAGTAGGTTGTTACAGTAGGTCGTTACAGTAGAACATTACAGCAGACCATTACAGTAGAACATTACAGTAGGTCGTTACAGTAGAACGTTACAGTAGAACATTACAGTAGGTCGTTACAGTAGAACATTACAGTAGGTCGTTACAGTAGAACATTACAGTAGGTTGTTACAGTAGAACATTACAGTAGGTTGTTACAGTAGAACATTACAGTAGGTCGTTACAGTAGAACATTACAGTAGGTTGTTACAGCAGACCATTACAGTAAAACATTACAGTAGAACATTACAGTAGGTCGTTACAGCAGAACATTACAGCAGAACATTACAGTAGGTCATTACAGAAGAGCATCACCGTAGAACATTACAGTAGGTCGTTACAGCAGACCATTACAGTAGGTCGTTACAGCAGAACATTACAGTAGGTCATTACAGAAGAGCATCACCGTAGAACATTACAGTAGGTCATTACAGTAGAACATTACAGTAGGTCATTACAGTAGAACATTACAGTAGAACATAACAGTAGGTCATTACAGTAGAACATTACAGTACGTCATTACAGAAGAGCATCACAGTAGAACATCACAGTAGGTCATCACAGTTGGTCATTACAGTAGTGAGTGAGTGAGTGAGTATGGTTTTACGCCACTTTTAGCAATATTCCAGCAATATCAGGGCGGGGGACACCAGAAATGGGCTTCACACATTGTACCCATGTCGGGAATCGAACCTGGCGTGACGAGCGAACGCTTTAACCACTAGGCTACCCGACCGCCCCAGGTCATTACAGTAGAACATTACAGTGGGTCATTACAGTAGGTCATCACAGAAGAGCATCACAGTAGAACATCACAGTAGAACATTACAGTAGAACATTACAGTAGGTCATTACAGTAGAACATTACAGTAGGTCATTACAGAAGAGCATCACAGTAGAACATCACAGTAGATCATCATAGTAGAACATTACAGTAGGTCATCACAGTGGGTCATTACAGTAGGTCATTACAGTTGGTCGTTACAGTGAGCAATTACAGTAGGTTGTTACAGAAGAGCATCACAGTAGGTCATTACAGAAGGTCATCACAGAAGAGCATGACAGAAGGTCATTACAGGAGAATATTAAAGTGGAGACACTGGCTCTTTATAACAACAGTAAACAGTAACATGTTACAGTAACAATAAACATCTATATTTTAATAAAATAAAGTTACTTTTTGTTTTGCTTGTCCATAGTTCATTTTTTATCCCTTTTATGTGAGGGAGAGGAGAGATGTACTTACCACACATTTTGGGGCTCTCATCAGAACCGTCTCCACAATCGTTGTCGCCATCACACTGCCACAACAGCGGCATGCACATCGAATTGTTGCAGCGGAACTCATCCTTCGTACAGTTCCTGTCTGCAACATCACATCGTCAAAAATGCACTCAGAAACGGAGCACATGTTGTATAAGTGAGGTTCAACCCACTGTTCAGTACAAGACAAGCCATGCTTGACATCGGCAGTGTTTCTGTGTGCGGTAAGTATAGGTCTATCATCAACACCTAACTCAATAGCTTCTCCAATTTCTCACATCCATTTTGTATATGGATCTGTTGTGAGTGAGTTGGGTATAACCCTGCTTTGAACCGCATTCCAGTTATATCGCGGCGTTTCGGCTTAATGTGGGAGGATAGCTCGAAGTGATGCAGGTCTTAGAGGTTTACCATTTTGGTGAAACCCACAAGCATGGGTATGGTGCTGACAAACCTAGAAACATAATCGGGCGAACCGGGATTTGAACCCACTATCATAGGTTTCTGGCATGCCCAAGGGACGCAACTCTGCACAGCGAAATGTGGAGTCTTAGACGACTGGGCCACTCGTGCCCCCTCTGTTGTTTATTATGACAGACACATCAATATGAATTAATCGGCTCATCTGATGTTGTTGTTTTTTATTACTTGCCCGTGAAGAGATCACCCGTTTAATAAACCTACAGCTGTATTACTCATTGTGTAATAACAAAATGCGTGCTTATGTACTCTCGGAACACGTTTCACGAACAAATATTGAAAGCTCTCAACATCCCTTGGCTTATTCAATGACATTGCGTGTGGAGATGATAGATCACTGAGAGGAGCTTACGCACACTCAATGACCCCAGCAACCTTATCACTGGACTGACGTCACATGGCATTGTTTCGCCGAAGGATCTTGCAACAAAATTCCACAAATTACGTCATCGGGTATTGCCTATTCACACTCAACAGTATAATTCTAAACACGTTATAAATGGCCAGTAATAAATAAAATACCAAACTCGCTCCAGTGTAAAACCAATTTTATGAAACTCGTGAATAGTGGTATCTGACGAGCGAGTTTCATAAAATTGGTATTACACGGGAGCTCGTTTAGTATTCTATATTTATATACAGCATGTTGATCCTAAGATCCCAGGCTATCGAGCTGACTGACTGAAGCAGGACATGTTTCACACAGAAGGTGTATGTGACTTACCACAGGACCACTCGTCAGTTCCGTCAGCGCAGTCAATATCGCCATCGCAGTGCCACGTCTTGGGAATGCAGTGGAGAACATTCAGACACTTGAATTGCGAGGCAGTGCAGTTCACATCTAAATCAGACAATCAAAAAACTGCACACCACGACATCCAGGAGTTTGTTACTTGAAGCAGGGAAACCTAAGTATGCACACAATTTATGGCTAACTTCTTTAACATACTATTACAGTGATGTTTGAACAGTCTCAGCCCACTCGAGAAAAACATGCTTGCTTCACACCCGTGTAAGGATCAATAGTGATTGCTATAATAGTAAAACATAGAGGTTGTTATCCATCATGTGTGTCTACTTTGTTATCAACTTCGAAGATATGCCTATGTTTGTTTGTTTGTTGTTTAATGCTGCACTCAGCAATATTCAAGCTCTATGACAACAGTCTGTAAATAGACTGTCCTGTAAACTTGGAGGTGGGGTCACAGTGCTGTGGATGATACTCAGAAATATAACTTCATATATATGTGTTTGATGTTGTAATTCTTTCACGACAATCAACGGAAGTGACAAGTTGATGTTGTTCAAAGCTGAACTTCGCAATATTCCAGCTATATGACGGTGCTCTATAAATGATGAAGTCTGAACCAGACAGTCCAGTGATTCACATCATGAGCATCAATCAATGCAATTGGGATTAGACGACATCCATCAGCAAGCCTGACTACCTCTTATGGAAAGGACAAGTTAATTCATGCATGTCATAGGTCAGCTGGCTGACTGGCAGGACCACACCATGGTCAGTTTCTTTCACTATCAGGTTTCTTACACTTTGAGCAATTCTTTTCATCACTGCCATCTTCACAATGGACTTCTCCATCGCACAGGTTGTTCTTCCGGATACACTTGCCATTGTCACACCGGTGCTCTGCTTCCGAGCAGTTCCGCGGGACTGAAGTCAGAAGAAATAACAATAATAGTAACACTGGAAGAAAATAATTTATGGCACCAATCGAACTCAGTCTTGATAAGCTTCCCTTATGTTAGCTTGCAAAGTTCCACTGATGTAACTTCAGTAGCTTCTGAGAAACCTTGTCCCCATTGCAGACACTCTGCACTCAGAAAAATAAGATGGAGCAAGGGCCATAAGGGTGTAAAAAATTTATTTACGGCACCAATTATCAAACTCAGTCCTGACAAGTATCATTTAGATAAGCATGCAAACATTTATTCATGTAACTTCAGTAGTTTCACACTATGCATGGAGTTAAAAAGCAGGGAGCAAGGGCCCTAACTCTGTAAATATTAATTTAAGACACCAATTTTCGAAACATTTCATGATCATGACCAGGAAATCTCAGTGTGAAAAATTTAAATAGTTTTTCCGAAAATCGGTTCCTAAATTCCCCGCCCACTTTGTGCCGGGTGATAATCTATCTATGTTACAATCACAGTCAACAAACAGTCAGATAAGCAGGGGCACTAAAAAGGCTTCTGTCAACCTGGAGCCTGGAGCATATGACAATGGAGGCCCACAATCCATGTCCATCTGTCTGGAGCATATGACAATGGAGGCCCACAATCCATGTCCATCTGTCTGGAGCATACGACAATGGAGGCCCACAATCCATGTCCATCTGTCTGGAGCATATGACAATGGAGGCCCACAATCCATGTCCATCTGTCTGGAGCATACGACAATGGAGGCCCACAATCCATGTCCATCTGTCTGGAGCATATGACAATGGAGGCCCACAATCCATGTCAATCTGTCTGGAGCATACGACAATGGAGGCCCACAATCCATGTCAATCTGTCTGGAGCATATGACAATGGAGGCCCACAATCCATGTCGAGTCTGTCTGGAGCATACGACAATGGAGGCCCACAATCCATGTCCATCTGTCTGGAGCATACGACAATGGAGGCCCACAATCCATGTCCATCTGTCTGAAGCATACGACAATGGAGGCCCACAATCCATGTCGATCTGTCTGAAGCATACGACAATGGAGGCCCACAATCCATGTCGAGTCTGTCTTGAGCATATGACAATGGAGGCCCACAATCCATGTCAATCTGTCTGGAGCATATGACAATGGAGGCCCACAATCCATGTCGATCTGTCTGAAGCATATGACAATGGAGGCCCACAATCCATGTCGATCTGTCTGAAGCATATGACAATGGAGGCCCACAATCCATGTCCATCTGTCTGGAGCATATGACAATGGAGGCCCACAATCCATGTCGATCTGTCTGAAGCATATGACAATGGAGGCCCACAATCCATGTCGATCTGTCTGAAGCATATGACAATGGAGGCCCACAATCCATGTCAATCTGTCTGGAGCATATGACAAAGGAGGCCCACAATCCATGTCGATCTGTCTGAAGCATACGACAATGGAGGCCCACAATCCATGTCAATCTGTCTGAAGCATACGACAATGGAGGCCCACAATCCATGTCGATCTGTCTGAAGCATACGACAAAGGAGGCCCACAATCCATGTCAATCTGTCTGGAGCATACGACAATGGAGGCCCACAATCCATGTCAATCTGTCTGGAGCATACGACAATGGAGGCCCACAATCCATGTCGATCTGTCTGGAGCATACGACAATGGAGGCCCACAATCCATGTCGATCTGTCTGAAGCATACGACAATGGAGGCCCACAATCCATGTCGAGTCTGTCTGGAGCATATGACAATGGAGGCCCACAATCCATGTCAATCTGTCTGGAGCATATGACAATGGAGGCCCACAATCCATGTCAATCTGTCTGGAGCATACGACAATGGAGGCCCACAATCCATGTCGATCTGTCTGAAGCATACGACAATGGAGGCCCACAATCCATGTCGAGTCTGTCTTGAGCATATGACAATCGAGGCCCACAATCCATGTCGATCTGTCTGAAGCATACGACAATGGAGGCCCACAATCCATGTCGATCTGTCTGAAGCATACGACAATGGAGGCCCACAATCCATGTCGAGTCTGTCTGGAGCATACGACAATGGAGGCCCACAATCCATGTCGAGTCTGTCTTGAGCATATGAGTGAGTGAGTGAGTGAGTATGGTTTTACGCCGCTTTTAGCAATATTCCAGCAATATCACGGCGGGGGACACCAGAAATGGGCTTCACACATTGTACCCATGTCGGGATTCGAACCCGGGTCTTCGGCGTGACGAGCGAACGCTTTAACCACTAGGCTACCCGACCGCCCCCTTGAGCATATGACAAAGGAGGCCCACAATCCATGTCGATCTGTCTGAAGCATACGACAATGGAGGCCCACAATCCATGTCAATCTGTCTTGAGCATATGACAATGGAGGCCCACAATCCATGTCGATCTGTCTGAAGCATACGACAATGGAGGCCCACAATCCATGTCGATCTGTCTGAAGCATACGACAATGGAGGCCCACAATCCATGTCAATCTGTCTGGAGCATATGACAATGGAGGCCCACAATCCATGTCAATCTGTCTGGAGCATACGACAATGGAGGCCCACAATCCATGTCGATCTGTCTGAAGCATACGACAATGGAGGCCCACAATCCATGTCGAGTCTGTCTTGAGCATATGACAATGGAGGCCCACAATCCATGTCAATCTGTCTGGAGCATATGACAATGGAGGCCCACAATCCATGTCGATCTGTCTGGAGCATACGACAATGGAGGCCCACAATCCATGTCGATCTGTCTGAAGCATACGACAATGGAGGCCCACAATCCATGTCGATCTGTCTGAAGCATACGACAATGGAGGCCCACAATCCATGTCGAGTCTGTCTGGAACATATGACAATGGAGACCCACAATCCATGTCAATCTGTCTGGAGCATATGACAATGGAGGCCCACAATCCATGTCGAATCTGTCTGGAGCATACGACAATGGAGACCCACAATCCATGTCAAGTCTGTCTTGAGCATACGACAATGGAGGCCCACAATCCATGTCGAGTCTGTCTGGAGCATACGACAATGGAGGCCCACAATCCATGTCGATCTGTCTGAAGCATATGACAATGGAGGCCCACAATCCATGTCGAGTCTGTCTGGAACATATGACAATGGAGGCCCACAATCCATGTCGATCTGTCTGAAGCATACGACAATGGAGGCCCACAATCCATGTTGAGTCTGTCTGGAGAGAAGCACAGGGCATTGGGGAGTATTAGCCTTGGAGTGAACTGGGTTCAACGTTTCAACAGTATTTCAGTTATATCACATTATGTCAGCTTGATGTGGGAGGAAAGCCGCAACAATATTTGTCTTAGATGTTTTACAATATTGGTGGGTATGGTGCTGACAAAGCAAGAAATAATCTGAGCGAACTGTGATTTGATGCCATGATTGTAGGTTTCTGCACAGCGAACTGCAGAGCCACACACGACTGGGTCATCCATCCCATGATGCACTGTGATCCCCACATGACCTAACTCTTCTGACTCAATGCTCATACACAATAACACCTACCACACTCCTTCTCGTCCGACCCGTCACGACAGTCATCGTAGTAGTCACACTTCCAGCGACCCGGGATGCAGTGGCCGTTGTCACAGTGGAAGTACGTTGGGTCACATGTTCGCTTATCTGTAACAAGCACAGTAACTTCCAATAAAGAAAGTTTATAACAAATCGTCAATTATTTTTTTTTAAAAACTGGCATAGCATTGTTACTTTATCTGTGTGTGTCGTGTGTTTGTCTTAAGATTTACAGTTACAGATTTAAGAACAACATACGGCATTCTTCATATTTCTCGTCGGTGTCATCCTGTTCGCCACAGTCGGGGTCGCCATCACACTTCCAGGCGTTGGGGATGCAGCGGCCGGTGATGTTGCATTTGGTGTGGTCACTCTTGCAGTTCAGGCTGGTGCAGTTCTTGGGCTCATCCGAGCTGTCACCACAGTCATTGTCATTGTCACAGAGCCACACGTACGGGACACAGCGCCCATTGTTGCAGGAGAACTGGTTAGCATTGCAGGAGGAATTGGCTGGTGGAAGACATGAAATACTCCATTAAACAGCGTATGACATAATGTCCCAGCATGAAAAATAATGAGATTTTGCCAGCCAGGACCTTATCACTGTGCATAGTATAATCAAATATATATTTTTATTCAGTTTTCTCCAGATACAATTTATATTCAAATTAAACATAATTCACATACGACATTCATTTTCATCCTCCCCATCGACGCAGTCGCTGTTGCCATTACACTGCAGCGTCTTGGAGATGCACTTGTTCTCCTTGTGACACTTGAACTGGTGCTCCATACACGGGTAGGAATCTGTGATAGAAACAGTCAGCATCTGTCATACTACAGCTGTGGTGTAGAAACATCTCTACTACAGGTAAATAAGGACTACTATTATACAATAGCTCTGTGGTGTATAAGACCCATAACCTACCACAGTGTTCTTCATCTGACCCGTCGGTGCACTGTCTCTCACTGTCACATTGAACAGTGGGAATGTGGCAGTCCTGAGCACTGGAAGCATTTCGGCACTGGAACAGGCCGGGCTGGTCGCAGTAGTAGGTGTCTGCAAGCACACAACCACATGTAACAGATGGGGAGATAACTCACACAGAATACATCACCCATAGAAGGGGAGATAACTCACACTGAATACATCACACATAGAAGAGGAGATAACTCACACAGAATACATCACACATAGAAGGGGAGATAACTCACACTGAATACATCACCCATAGGAGGGGAGATAACTCACACAGAATACATCACACATAGAAGGGGCGATAACTCACACTGAATACATCACACATAGAAGGGGAGATAACCCACACTGAATACATCACACCAAGCTCCTCACAGCGATATCCTGTTTGAGGAGCTCTCAATAATATTGCTGCCACCAGTCAAAACTCCCCATTTTTGGCTACAACCATGCTTGGAGATGAACTCGAAACCCACTGACCGTTATGTTTACAACCATATGTGATGACTGCTGTGACGCTGAATACTCTTCCCCCAGCTAAATTATTTTCTTTGTTTGTCAATTTGAGTTTCTGTTTCATTAAAATTATCATGTAATTGATATAGTAGGAATGTTAAGGGGGTAGTTGGTTGATTTTCTATTCATCTGTAATCTTGAACCAATCTGATCAAACAAACAAAAAGGTAAATTCATCTGGAAAATATGGTCAGTCATAAACCTTTACAAAATTCACTATGATCGCATTCTCAAAGACAAAAACAAAAGAATAAACATTACTACATTTGGTGTTAGAGGGAAAAATTCAAGATTCTTGTAATGGCAGTGCCCACACTGATGGCAGCGATGCTACTGAGAATGTGACGAAGTCAAAGCTCGTGTGAAAACATCACACATAGAAGGGGAGATAACACTGGATACTACTAAAAAGGCAGGGGAGATAACTCACAATATTCCTTCGCCACACCTACCCCCATCCCGCACCAATGTTATCAGGGTTATGACCCCAGGATGAAATAATAAATTAACATGGATTAATCAGTTAAGATTTGTTGTTTGTGAATACTATTATAAACACATGTTGTCCATGGTATCTTTTTACTTTTATGGGAGAAGGCACGAAATATTGAAACCATTGCTAATTTCTTCTAATTACTTTCTAAAACTTCTTATATGCCCCCTTTTCGATCATGCGATCTCCTAGCAATCACACCCCGAGTGCGCATCATGCGATCTCCTAGCAATCACACCCCGAGTGCGCATCATGCGATCTCCTAGCAATCACACCCCGAGTGCACATCATGCGATCTCCTAGCAATCACACCCCGAGTGCGCATCATGCGATCTCCTAGCAATCACACCCCGAGTGCGCATCATGCGATCTCCTAGCAATCACACCCCGAGTGCACATCATGTGATCTCCTAGCAATCACACCCCGAGTGCACATCATGCGATCTCCTAGCAATCACACCCCGAGTGCGCATCATGCGATCTCCTAGCAATCACACCCCGAGTGCGCATCATGCGATCTCCTAGCAATCACACCCCGAGTGCGCATCATGCGATCTCCTAGCAACCACACCCCGAGTGCGCATCATGCGATCTCCTAGCAATCACACCCCGAGTGCGCATCATGCGATCTCCTAGCAATCACACCCCGAGTGCGCATCATGCGATCTCCTAGCAATCACACCCCGAGTGCGCATCATGCGATCTCCTAGCAATCACACCCCGAGTGCGCATCCATGTTTGATTGCTGCTTACGACAACTGTCAAGTATTTGCAAGTTCTCTTGTCTTCATATATGTGCAACAATTATTTTCGTGTGATGTTAATTTGTCGGAAGCGCTGTTCGAGATGATCGGGGACCACATTATTATCCCCTGCCCCGAAGTGGAAGGGTGATATAGAAAAGGGTGCTTCCATCTTTCTTTCTATCTGTCTCGTTTTGTTGCAAATTTTCTTCATGAGCGGTTATCTCGGCACTCGGTTGTGTTAATGTTGCCAGTCACTGTTTGAAACTGTGACACCGCCACCTGGTGGGCTATTTATAGTCAGGGTGGGGCTTTAACTACTTCAAGCATCGGGAGTCAACATTGGAAACAAGCACATTAAGCTTTAAACCGCAAACAGTCCTGGGTAGCTCACAATATGACATACCAGCTAGCTACCAGATATTTCCTGTGTATTCTGACACCAAGGACTTACGACAATCTGGAGGTTCATCAGATCCATCCTCACAGTCTGTGTGGTTGTCACACCTCCACCACTTTGGGATGCACTTGGACGTCTTCTTGCACAGTATCTGAGCACTGGAATCATACAACAATACAGGGGTGGAGTATTACCCATATACAGGCATACCCACCATTTGAAATACTAATGAATAGTATCACAATGTGAACACCCAATGCCTTTTAGAAATACGTTCGGAAAATACCGATATTGCTTTTTGCAAAATGATGCTTATATTCTTTGTTGAAATTCAGAAATTCAAACATAAGCAACTGATTTCAGTGATTGTAAAAGTAAAACTATTCGCAAACAACGACGGCTACAACGTTGGAAAAAAATTCAAGTCATTAGGGTTATTTAATTTCAGGGTCATTACAAATTTCAGATGAAAGAATGATGCAACATATTGTGATACGGATCTCAATACATGAATCATTATTGCAATAAATGTCTTTACGAAAATCGGGCCAATACCCATCACTAAGTAAAAGCACTCCATATCATGACTACATACACTGCTAGGACTCACCTTGTGCAGTTGGAGATGCAGGTCTTCTTGTCCCCGGCAAGGTAGTGGTTCTCAGGGCATGCACACACATGCTCGATGTGGCTGTATCGGTTGTGCAGCGTTGGCCGGAGCAGACACAGATGCGTGCAGCCACTTAGCGCACAGGAATTATACTCCGTCTCATTGGGACCTACACGTAAAACACAGCATTATAGTCAGTAGCTGATATACATAAACCCTGTTGCATAGATCTTCAGTCATGTCATAGTAGGAGGAAAGTCAAAAGAGATTTTTGCCACTGTTCACCTGGCAACTGCCTGTACTACTGCTACTACTCACCTGGCAACTGCCTGTACTAATGCTACTACTCACCTGGCAACTGCCTGTACTAATGCTACTACTCACCTGGCAACAACCTGTACTAATGCTACTACATACCTGGCAACTGCCTGTACTAATGCTACTACTCACCTGGCAACTGCCTGTACTAATGCTACTACTCACCTGGCAACTGCCTGTACTAATGCTACTACTCACCTGGCTACTACCTGTACTAATGCTACTACTCACCTGGCAACTGCCTGTGCTAATGCTACTACTCACCTGGCAACTGCCTGTACTAATGCTACTACTCACCTGGCAACTACCTGTACTAATGCTACTACTCACCTGGCAACTGCCTGTACTAATGCTACTACTCACCTGGCAACCGCCTGTACTAATGCTACTACTCACCTGGCAACTGCCTGTACTAATGCTACTACTCACCTGGCAACTATCTGTACTAATGCTACTACTCACCTGGCAACTGCCTGTACTAATGCTACTACTCACCTGGCAACTGCCTGTACTAATGCTACTACTCACCTGGCAACTACCTGTACTAATGCTACTACTCACCTGGCAACTGCCTGTGCTGCTGCAACACTTGGATGTCCATGGGGCGATGAACCATCTTCACCAGCAGCTTTGGATCTTTGCCAGTAAACTTGTCCGCATAGTATATAGCCGTCTTCTCCCAATCTGACCAGAAGATGAAGCTTTCAAAAGTAGCCAGAGCGAAGACATGGGGCACAACCGTGTTGTCGCGCACAACAATCCTACGATGGCTACCATCCAAGTTGGCCATCCCGATATAATCGAGGCTTCCGTCCGCCCAGTAGATCTTCTCCGTGATGTAGTCGATGGTGAGTGCATTGGGCCAGGCCAGGTGTTCCTTGATGATAGTCTGTCGGTTTGTTCCATCCATCCAGATGCGGCTGATGTGAGGTGTATCACCCCAGTCGGTGAAGTACAAGTAGCCGCGCGCGGGGAAGACGTCGAGTCCGCGTGGCTCCTGGAGCCCTTCACGAAGTAGCACCTTGCGGAAACTTCCATTAAGTTTGGAAACTTCTATCGTGTCTGTTGTCTTGTCACACCAGTAAAGATTGCGCCCGATCCAGTCAACGGCAATGCCATCAGGATTCCGAACGGTTGTGCTGTGTAATATCTGAAGACAGATACGTATTAGCCATGATCTAATGTCGGACTGACTGTAATACAAGACTAGAAGAGTTATAGTTAGGCATCATGGTTGACAGCTTTAGCACTGCAATTACCAGAATAGGAAACATCACACCACAACAATTTAACCAAAAATTGTAAAGATGAGGGCTGATGTCGATTTATAGTGCTAACTCACTGAGATACCATGCCACAGTCTGTACCAGGCAATCCAGTAATTGACATAATGAGCATCGGCCTACGTAAATGGGATGCAATAACATGCATCAACCAAGTTAGCAAGTTTCACCACCCAATTCCGTTAGTCTGAAGACCCAATTCTCACCCAGATCTTCATGGGTACAAATGTTTTGAGCTTGCCATGATCTTGCAAGGAACCTTATCCACTAACATTTAAGTCTGAAGGGACTTTGCATCAACTAATGCAATTACCTCCGTTTTGTTGGAAGCGTTTTTATCAAAGGACATTCTGTTGATGCTGCTGTTGACGCTGGTGATGTCGCTCCAGTAGATGAACTTGTCCTTCCAGTCGTAGTCAATGGCAACAGAGTTGAACAGCTTGTCTGTCAGGATCTGTGTACTCCCGCCGGTTACCGTCACGTTCCGAATATAGTAGCGGTTGGACACCAACAAAATTGGAGGGTCCCCTGATAAAGAGGGTTTATATTTAGAGAGGGCAATTTCACTTTCTCCCATACATGCAACGAACACCTACATTAGAAGACCGTACAACATGGCATTGGTTGTCAAGCAACCAGCCATTAATTGCACCATCCTTTCTCTTTAAACAGAGTGATAATGGACTGAAATATTTCTTATCTAATTTTTCTTTCCACACAGTCCTATCTGTGGATTAAGGTAAGGATCTACATCTACCTGTTTCTTTCCACACAGTCCTATCTGTGGATTAAGGTAAGGATCGACATATACCTGTTTCTTTCCACACAGTCCTATCTGTGGATTAAGGTAAGGATCTACATCTACCTGTTTCTTTCCACACAGTCCTATCTGTGGATTAAGGTAAGGATCTACATCTACCTGTTTCTTTCCACACAGTCCTATCTGTGGATTAAGGTAAGGATCGACATCTACCTGTTTCTTTCCACACAGTCCTCTGTGGATTAAGGTAAGGATCTACATCTACCTGTTTCTTTCCACACAGTCCTCTGTGGATTAAGGTAAGGATCGACATATACCTGTTTCTTTCCACACAGTCCTATCTGTGGATTAAGGTAAGGATCTACATCTACCTGTTTCTTTCCACACAGTCCTATCTGTGGATTAAGGTAAGGATCGACATATACCTGTTTCTTTCCACACAGTCCTATCTGTGGATTAAGGTAAGGATCGACATCTACCTGTTTCTTTCCACACAGTCCTATCTGTGGATTAAGGTAAGGATCAAGATCTACCTGTTTCTTTCCACACAGTCCTATCTGTGGATTAAGGTAAGGATCTACATCTACCTGTTTCTTTCCACACAGTCCTATCTGTGGATTAAGGTAAGGATCGACATCTACCTGTTTCTTTCCACACAGTCCTATCTGTGGATTAAGGTAAGGATCTACATCTACCTGTTTCTTTCCACACAGTCCTATCTGTGGATTTAGGTAAGGATCGACATCTACCTGTTTCTTTCCACACAGTCCTATCTATGCATTAAGGTAAGCATCTCCATCTATTTCTACAAGGGAAACATCATTGATCTAGTTTTCCCTTTGAACACAGCCTTCCCTGTGGATGAAGAGAAGCATCACTGCTACCTTTTGCTTTGCAGCGCTTGCCATCCGGCTCCTTGACGTAGAACTTGGGACAGGAGCACTTGTAGGACCCCATGGTGTTCTGGCAGTAGTGGCTGCAGGGGAAGGAGGTGTTGCACTCGTTCACATCTACAACAAGAAGTTGGGTTTGGTAGTTGATGGTTTACACAAGTATTTGAAATGGTTCCTTTACCTGGCATAACTTCTTTGATTAGAGACATGTACAAGTCTTTCATCGTATATACATAATGAAATATTTCTACTGCACTTCTGATGTATAAGGAGACTATGCTTGTCGTAAGAGGCGACTAACGGGATCGAGTGGTCAGGCTCGCTGACTTGGTTGATGCATGTCATCATATCAAATTGCATGGATAGATGCTCATGATATCAATCACTGGATTGTCTGGTCCAGACTCGATTATTTACAGACTGCTATCATATAAGCTGGAATATTGCTGAGTACGGCGCTAAACAAACAACAACACAACAACCTGGCCTTGATGAGTGAGTGAGTGAGTGAGTATGGTTTTATGCTGCTTTTAGCAATATTTCAGCACTATCCCGGCGGGGGACACCAGAAATGGGCTTCACACATTGTACCCTCCTTGATTCATGAACCTGGCAACCCTGATTAGATTCTGTGAAATCTAATGTAAAAACAAAGCATCTAGGAGGTTGAACAATACCCTGTGATGAGACACCTACCAACACAAGTAACCTTGTCCTCATCGAGCTTGTAACCATGGCGACAATAACACTCGAAACCGATCTTCTTGTCCTTGCACTTCTGAGTGCAGTAGGTGCGGTTCTTGTGGTGGGCGGTAGACAAGCACTCATTGATCCCTGGGACAACAACAGATGCAGCTATAGTCAGTGTAAGTCAATCTAGATACAATAACCATCCTGAATCTCACACCAGTGGCTTTTCATATGAAATATATCAACACAAATTGAAAAAAATCTAATACTCCAAGGTTTGCCAGTGAGACTGAAACGTTTATGGACAAATGTTGGTATATATGCCAAAGGCAGATCCAGAGGATGCGTCAAGCGGGGCCGGATCCCCCCTTTTGAAAACCCAATGTAGTATGTTGTAGACAGTAAATTGACAGAGAGGATTTTGATATTTTGGACCCCTCCATTTTAAAAAGGCTGGATCGCCCTTGCATGATATCAAAAGACACAAAATTATTCATCCAACTTTTTCAGTTTGTAAGCAGAAAAAATCATGTGTTGTGTGTAAGAAATACAGATAACCAGCTTCAGAGACATTAGTCACCACTCCTTAACCTGCAAGAAGACTCGTCCCCCCACTGTCGATGAACGTTATGTGTGAAAGACTCGTCCCCCCACTGTCGATGACGTTATGTGTGAAAGACTCGTCCCCCCTATCGATGAACGTTATGTGTGAAAATACCACAAACTAACCAGAATGTGCGAATGACTTCAAGTACTTCTGTCAAAGTATCCCTCAGGAATAATTTTTTATTTTTCATATGTATTTCATTTAAAAGTATACCCAAGAAACAGTTAAATATGTTCAATCACACTGTATAAATTGTAAGTCCCGATGTGTTTTCAAGAGCATATATGGAACATATATGATATATGGGGGAAATATACGCGAATCATTATGCAACGAGCTGACAATTTGTTTAACTATGCCCATTTGCGCTTTGACGAAACCCAGTCGCAAAAATGGCCACGAGGGGGGCACAAGTCACTATTTGGCTTGTCCCGGAATAACACGAGCTGGTCACGAATGCTTCAGTGCCAAGTTTGATTGTGATGTCATGGTAACCTATGATATAACAATAGTCTGCAAAGCATTGTGATGCAATTTCATTGCAGCTATATCTCCTGTGGAAGACAGTCATGGGTGATAAAACAATGTAACTTCTTTCATCACAAAAATATTTGAGATTCAAGTCTAATGGGTGAGAATTAGAAGTAATGGTCTGCATACTCTGCAGACTTCCATCAATCATTCTGTCATCACGCTGATAACTCACCGCAGTTGTCTGGTTCATCTGACATGTCCCCGCAGTCGTTGTTACCGTTGCAGACGAGTTCGTCGTCGATACAGACGTTGTTCTGGCACTGGAATTGTGTCACGTTTCCACATGGCAATACTTCACAGTTCTTCTCATCTGAATGATCGGGGCAGTCGAAGTAGTTGTCACAGCGCTCTTCAGCGGGGATACACTTGCCTTTGTTGGCACACTGGAACTCATTGGGGGCACAGCGCTGGTCCGCTGGGGAGGAAGAGGAGCAGGCTGGGGTGAGTGAGGGAGTCAGGTTTAGAGCTGCCTTGATCAGTATATCACTAATATCATGTCAGTTTAATCTTTGTTTGTTTGTTTGTTTGTTTAACGCCGCACAAAGCAATATTCCAGCTACATGATGGCGGTCTGTAAATACTCAAGTCAGAACCAGACAATCATAAGCATCAATCTACGCTATTGGGATAAGATGACATGCATCAACCAAGTCAGCGAGCCTGACCATCCGATCCAGTAAGTCACCTCTTACAACAAGCATAGTCGCCTTTTACAGCAAGCACCTGTTGCTGAAGACCTCTTCTACCCTGGATCTTCACAGGTCATCAGTTTAATCAACACATGAGATGGCCTAAGTGATGCAGATACTGAACTGAAAACTTGATCAAACATACAAGTCAGCTGACAAACCAATCATCAAATTCAAGACATGATGAGAAACTATACTACTCCAAGAAAAGTTTAGGACCATCTGATTCTTTCACATCACTGGCATGACAGATTAACTATAGTACAGAAACATTTGGCGGCCCTTAACTTGTCTCAGTGGTATATGACCAAGGGATCCTGGGATGGCCAGGGGATGCAGCTCTGCACAGTAGTGCCTTGGAGAACTGGACTATTAAGTAAATTTGGCGTAACAACGCTTTGAACAGTATGTCACTTATAGCTCAGCCTGTCAGCTTGTTATGGGAGGACATTCAGAAGTGATGCAGGTCTTAAAGACATTTATAACTGTGTTGAGACCCGCCTGATCCTTGTTTTGGTCAGTATCCGACCCTGACAATCTGGCTCAGGCGTTCCTCAGATCTTAGGATGGAATTTGTTATTTAAGGGAGTCAATTTAAATACCAAAGTCAGCAATAGCTCATACATAATGAACAAGAAAAGGTTTGGGACCATGAGTGAGTGAGTGAGTTGGGTTTAACGCCGCTTTTAACATGATTACAGTTATATCGCGGCATGTCAGCTTAATGTGGGAGGAAAGCCCGAAGTGATGCAGGTCTCAGACATTTACAACTTCGGTGAAACCCACAAGCACGGGTATGGTGCTGACAAACCTAGAAACATAATCGGGGCGAGCCAGGATTCGAACCCACAATCATAGGTTTCTGGTGTGCCCAAGGGATGCAACTCTGCACAGCGATACGCTCCGCCTTAGGCGACTGGGCCACCCGTGCCCCCTTTGGGATCATGAAATGTTTTGGAGATATTTTAATGATATTGTGTGCTCAATCTTCACTACAAAAAAATATCCCCAAAATGAACATGATCCCTACCCTTTTTGCTCATTACACAGAAGTACATCTTGAACCGTGCTCTAACCCAGGAGTAGACAATCTACGGCCGTAAGAGCATCAATCAGATAACGCCATCGTATGAGTGAAGGCACAGTAGTTGTTTGGTGATTGCTCCATTAAAAAACACCAACAAGGAAGTTTTAAACAAATGTTATGTTTACACACCACAAGATTGAGGTTCGTCCGAGTTGTCTCCGCAGTCGTCGTCATGGTCACAGTAGAAGGCCATGCGAATACAGCGCTTGTTGGAGCAGGAGAATTCATCAGCCTCGCAGTGAGGAACTGAAACATGACAGCTTTGTCAGGGCATGGAAACAGACATTTACATAGTGAGGGACTGAAACATGTCGGCTTGGTCAGGGCATGGAAACAGACATTTACACAATGAGGGACTGAAACATGTCGGCTTGGTCAGGGCATGGAAACAGACATTTACATAGTGAGGGACTGAAACATGTCGGCTTGGTCAGGTCATGGAAACAGACATTTACACAGTCATGGACTGAAACATGTCGGCTTGGTCAGGTCATGGAAACATTTACATAGTGAGGGACTGAAACATGTCGGCTTGGTCAGGGCATGGAAACATTTACATAGTGAGGGACTGAAACATGTCGGCTTGGTCAGGGCATGGAAACAGACATTTACATAGTGAGGGACTGAAACATGTCGGCTTGGTCAGGTCATGGAAACAGACATTTACACAGTCATGGACTGAAACATGTCGGCTTGGTCAGGTCATGGAAACATTTACATAGTGAGGGACTGAAACATGTCAGCTTGGTCAGGGCATGGAAACATTTACATAGTGAGGGACTGAAACATGTCGGCTTGGTCAGGGCATGGAAACAGACATTTACATAGTGAGGGACTGAAACATGTCGGCTTGGTCAGGTCATGGAAACAGACATTTACACAGTCATGGACTGAAACATGTCGGCTTGGTCAGGGCATGGAAACATTTACATAGTGAGGGACTGAAACATGTCGGCTTGGTCAGGGCATGGAAACATTTACACAGTGAGGGACTGAAACATGTTGGCTTGGTCAGGGCATGGAAACATTTACATAGTGAGGGACTGAAACATGTCGGCTTGGTCAGGGCATGGAAACAGACATTTACATAGTGAGGGACTGAAACATGTCGGCTTGGTCAGGGCATGGAAACAGACATTTACATAGTGAGGGACTGAAACATGTCGGCTTGGTCAGGTCATGGAATCAGACATTTACACAGTCATGGACTGAAACATGTCGGCTTGGTCAGGTCATGGAAACATTTACATAGTGAGGGACTGAAACATGTCGGCTTGGTCAGGGCATGGAAACATTTACATAGTGAGGGACTGAAACATGTTGGCTTGGTCAGGGCATGGAAACATTTACATAGTGAGGGACTGAAACATGTCGGCTTGGTCAGGGCATGGAAACATTTACATAGTGAGGGACTGAAACATGTTGGCTTGGTCAGGTCATGGAAACAGACATTTACACAGTGAGGGACTGAAACATGTCGGCTTGGTCAGGGCATGGAAACATTTACATAGTGAGGGACTGAAACATGTCGGTTTGGTCAGGGCATGGAAACATTTACACAGTGAGGGACTGAAACATGTGGTTTTGTCAGGGCATGGAAACAGACATTTACACAAGAACACGTCAGACATCTGGTATCTGAAATATTCCAATATTTCTAGGATTTCGACAACAATTACGACCAATGGTTTAGTTTTATAATTAAGTCACATGTACGATCTGAATTTACCTGGGCAGTCAGCAAATGTGTGCCCCTCGTCAGCACCATCGATACAGTCCGTGTCACGATCACACTTCCAGGTAAGCGGGATGCACCGACCACTTTGACACTGGAACTTGTTGGGATCACACGTGCGGTTTTCTGACAACATATATATAGGTAATTAAACTGGAATAAAGAAATGGATGTACCCAGCAAATTTACTGTCATGTGACCTTAACATCAAGCACGTTACAACAATCTTTCCCATGTATCTGAAGGATTTTCAAAGGATATTACTACAAATTTAACAAAAAATAATATTTAACTTAATAATTTAATTTAAATTAATAAATTCAGGCGATGCTGAAAACCCTCATAAGCTCAGAAAGGTTCTGAAATAGTAAACACAAGTTGTAATAACTACTGACTGCAGAGGTCACCCTCGTCGCTCTCGTCGGGGCAGTCTGGGTGGCCATCACACTGCCAGGTGCTGGGGATGCAGGTGGCGTCCTCACACTTGAACTGGTTCTCATCACAGAGATAGGCTGGAACAAAGTCACACCGACAATAGCAACAACTAGTATTCGAGCACTCAGCATTTTAAACAGTCTCTAACAAATGCTTGCTATGACTGAGAAGGGGAATAGTTTAAAGCTATTAGGCTTAAAAAAATAAAAGAATTGGTTCTCAGGCAATGACTTTTGAAAACATACTGTGGGAAGCGCCTCCCTACATAAACAAGCACACAAACTCCTATTGCCACCATGACCATAACACGAGATGCGCAGTAAAGCAGTGCGCAAGTAAAGGGAAGTAACTGTGTGTTAGATTGGATCACATTGTTTTTAAGTATTATGATTTTTTAAATTTTTTTTACTTTGTGACTTTATGATGATGTGGGTGTTGCCTGAGAACCAAGACTTTTATATTTTTTAGGCTTACATAATTTTCAATCAGGAAACCAAGTTTAAGAGACATGACAGGGGACAGGGGACTGGGGACAGGGGGCTGGGGACAGGGGACTGGGGACAGGGGACAGGGGACAGGGGACTGGGGACTGGGGACAGGGGACTGGGGACTGGGGACTGGGGGCTGGGGACAGGGGACTGGGGACAGGGGACAGGGGACTGGGGACAGGGGACTGGGGACAGGGGGCAGGGGACTGAGGGGGACAGGGGACTGGGGACTGGGGACAGGGGACAGGGGACTGGGACTGGGGGGACAGGGGACTGGGGACTGGGGACAGGGGACTGGGGACAGGGGACAGGGGACAGGGGACTGAGGGGGACAGGGGACTGGGGACAGGGGACAGGGGACTGAGTGGGACAGGGGACTTGGGACAGGGGACAGGGGACTGGGGACAGGGGACTGAGGGGGACAGGGGACTGGGGACAGGGGACAGGGGACTGAGGGGGACAGGGGACAGGGGACTGAGGGGGACAGGGGACTGAGGGGGACTGGGGACAGGGGACAGGGGACAGGGGACTGGGGACAGGGGACTGGGGACAGGGGACAGGGGACAGGGGACTGGGGGGACAGGGGACTGGGGACTGGAAACTGGGTACTGGGACATCTGCCCTGGACCAATTAAGAATGGGAAATAACTCTCCTGCCCTGGAATGAGGATTCTTCTGAAGCCGATTACAAAGAGGACATCACAAGATGACACAACACGTCTACTCACTGCAGTTCTTCTCGTCGGAGTTGTCCCCACAGTCATTGTCCTTGTCACAGTTCCACTGAGGGGGTATGCAGCTCCCGGACTTGCAGGCGAACGCTCCGTCCGGACACGGTGTGTCTGCTGTTGGATGAGTGAGTGAGTGAGTGAAAGAGTATGGTTTTACGCCGCTTTTAGCAATATTCCAGCAATATCACAGCGGGGGACACCAGAAATGGGCTACACACATTGTACCCATGTCTGGAATAGAGCCCAGGTCTTCAGCATGATGAGCAAACGCTTTAACCACTAGGCTACCTGACTGCCCCCGCTGATGGATGAACCATGACATCCAGTCAGACATGTTGTAGCTTCGACCATATTGGTTTTATGTTTTGTTTGTTGTTTAACACCGCAACCAGCAATATTCCAGCTAAAGGACAGCAGTCAGGAAATAATGGAGTCTGGACCAGACAATCCAGTGATTGATATCATGAGCATCAATCTACACAATTGGTATACAATGACATGCATCAACGGAGCCTGACCATCAAATCCTGTTAGTTGCCTCTTACGACAAGCATAGTCGCCTGTTACAGCAAGCATGGGTTGCTGAAGACCTATTCTACCCCAGATCCTCACGGCAAGTAGGGGTTGCTGAAGACCTATTCTACCCAAGATCATCACGGGGGACAAGCATGGGTTGCTGAAGACCTATTCTACCCCAGATCCTCATTGGGGACAAGCATGGGTTGCTGAAGACCTATTCTACCCCGGATCTTCATGAGTCAATATTGGTTCAAAGGACTATACATGTGAGTCAGCTTGGTGTAACACCAATTTGAATGGTATTCCAATTATATCACAGCGTGTCAGTTCAATGTGAGTGGAAATCTTAAAGTGATGTAGGTCTTAGATCTCTACCATTTTCATGAAATCCACAAGCACATGTATGGTGCTTACAACTCAACAATCATTATTAAGATGTTTTGGGGTTAAAACTTGGAACACCTAATATAGCGACTCACAGGTTTACCCCTGGCCTTACATACACTATTAAAATCAGACTTCTTCAATATGGACCTGTTAGAGGAGAATTCATTCTCTAGGGGCCTGCTAGAGGTGAATTCATTCTCACTAGGGGCCTGTTAGAGGTGAATTCATTCTCACTAGGGGCCTGTTAGAGGTGAATTCATTCTCTAGGGGCCTTCTAGAGGTGAATTCATTCTCCATGGGCATGCAAGAGGTGAATTCAATCTCTATGGGCCTGTTAGAGGTGAATTCATATACAGAGCTACTTTTTGTAAATGTGAAGACTTTTCGGCTACTATCAGATGTGACTATTTCTCACTACGTTTGCCACAGTCCTCCTCGTCACTGTTATCCCAACAGTCGTTGCTGCCGTCACACTTCCAGCTGGGGTAGATGCAGGCGGACGTCGTGTTGCAGGAGACCAGACCCTCCAGGAATTCCCCGTCGATCTCCAGCTCCGAGCATGTCAGGTCTGAAACACACGCAGGTACACAGCCATGTCAGCCTGGGATGCACCTGGATCACCTGGATCACCTGGATCACCTGGATTACCTGGCTAATACACTTCAATGTGAATGTGACATTAGACCATCATCGGTTACCTCCCTTTACTCCCTCCAACTTCAATCCTGGAATCACTTCATTCACTCCTAGTCCATTAAACTTACTTCTTGTTTGTCTGTTTGTTGTTTAACACTGCACTATTAGCAATATTCCAGCTATATGACGTCTGTCTGTAAATAATCGTGTCTGGACCAAACAAACCAGTGATTGACATCAAGAGCATCGATCAACACAATTGGTATACGATAACAAGCATCAACCAAGTCAGCAAGTCTGACCACTCAGTCCTGTTAGTTGCCTCTTACGAAAAGTATAGTCGCCTCTTACGACAAACATGGGTTGCTGAAGACCAATTCTAACATGGATTTTCACGGAGTTAACCTACTTTATTTTGTGATCGTAATGAAAGGAGATGCCACTTACTACATCCAATTTCATCGGAGTGGTCCGAGCAGTCGCTGTCCCGATCACACCTGTACTTGAGGTTGATACACCTGCCGTTGGCACACTGGAACTCGTTGACCTTGCAGGGGCACTTGTACTCATCCGACTCATCATCCGAGCCACAGTCGGTGTTGCCGTCGCAGATCTTGTCGATGGTGATACAGCGCCCGGTCTTGTTGCACGTGAAGTAGTCCGCTGGGCACTGCCTGGTCCCCACTACAGATAAAACACAGTCCGTGAAGCGTCGGGGAGGCACCAAGCGGTGAGGTAAACGCCACTTTACACATGACAGGTGAGGTGAACTAGGGTTTACCGTGGCATCCATGATTATTGTACTTACACAGCGACATGCATGGACACTACCCTCATTCTAGAGGGAAAAGTGCAGAAGAGAATTAAACGAAATACTGAATTTAACTGATTCTTTTTAGAATTTGCTGTTTTATGCTGCAGTCAGCACTATTCCAACTGTATCGCGGCAGCCTGTAAATAATCAAGTCTGGCGTGCCTGCAGCATGGACAACTCATGCCACCAGAACGTGCCAGCCAAGTCACCTGACCACCTTGTACATTCTGATCGCCTCTCACAATGAACATGGATTACTGGGGACCAATTCTACAACGTAAATTTTTATTGGAACATCTGAGAGTACAAGTAGGAGCAGAAGGCCTGAAGATGTTGTCATGTTAATAGTTTTCAATATTGACCTGGCACATTGCCAACTTGATTACAGAAGCGTAGGTACAAAAGTACACACTTGTCCTTGGTTCCGTATCAGTATGAACTATCTAAGTATCCGTACCAAAAGCTGAGTAGTATATACGAAGTGTACTGACCACAAAGGGCTGGGTCCTCATCGCTGGCATCGAGGCAGTCGTTGATGATGTTGCATGTCTTGCTGATGTCAACACATCTCTTTTTGTCATCACACACAAAGTCATTCATGCCACAACCACTAACAACCGATGCATCTGCCAACAGATGAAAAAGATTAAAGTAAAAATTACTTTTACACATGCAAGAAGCTTGGGAAGGGAGATACTATATGTGGCAGAACTAATTATGGATAGTTGACAGTGAAGAGGACATCTGTTGACAATCTGAAAATCTTTATAGCGTATTGACAGCCAAAATAGAGGAATTCAACAATAATGTAAATAGGTAGGGTAATTATAAATTTAACATTCTTTAACACTTTGTCCAGCTCTGGGGGTCTGACCATCCTTGATTTTTTTGCTGACACACCCGTGATGGGATAACACATCCAAGGGACTGAAAGATTCCGTGGACAGTTTCATAAAGAAATACTGCAAGTCTTTTTTAAAGAGATCAGGAATGGATTCAACAATGAAGTGATGTCGTTATTCAAGTCAAAGGTGTTTCAACAGAAATGACAAGAATAATTAGATTGAATCAGATTACAGTGGCATGGACTGACACACATGGTAACAACTGAAACCTCCCATTAAGATGGTCACAGACAACTCATATCTTTATCTATGTACATCATATTTCTTTCGGAATGCCATTTTTTATTCCATGAGTGAGTGAGTGAGTATGGTTTTACGCCGCTTTTAGCAATATTCCAGCAATATCACGGCGGGGGACACCAGAAATGGGCTTCACATATTGTACCCATGTCGGGAATCGAACCCGGGTCTTCGGCGTGACGAGCAAACGCTTTAACCACGAGGCTACCCGACTGTCCCTTTTTATTCCATGAGATTTATGAATATGTTTTATGACACAGGTTTCCAGGGCCAGCTACCTACCAACACATCGCATCTTGTCCTTCAGGAGAACGTGCCCCTCACGACAGCTGCACACTGGCTCACCATGCGTATTTGCCGTGCAGATCTCGTCACAGCCGAACTTGTTGCCATGGCAAGGATTCGTGGTACCTGCAGTCGGAGTCAGAATGTGAGGGAAGGTGGAGGTTATTACAGGTCTCAAGCACATTATTTCAGACCTGGGTCGGGGCCTGTTTCACACTGCAATCGTAGCGGTACAACTGTCGTAAATCTATGTTAAAGTAAGGGAGTTACATTCATCTTAGAGCTAAGACCGCCTTGTGGAACAGGCCCAGTTGTTAGTCAGTGTTGCAGTAAGGGAGCTACGTTCTCAGTCTTAGAGCTAAGACCCCCTTGTGGAACAGGCCCAGTTGTTAGTCAGTGTTGCAGTAAGGGAGCTACGTTCTCAGTCTTAGAGCTAAGACCCCCTTGTGGAACAGGGCCCAGATTCACAAAGCAGTGTCAGTAGTAAGTCAGTGTTGAAGTGAGTGAGTGAGTGAGTGTGTGAGTGAGTGTGTGAGTGAGCGAGTATGGTTTTACACCGGTTTTAGCAATATTCCAGAAATATCATGGCAGGGGGGCACCACAAATGGGCTTCACACTTTGTACCCATGTGGTGAATCGAACCTGTGTCTTCGGGGTGACGAGCGAACGCTTAACCACTAGACTACCCGACCGCCCCCAATGTTGAAGTGAGGGAGTATAAGTACATATATGTGAAGGTAGCTGTTTGAGGACGGGAATCAAATCGCGATATTCGTGGGATTATGATTCATGTACTTTATGGCAGGGTTGTTAGCTTGGGAATCTGTGAGGACAACACGATGGAACACTGTAGCTTTGTGTAGTGACAACTCAATAGAGTTATGGTTACAATGGCTTGAGATGGGGATGCTTACAGTCGTTGGTGTCGTTGGTGACGGCCATGATGCCCATGGGCTGCCGCTTGATGCCCTTCCGGAGCCACGTGAGGCCCGACCCTGTGTACTTGTTGGCACGGAGGACAGCACGCAGCATCCAGTCTGTCCAGTAGATGAAGTCTCCATAGACGGCAATGCCAAAGGAGTGTTGGGGAATCTTGGTCACAATTATCTGTAACAAGATGGCTGACAATCAACAATGAGCTTTCTGTAACAGTGTGAAGTCATGTTTAAAGATGACATTTGAGTATTACAACCCTTGCACATTTATCAAATTGCAACCATATCTGGATTACGATCTGGTAACTGAACACAATATAGAAGGAGGTTACTCCAACAAACTTTCCAACTTTGACTCAAGTGGCAACATTATCACATGAAGATGTCTTCATTCTCAAGCATCAGCATTTATAATAAGACAGATCCAACAGTTAAGACAAGGACCAAGAACTATAGTCTCACCACTCGGTTACTGCCATCAACATTTATAGACAGAGCCAACAGTTAAGACAAGGACCAAGAACTATAGTCTCACCACTCGGTTACTGCCATCAGCATTTATAGACAGAGCCAACAGTTAAGACAAGGACCAAGAACTATAGTCTCACCACTTGGTTACTGCCATCAGCATTTATAGACAGAGCCAACAGTTAAGACAAGGACCAAGAACTATAGTCTCACCACTCGGTTACTGCCATCAACATTTATAGACAGAGCCAACAGTTAAGACAAGGACCAAGAACTATAGTCTCACCACTCGGTTACTGCCATCAACATTTATAGACAGAGCCAACAGTTAAGACAAGGACCAAGAACTATAGTCTCACCACTCGGTTACTGCCATCAGCATTTATAGACAGAGCCAACAGTTAAGACAAGGACCAAGAACTATAGTCTCACCACTCGGTTACTGCCATCAACATTTATAGACAGAGCCAACAGTTAAGACAAGGACCAAGAACTATAGTCTCACCACTCGGTTACTGCCATCAGCATTTATAGACAGAGCCAACAGTTAAGACAAGGACCAAGAACTATAGTCTCACCACTCGGTTACTGCCATCAGCATTTATAGACAGAGCCAACAGTTAAGACAAGGACCAAGAACTATAGTCTCACCACTCGGTTACTGCCATCAACATTTATAGACAGAGCCAACAGTTAAGACAAGGACCAAGAACTATAGTCTCACCACTCGGTTACTGCCATCAACATTTATAGACAGAGCCAACAGTTAAGACAAGGACCAAGAACTATAGTCTCACCACTCGGTTACTGCCATCAGCATTTATAGACAGAGCCAACAGTTAAGACAAGGACCAAGAACTATAGTCTCATCACTCGGTTACTGCCATCAACATTTATAGACAGAGCCAACAGTTAAGACAAGGACCAAGAACTATAGTCTCACCACTCGGTTACTGCCATCAAATTCGCATCTCTCTATCTTGTCCAGTCGGGCGTCGGTCCAGTACAGCTTCTGGGCACGGTGGTCCACGGTCAGGCCGTTCGGGGTCCGCACGTCCTCTGTGATGATCGACTTGGGTTTGTACCCGGTCAAGAAGGCCGACTGGATGCTCGGCTTCTGGTCATTCCAGTTGGTCCAAAACAATTTGCTGCGGAAGGAATTTCAGAGTGAGATATTTTCAACCTATAATCTTGGAGGTCCATTTAAAACAAACTTCAAAACTAGCACTAAAACATGTTGGTTAATCTTCTGCAAAGGAAACAGAGTTAGGGAATGCTAGATCATGAGCTGGTATAAAGCTGCTTTATTTCAGTGTATTGTCAGCTTAATGCAGGAGAGCAAGCTACTTCCCAGCGCATGACACCTTCGTTACACTCTCAGTAACATCGCTGCCACCAGCCCTTGGCTAGGCCATTGCAAGAATCTTGAAATTTGCTCTTTAATCCCAACTGTAGTAATGTTTATACTTTTGTTTATGTCTTTGGGAATGCCATCATATTTCATTTTGAAAAGGTTTACGACTGACCATGTTTTTCAGATGAATTTACTTTGTTGTTTGTATAATCAGATTGGTTCAAGATAGCATACTAATGGAAAATCAACCAACTTCTCCCTTACATTATTACTTTATCAATTACATGATGGTTTTAATGAAATAGAAATTCAAATTGACAAACAAAGAAAGTAATATAGCAGCGGTTAGTGTATTCGGCATCATGACAGTCGTTACTTGTTTGTAAACATAACGGTCATTAGGTTGCGAGTTGAACTCCAAACATAGCTGTGGCCACCTATCACAGTGGGGAGTTTTGACTGGTGGCATCGATAGTATAGAGCGCTCTGCAAATGGGCTATAACTGTGAGGAGGTTGGCAGGATTGAAGCATGAAGTGATACAGGTGAGTATGGAATACTGTAAGGGACATTCTCAAGACCTTAACCATTCACAACAAGCTAAATATGCTAGAAGTGCAAGAACGCGAGAATGTGACAATGTCCCTTGCAACGTTCCATGATCACCGGAGCTGACAAAACAAAAATCATAATCAGGCAAAGTGGAAAATTTCAAATAAATTGTATATTTATATACTTATCCTATCTCAACACTACGCATTTCTTCATTCTTCTTTCGATCCTATGTGCTGGGTGTGTTCGGGTGAATTGTTTTTAGAAGCTGGAAACTTTGTTCAATCGCATTTCCTCATAGGATCAAAGGAAGAAATGCATAGTGTAAGATAGGATAAGTGTCAAAATTCTAGGCTTGACACAAAGAATTATAGGACTCCAACATGCCAAAGGGAAGAAAATTGTGCAGAATAAAGTGTGTCAGCCTCAGAAGACCTTGTCACCTCGTCACTTAGTTATAGCAAATTATATCCATTACAATTTTGCACTTACTTCTGACAGACATCTATGACGATAGCCCGGGGATGATCCTCAGTGGTGAGCTGGATGATGACTTTAACCTGTCTTTCCTTGGGCGGCTTACGTAGGTTGATCTTGCTGATGGAGGAGTTGGTGTAGCTGGTCCAGTACAGGTCCCCCGTGTCGGGGTCAAATGCCAGCCCCTCTGCTGCTCCCACTCCTGAAACAGGTCAGAGCTAGTTACAACCAACAGAAACAGGTCAGAGCTAGTTACAACCAATAGAAACAGGTCAAAGCTAGTAACAACCAATAGAAACAGGTCAAAGCTAGTTACAACCAATAGAAACAGGTCAAAGCTAGTTACAACCAATAGAAACAGGTCAGAGCTAGTTACAACCAATAGAAACAGGTCAGAGCTAGTTACAACCAACAGAAACAGGTCAGAGCTAGTTACAACCAACAAAAACAGGTCAAAGCTAGTTACAACCAATAGAAACAGGTCAGAGCTAGTTACAACCAACAAAAACAGGACAAAGCTAGTTACAACCAATAGAAACAGGTCAAAGCTAGTTACAACCAACAGAAACAGGTCAGAGCTAGTTACAACCAATAGAAACAGGTCAGAGCTAGTTACAACCAACAAAAACAGGTCAAAGCTAGTTACAACCAACAAAAACAGGTCAAAGCTAGTTACAACCAATAGAAACAGGTCAGAGCTAGTTACAACCAACAGAAACAGGTCAAAGCTAGTTACAACCCATAGAAACAGGTCAAAGCTAGTTACAACCAATAGAAACAGGTCAAAGCTAGTTACAACCAATAGAAACAGGTCAAAGCTGGTAACAACCAACAAAAACAGGTCAAAGCTTGTTACATCCGATAAAAACAGATCAAAGCTAGTTACAACCAACAGAAAGGTCAGAGCTATAGTTACAACCAACAGCTGAAGGCTTAATACAACTGACAAACAGTTACAACTGAAAATCATTGGGACAAACTGTTGTCTTGGAACACTTTGGCTTTATTGTGTGAACATTTGACGGAGTTTCGCTTAAATCCCATCATTAGACCATAAACACAAGTTCCACACAAACCTTCAACAATCACTGTAATATCCGACCCATTGTAGGACACTGACTGAATGTCTCCTCTCTGGATGTCGCTGTAGAAGATCCTCTGAGAGGCGTGGTCCATGGCCAGTCCTATGACATTCTTCATGTATGTGGCGTTATGGATGGGCTTGATAGGGGGGTTGGGATCGGGCTTCAAGATGGCGTTGGGGTCGGGCTTGTCCTTCATGTGGATACTCTGGAGGGAGGTCACTTCCGAGAACAGCAGGAACTCAGTGTATTCTGAAGAACGAGCAAGTCGGTTGGGGCTAACAAAGCTTTCAAATGCCTTTGGTATATGAGCTAGTGTTTTCACATAAAAGTACTAATAATGACACCATAAATATATTTAGTGCATAATAATATATGTGTAGATAGGAAAGAAATAATTAACAAAACAGTAAACTTTTAAACAAAATTGTATAAAAGTGACCACAGTGAAAATTGGATAGAAGAACTAGATACGTTTTATAAATATTGACACAAAATATCAGCTGATAAAATGCAAACATGTGAAGGTCAAACTTTTTTTGCCAAATGTGCTCAGGCATTAAAACATGAAAAATAGAAAAATCCTAGGATGAGATGGCTTCTCTGTAGAGTTGATCATGTTTTCTTGAAATATATTGGCATTTCTAAGATCGATAAAATATGCTGGTGAAAACGAAACCCTATCAACTTTCAAAGGCAGGGTATAATTAATACATGTATACCTCAAGAAGGACACGACCATCATTACTTAAAAATTGGTGCCCTATTAATCTGATAAATGTTGATCACAAAATAGCAGTAAGCGCTGTTGCTTATAGAATGAAACAAGTTCTACCAGATATAATGAGTGAGACCCAAACTGGCTTTTTGCAAAATAGATTTATCGGTGAAAATACTAGTATATTATATGACCTCATGAACTACATTGAAATGAACGAAATACCAGGTCTATTAGTTACTGATGCCTTGAAAAAGTGTTCGCTACAACTGAACGGGATTTCGTGGATAAGGCTTTAGAAAGTTTTAATTTTGGACCTTCTTTCAGAAATTGGGTCGACATTTTCAATTACACAGTACATGTTTTAGTTCAACCATTAATGCAGGCCATATTTCAGATATTTTTAACCTTGGTAGAGGCTGTAGGCAAGGCGATCCACTGTCACCGTATCTATTTCTAGTATGTGCAGAATTAATGTCAATTTCTATAAACGTAAAACTATTAGGCTAAACAAAATAATAGTCGTGGTTCTCAGGCACACCCCCAATCATCATAAAGTCTGCAGCACGTTTTGTTTTTATTTCCATATTAAAAAAATATATAAAAATCCTAATACTTCAACACAATGCACAAAAAAAATTGGAAAATGGAAACAAAGACGAAACATGCAATGAACTTTATGATGTGGGCAGTGCCTGAGAACCAAGACTATTATTTTGTTTAGCCTTAAAGGAATTAATATAAATGGCATTAAATATACTGTATTTCAATACGCAGATGGTGCAAACTCTACTCTAGATGGAACAGAAACCAGTTTTAAGGTTGTTATCTATGAAACAGCCTTGGCAGCCCCACCTACCTTCACACTTGCGGCCATCGGAGCTCAGCTTGCCGTAGGAGCAGGCACAACTGGCATCGGACCCTCTGTACAAACACAGCTGCTCACAGCCATATTTGTTCTTGCTGCATACATTGGTGCCTGGAAACACAGCGAGACAAACATACAGGAATACTTGCTTCAGGGTGAGTGAGGGAGTTGGGTTTAACACTGTTTGTGACAGTATTTTAGTTACATCGGATGTGCCGGCTTGATGTGGCAGGAGGCATGACGGGATGCAAATAATCAGCAAATTACAGTCCTTGGCAGCCATGCCCCCACAAGCTTCAAAGAATATTTGAGCAACCAAATTTAATGCCTTCTTAAGTTCTTTTCAACTGTTTAAACAGATTCATTAGGACATTCTTACTTAATTTCATTATCAGAATGGCTGTACATCCGATCACAACTAAAACATCCCAGTCCACACACCAGTGGTTCAAAATAATTTATCAATCCAGTTACAAGATTCAACATGACGTCATGCATTATCATAGAAATAAATACTGCAAAGTTAATAATGGTTGCTAAATCTAAGGTTCATCAAGGCATGTTATAGAATCTACAATCTTTTCTGGGCAGATTCAAAATTAACCAATGTGGCCAGGGTAATTCTACCATGGCGATGTAATTCCCTGCATGACCGAGGACTCACCTGTCTGCCTGTGCTCGACTCACCTGTCTGCCTGTGCTTGTCGAGATGTAATTCCCTGTCTGACCGAGGACTTACCTGTCTGCCTGTGCTTGTCGAGATGTAATTCCCTGTCTGACCGAGGACTTACCTGTCTGCCTGTGCTTGTCGAGATGTAATTCCCTGTCTGACCGAGGACTTACTTGTCTGCCTGAGCTTGTCGAGATGTAATTCCCTGCATGACCGAGGACTCACCCGTCTGCCTGTGCTTGTCAAACACCTTGATATCCTTCAGCTTCTGGGGCAGCCCTTGTCTCAGCACCTTCATGTCGCTCCCGTCCTTTTTGTTAGCTCGTGCAATCGACCCGGCCTCCAGCGTTCTGAAACACAACATGAGTGAGTACATGAGTGAGTGAGTGAGTGAGTTTAACTCTGTTTTGAAAAGTATTTCAGTCATATCATAGTGCGTGGAAATCCTGCTGGTTCTAGACTCGCAACACTTTGGTGAAAGCCATGAGCATTTGTACGATTCCCAATAGTGTGGAGGACACTTCCGTCTTCCAGCAACATCTGGTTACCAACTTGTTACATTGTTGCAATAAGTTGTCATTCATTCATACAACTTGTATATTACCTCACACAAAATCTAAAATACAAGTCAAAGAAATAGTTCCATCGCCTGGCTCACAGATCACAGACATAAGCAGCACTCTTGTTGTGGTGCTACATTATTTTGCCCAATTCAAATCCTACTCACGAGTCTGCCCAGTAAACGTAATCATCGTAGACTGTGAGAGACATACAGTCTGTGAGGTTCCGATAAATGACCGTCCTCTTCTTGGACACAATGTCGACACTCTCAATGACATCCAAGTCCTTGTCGCACCAGAACAGCAGGTTGGATTTGTAGTCAATGGTCAGACCGAAGGGGGCCTTGATGTCCGTGTTGATCCAGTCGGTGCGGTTGGACCCATCCAGGTGGGCTCGAACTATCTTTGGCTTGGCTCCACAGTCTGAGAAGAAGATGTAACTGAAACAGAATTGATTACACCATCAGTGATTTCAAAACATAATCGGAATAAGGGGAACAGGAACAGGGAAAACATTACTGTATTTTCTTGAGTACAGTGCGCACCCATGTATAATGAGCACCCCCCTCTTTTGGAGAAGAAAAAAAATTGAATGTCAAGTGCAAAATAAAATTACACCGTAGATCTACCCCTTCAGCGAATTCCGGTAAACAAATGGGTGATGAGAAACTTGGTCAGTACAAATTCGAAATTTGAGATAAAACATCACCAGACATGTTCATTTACCGTTGAAATTTTATTTTTTGTTCTGCTATGCATTGTTTTACATCCAGGGATTAAGATTACCTTGTGTATTTTCTCGTAAACTAAGCCGGAAACAGCAATCAGCTGTACTCACGTTTTCTTGGAATCTACCGGTGATTCGGTCAAGACACACCCAATGATACAACTTTACAGGATTTTAATGCAAGGATCGGCAAAAATTGTATCTGAAACTATTTTTTTTATCAGGAATAATATATCCCAATATCTTGTTAATTTAGTTGCAGCTTTTACTAAACATATTTTAAATAATAATAACCCTAAGCGAAGCAGCTGATCGCTATTGCCGGTTATTATTTTTCACATGGAACCAGTCTGACCAGTCACCGTCAAGGCTCACGCGCACGTGATCGCGTGTTCGCGAGAACTATGTGTTGACATAGAATCGTCACACTATAACAAATATGACTTTTAACGAGTCAAAGTATGGCATTTATGATATATGTATCCATTCTCTGTTAACTAATGTTCGTTTCAAGGCGTCAATAGTGGTAATCTGACCGTGGTTGCTGTTAATAACGGTGAGTTGTGCGATCTTCCGTCCGCTTCACATACGATTTCGCCAAAATTAATAAAAACAATATCAAAAGGAATTTTGAATAAAATTAATGAAATAAGTTACATACATAAGTCCAGATATACAAAGAACACTTTTTATAGCCAGACAGTGTAATTACATGATTAAATTGCGTACTTTAGTATGGATTTGTTGACATGGTATTTCCGGTGTTACATGCTCACGGTAATATCTTTCCATGTGTATCTTTTTCGTGTATAATGCGCACCCCCTTCTACACAGCTGTGTTTTTTGGAAAAAAAGTGCTCACTATACTCAAGAAAATACGGTACTTCCAGACCTTGACCTTAATCAAGACAAAGATCCAACAATTATCTACGTCTTAGGACTGGAAAAGTAAATGTGCAAACGTAACTCGCAATGAATGATGCAAATGTGTTTCACGATAAACTTGACCTTGACCTTGGATACACATATTACAAGGACATCAGATGTAGGTTTTGTAACGATACATGCAGCTATAAAGTTTCATGTCTGTAGCGGTAACCAGAGCTCAATAACTGACAATGATACACCTATGATTTACAAAACCCTGAATGCTGACCTTGACCTTTGACTAATCTTCACCAAAACATTTTCAAACAAGGGCCCTTCGAGAAAAGGCACACACCAAGTTTAATGAAAAAAACATCAATACTTTTTGAGGAAGTGTAACCACAAACTATACTATATATACCTCATGACACACAGATAAAAAAAGAATTCCCCAGGGTCCCATGGGAAAGTACAGAAAAAACTAATCTGTGATGTCAATAATCTGTGTGTAGTAGGCCTCAGACAAAGCAAGCAGTGGTCAATTTTAAACAAAATCTCATACTATATTCATTTTATCAGGATTAATCATGCAACTATTTCCCTCACAACTTCACTGTTCAGTTCGTATATTTCGTTTTGTCAATTGCCGTGATGCGTGACTCACCCCAGCACTGGATGGACTGCGAGGGCCCTTGGTTTCTCCATGTCGCCGTGCATGACGACGTAGCGATTTGAACCATTCAGTGAGGACACTTCTACAGTGTCATGTCCCCTGTCAGTCCAGTAGATGTTGCCAGCGATCCAGTCGACAGCTATCCCCTCGATGCCGTTGATGCCTTCGCTGATGACAGTTTCCCGACCCGTCAGGTCACGCTTGATGCGGGAGATCGTCCGCGAGTTGCTGTCCACCCAGAAGATGGAGTCGGTGTCTGAAAAGAGAGAAAGAGTGAGTGAGTGAGTGACTTTGGACAGCATGTAGCGTAAAGTTGAAGTGATGCAGGTCTTGGATAATTACCACTTTTGTGGAACACACTAGCATGGTTTACTGTCATGACAGATCAATATGGGGCTAATCCAGGATTTGAACCCATGACTAGCTGATCCTGGTACGGCTAAGGGACACAATTCTGTTTTTGTTTGTTTTGTTTGTTGTGACTGAGAGCATGAGCAACAACCCACACCATCAAGGATGACGATAGAACACATACTACCAATCCACAGAACATGACCACAGATCCTCAGCTGTCATCTCTGCAGACACGCATTCCGCAGTCGGAACAGTTCACAACACATCTTTTCTAAACAATAACATCAAACTATAAAGAGATTTCGATCCTGAATCGTTTCAAACAGAAGACGTTTTACTTACAAGCATGGAAGTCCACAGCAGCTGCTAGAGATATTTTTGAGATTGGTGCCAATGCCTCGGTCTTGGGGTCGCCCAATGAGAAGCCCCTGATCTCTGACTCCGTGGAATACAACAGGAAGGACAGGATGCCTTGGCATTTCTCTAAAGTGCTCAAAGTGAAGCCTGCTGTACACTTGCAGATCTTGGACGTCTCGCCAGTCGGCAGGCACATCTGTTCACAGCCACCATTGGACTTATGACAACCGTTGCTCCCTGTGAAAACAATTTACAAAATTGTGTACAAATTGTCTCCCCTTCCCAGAAAGAGTTTCTGTACAACGGACGACGTCGCCAAACAGCCTGGAAAAATGAGTGAGTGTTTGAGTCTGTCGGCAACCAGAACAACAGCTCACACACTTGTGGGTCAAATACAAAGCAATCATTAGAACATTCTGGAAGTTAACCCTGTCAGTTCTAGAAATGGGGAATGAGCAGGAGTTAATTAAAAAATTACTTCAATATTCGTTTTAGAGGAAAAAACATTAAAACTGATGAAAATCCTTGTAGCAGGTCTACGCAAATTGAGCACACTGGTTCAATTATTTATACCTCCATAGACGCAGAAACATATTGAAGTCAATTATTACATATAAAAAAGTCAACAATAATAATTTCACAGGCTTCTTACTAAATCATTAACACAAAATACTTCACAATAATACAAAATCAATGATATCGTAGAGCGCAATAATGCACCCAATACCCCTCCCACCCTATTATCAACCAATCAGAAAACAGAAACCAGCTAGTGGGCATGGTCTACTGTTTTCCTTTTTTACATATGGAAACAAATGCAAAAGTAATAGTTTGGTAAGCCAATCAAATGTCATGGAATCACTTGCAATCAATTGATTACATAACATTACAAGCAAAGGGGCCCTAGAGTGCTTCATGTTTTTTTCATAGTACAACAAAAACTTCACCTTAAAAGGGCCCCTTTACTTATATAGTTAATTGAAAAAACATGATGTATTTAAAGTGAATGAGTAGTGAGTTGGGTTTTATGCCGCTTTAAGCAATATTCCAGCAATATCATTGCGGGGGACAGCAGAAATGGGCTTCATACATTGTACCCAAGATGTTTTTAAAAAATATTTTTAAAAAAAATAAATAAGAAAAATTGGAAAATAGAGAAAACTTTAACGAAGGGAAAGACATGTTTGTTATTACCATCCTTGCGACTGCTGGGGTCGTACACCTGCATGGCGTAGACGTGGGGCGTGTTGTCCCTCATCGACTGCATCTTCTTCTTCTTGGTGTCGAACTTGAGGATGTTGCTGGTGTTGGCCACGTAGATGGTGTTGTCGTAGACTGTCATGGAAACTGGAGACTCGATGTCCATGACATCCCGGGTGTACTGTCTGAGATTGGAACCGTCCAGCTCACAGATGTTGACGGTGTGGTTCTGCCGGCTGATCCAGTACAGCTTGTTGCCCTTCATGTCCACCGTCAAACCTGCAACAGTGGGGGGAGCATTAAGCCTGCAACACTGGGGGGAGCATTAAGCCTGCAACAGTGGTGGGGGCGGGGGGGGGGAGCATTAAGCCTGCAACACTGGGGGAAGCATTATGCCTGCAACACTGGAGGGAGCATTAAGCCTGCAACAGGGGGGGTGGGAGGGGAAATCATTAAGCCTGCAACAGTGGGGGGAGGGGACATTAAGCCTGCAACACTGGGGGTGGTGGGAGGGGGAGCATTAAGCCTGCAACACTGGGGGGGGGGGGGGGGGGAAAGCATTAAGCCTGCAACAGTAGGGGGAGCATTAAGCCTGCAACACTGGGGGGAGAATTAAGCCTGCAACACTGGGGGGAGCATTAAGCCTGCAACATATAGGTGGGGGAGGGGGAGCATTAAGCCTGCAACAGTGGGGGGAGCATTGTACATGCAACATCGACAGTGCCAGAAACATGGGGAGTCCAATCATAGGTCCATGACATTCAAACTTAAGATTAAGTTAAAACTTAACATAAAATATATCTACCTCTTGGAATACTTATATTAGCTCTTCAACCGTTAACCTAAGACTGAGCTATGACAGTTGTAGCAATATATCTCTACCTCTTGGAATACTAATCTTAGTTTGATGTCCAAGTTAGATTGACTGAATGTCAACAGTACTATCACTACTCAAATCACATCTCCTAATGAGTGACCTTCCATGACAGAGTTACGAATAAGCACTGACGAGGCGGAGATGTCCATCAGACTGAAGCCAACTGACCAATCAGCAGTGTTTGTGAGGACCTCACACTTCACATTCCTGAGAGAATATTTATCAATGTACAAACAAACACACTCCCAGGTAGTGAAATGGGGTTCAACGTCGCGTCCAAGATTATTGCACTTAGGCTAAACAAAATAATAGTCTTGGTTCTCAGGCACTGCCCACATCATCATAAAGTTCATTGCATGTTTCGTCTTTGTTTCCATTTTCAATTTTTTTGTGCATTGTGTTGAAGTATTAGGATTTTTTATAAAAAAAATTAATATGGAAATAAAAACAAAACATGCTGCAGACTTTATGATGATGCGGGTGTTGCCTGAGAACCACGACTATTATTTTGTTTAGCCTTATATAGCGACATGCATGCATGTGTGGGTCTGGCTGCTTGTCCTCGTCCCGACTGACGCCCATTTATAGTGCCAGCCCACTGAGATACCATGCCACAGTTTAACACACTGCTAAACGCTCCTCACTTGTCGGGTGTTTGGCGTCCTCGATGATGACTTGAGCGTTGCTTCCATCCATGTTGGCCTTCAGGATGCGGTGCTTGTCCCCTCCCAGGTCAGACCAGAACAACAATCTGGAGCAGCAACAGTGACAGTTGTTACAGAACCAGCAGCACAAGGCTGCTGTCACAATACCAATCTGTAATGTTGACCCCTCCATACCAAACTGTACTGTAGACCCCTCCATACCAATCTGTACTGTAGACCCCTCCATACCAATCTGTACTGTAGACCCCTCCATACCAATCTGTAATGTAGACCCCTCCATACCAATCTGTAATGTAGACCCCTCCATACCAATCTGTACTGTAGACCCCGCCATACCAATCTGTACTGTAGAACCTTCCATACCAATCTGTACTGTAGACCCCTCCATACCAATCTGTAATGTAGACCCCTCCATACCAATCTGTAATGTAGACCCCTCCATACCAATCTGTAATGTAAACCCCTCCATACCAATCCCCACGCCTACCCATCATGTCGTCTCCTGTCCCTGAACCCTTCCAATCCATGATATTGTTCCTTACCCTTTCTAGTTTATGCCATCCCAGCATTTACCAATCCGTAATGTCCTCCCCACTACCCCCACCTCTACAAATCACCTCCCCCCCTACCAATCCGTAATGTCAGCCCTGTCCCCACCTCCCTACCTCTGTGAGTGAGTGAGTGAGTTTGATTTTACGCCGCTTTTAGCATTATTCCAGCAATATCATGGCGGGGGACACCAGAAATGGGCTTCACACATTGTACCCATGTCGGGAATCGAACCCGGGCCTTCGGCGTGACGAGCGAACGCTTTAACCACTAGGCCCCCCTCGACCGCCCCCCCTACCTCTGTGACACAGGGTATACCACCACCCCACCGAGGACAAAGCCTCCATAGTAACTGACCCTTTCTTGGGGTGGACAGCAATGGAGTTGGGTCTCAGCAGGTTGGCGTTGGCTGTTGCTACAGTGCTGACAATCTCGATCCGGTAGGCGCCGTCCAGTTTGGCCACCGATATCGAAGCCTTCTGGTCATTGTAGGAAGAAAAGTACATGTTCTTGGACAACCAGTCAATCGCAAACCCCTCAGGGTTGGATATTCCTGAAACAGATCGAAGCGTAAAAGTACAGACAATAAGCAGGGGTAGCAGGAAGATCCGTGGCTCGAAATGACTCCATGACTTTCTTATTAATACTTGAGATTTAATTAATCTGGTTCTTGTCATTCAGGGATCATGATGGTCGGAATCATGAAGCACAGCAGTGAAACAGTTCACACCCAGACTGGACACTGGATGGACACTTATGGAAATCAGCCTTCACGTGTCTGTCTTCAGAAACCCATGCTTGTCAAACGAGGCGACTAATTGGATTGGCAGTCAGGCTTGCTGGCTTGCGGATGTCATAGTATCCAAATTGTGTGATCGATGCTCATGATATCAATCACTGGATTGTCTGGTCTGGCTCCCGACTTGGATTATTTACAGATAGCTGTCATATGCAAGTAGCTGGAATATAGCTGAGTGTGGTGTTAAACAAACAAATCACATGTTGCCTGTTTAATGCCACAGCCAACAATATCCTAGCCATAACAAAGCGGACTGTAAATAATCAAATCTGGGCCAGACGCACCAGTGATTAATATCATGAGCACCATTCCACATTAATATTGTTGGTGAACACAGTCAAGTCACCTAGCCTGGCCATCTGATCCAATTTAGTCACCCACACAACGAGCAATAGAGAAGTGGGACCCACAGTGTTAACTTCACCTTCAACATTAACTGACCCATTTTAAGATGTCTGTTTAACCTTTGCTAGGACCTACCCGAGTCTTGTTCAGAGTGACGACTTACCCGAGTCTATGATGGTTTCAATTCCAGTTCCATTGATGAAAGCACTGCGGATGACGTTGCGTTTCTTGTCCGTCCAGTACAGCTTGTCCTCGGAGCTGTCGTAGTCAATGGCGGTGGCGTTCTCCACAAAGGGTACTGTGATGGAGGGGATGACGTTGTAGTGGGCGTTGTTCAGGTCAACACCACGGATCTCATTCTCCTTCACGAACAACAGGAACTTGTTGTCAGCTGTAAGGAAAGATGAACTGATTAAGCTGCAATATCTCAACGATATCCCAGGAAACAGTCCCTACACATACAAACCAATACGTCAAGATATAATGACATGAAACTTACATGAAAATCTGCCCAGTCAGCTTTTCTTACATTTTACCACAAAAAATTGGTCACCTACCATGACCTTGACCTTGCTGAGATTTTGAAAATGTCAAATGGTGATTTTGTGACGGTGATGGGGCTACCTACCAACACATGTCTTGTTGTTCGCCTCAAGCTTCATGCGGTGGGGACACATGCAGTTGGCGGTGTGGTTGAAGCCAATGAGGCACAAGTTGGAACAGCCGCCATTGTTCTCACGACAGGGGTTGATGGCTGAAACAGTCAGTGTGTCAGAAGATGATCTCTGACTACCGCACACGCTGTCAAGAAACTAGATGTCTACTGAGGCGACATTTAAGGGGTTTCCTAATTTAAAGTTTCCACTGATCAAAGCCAAATCACACCATCGAAAAAAACCAAATGATACAACCATCAAAGTCAACCAAATAGTATCGGTTGTTTTTTTACTAAATAATTCATGACATGTATTTCACTTAGTCTCTGGCCATGGTCAATGCTGTAAAGAAGACAAAAGTATTCTGTGACAAGCACATCAACAAGGTACTGCAATTAATATGTTAGAAAAAACTGGTAAACACTTCAAGTGTTAATGTGAAAAGTGTGGCATGACGGGAATAGATTTGTTTTATAAGCTGACAGAGTGAGACACTTACCTGGTGGTTGTCTCTTAGGGTGGAAGACTTGCAGGTCAAATGGTTGGGTAAACGTTCTCTGAATCGTCAGGACGTCAGAACCATTGAATTTGTTGGCCTACATCAGAACAGACAGAAAGAGGAAATGTATCCTGAATATAAAAGCATATCACATTAAACTGCAGTTACAACTGCAACCCAGTCATGACAACCCAAATGCCACCTGCCTCCAAAGCTGTATACACCTGTGTATCTTAACCCCCAACATCATCCCCAGTGCACATCCTCTATCCCAATGCAATCCGAAATTCCATCCCATTTCCAGATGTAAAGCTGCCTACTAAACCCTGACCCCAGATTCATCCACCCCACTCCTGACCCCTAACTCAGGCCAAAACCATCCCCCGACCCCTAAGCCTTGCAATCATCCATCCTTGACCCATCCCTCTCCTGACCCCTAACTCAGGCCAAACCCATCCCCCGATCCCTAAGCATTGCAATCATCCATCCCGCGACCCCTAAGCCTGCCAACGACCCACCCACCCCACTCCTGACCCCTTACTCAGGCCAAACCCATCCCCCGACCCCTAAGCCTTGCAATCATCCATCCCGCGACCCCTAAGCCTTGCAATCATCCATCCCGCGACCCCTAAGCCTGCCACTGACCCACCCACCCCACTCCTGACCCCTTACTCAGGCCAAACCCATCCCCCGACCTACGACCCACCCACCCCACTCCTGACCCCTTACTCAGGCCAAACCCATCCCCCGACCCCTAAGCCTTGCAATCATCCATCCCGCGACCCCTAAGCCTTGCAATCATCCATCCCGCGACCCCTAAGCCTGCCACTGACCCACCCACCCCACTCCTGATCCCATACCCTTGCTCCCACCCATCACCTGATCCCTAACCCTGGCACCCACCCATCACCTGACTCCTTATCCTGGCACCCATCCATCTCCTGACCCCAGACAGTGGCATCCAGCTCTCCCCCTTCCCTAAACGTGGCACCCACCCTTCCCCGATCCCTGATCCTGGCACCCACCCATACCCCGACCCCCGACAATGGCATCCAACCCTCCCCCCCCGCCGACACTGGCACCCACCCGCCCCCAGACAGTGGCAACCACCCCTCCCCGAACCCCGACAGAGACACCCACCCTGACAAGTGAGTTGGTTCTCCAGTCTGTCCAGTACACATAGTGCTCGAAGAGAGTGAGGGCAAATGGATGTGCCAGAGCGTCATGGTTGTGCACAACAAGATGGTGGTCCAGGCCCTCGTACGTGCTGGTGTGGACAGAGTCGGATCTGAGGGAGGACAAACATACTTTAGTGATATTAATGTGCTTCAAACCATATCTGGACAGGAAAAAAAGAAGTCACACCTGACAAAAACAATTGAATGAAATACTTCGAAAACATTTACCACTAGTAATCTAGGTTAAAAAAAAATACATTTTTAACTCCATAAAATCATTTGCACAATGGCCGCATCAATAAACTGCAAGCGATTCCATGGCATTGGCAGAAGAACCAGGCAATAATCAGTCACTTTACTTGGCAGGAAAAGCTAAATCATGAAGGATTGACAGCAAGTTACAAGTCGGGATAATGCTACTTTGAACTGTTTGTCTGCCGCACTCAGCAATATTCCAGCTATATGAAGGCGTCTGTAAATATTCGTGAGCATCGATCCACACAATTGGGATACGATGACATGCATCAACCAAGTCAGCGAGCCTGATCACCCAATCCCTTTAATCGCCTCTTATGACAAGCGTAGTTGCTTTTTACGGCTGAAGACCTATTCTTCCCCACATCTTACTGGTCTGTATTCAGACATATCATGGCGTGTCAGGTCAATGTGAAGGCCAAGCCAGAAGTGACACTGGCAAACAGTAAACATTCACCACCTTGGTGAAACCCATAGGCAGGGTCATGGTGCCCAGAAACAAAGGATCATCAGGGTGGTGCTGAACCAATGACCAGCAGATCCTGGTGCAGGTAAGGGATATAACTCTGAACAACTAATTACAAAGTACTGGTATCCCCTACTCCTAAGTCATGACTGAACTACAGCCAGTTCTGCAACTGTCAGACATGAACAAGTTTCAAGGTTGAGGGAAAGGTGCTACAGTGATCCCTCGCTATAACGCGACCTTCAGGGTCCAAACAATTGATGAGCGTTAAAACACGATCTACGTTGCACGTTTCGGTAGTTATTTATGATTGATAGTGTTAAAAAAGAATTGATCGAGTATTAATCCGCGCTTTAAATAATAAACACATCGTATCCCTTCAGGTGAATAAGCAGGTAACTATAACAAACTTGGTCAATAAAAGTATGAAATTTGATATAAAACGTCACTAGACATGATGATTTACCATTTAAAATGTATTTCCAGCTCTCAGAGGCATTGTTTTATATGTAGAGATTAAGATTACCGTGTGTATTTTCTCGTAAACTAAGCCGGAAATAGCAATCAGCTGTGCACATGTTTCCTCCACATCTACCGGTGATTCAGTTGAAACGTACCCAGTGATACCACTTTAAAGAAATCTGATGCAATGGTCGTAAGAAATCATGGTATGGCATTTATGATATGTGTATCCATTCTCTTGCAACTAAAGTTCGTTTCAAGGCGTCAATAGCGGTAATCTGACCGTGGTTGCTTATAATAACGGTGAGTTGTGCGATCTACCGATCACTTCGCATACAATGTCGCCGAAATTATTGTAAACATAATTATAATTATTGAATGAAATTTTGAATAAGATTAAAAAAATAAATTGCAAACATTAGTCCAGATAAACAATGAACATTTTTTTATTACCAGATATTATAATAATAGTATCAAATTGCGTACTTCAGTTCGGATTTGTTGACTGGTATTTCCGGTGTTACGTGATCGCGGTGATCAGCTGATAATATTTTCTGAGATGGGGGAAAACATCGCATCATTGTAAAACTTGAGTTTATTGAAAATGTTAGTAAATTTTGGGAGCCATGCTTTACCGTGCGCTATAACCGAGTTAGCGCTATATTCAAGGGCGCAATAACGAGGGAACACTGTACACACAATCAGGTATTTACACTACTCCCTGTTTTATAGGGATACTGAGATATTTCATGCTGTGATTAAAATCTGAGAATTTATTTACAGAAATATGTATTAATTTATCATAACTTGAAAAAAGCTGTGAGGTCCACTGCAATACCTGATAGCCTATTTGTATGACAACATCTCAATATCCCTATCAAAAGTTGTGTAGCATGTGTAAACATGGCGGTGTCCCTTCCTGACCTTGCATCAGCCCAGTAGAGTCGCCTGGCCTCATAGTCGATGGTGAGGCCATTGGGCCACCCTCCACCCTGGATCCTTGTGATGTCATACACGACCTTTCGGCTTTCCCCACTCATTGAGCAGCTTTCAATACGAGGCTTGGTTCCATCCCAGTCCGTCCAGAACAACAATCTGCAAACACAGCACAAAATGTTGACCTGGTTGCAAAAGCAAAATCCTGCAAATCAGTAATAATATTCCCAGATGGCAGTAGTTGCTTCATAACAGTGTCCAACAGTTAAGGTAGCCCTGTGTACTCCTGCTATGTATCATATAGTCGCTGATCTTGACTGTTCACAACCTCACGGAACGTGGGATCTAACTAGGTCCCTGTATATCGACTTGGTCTCCAGTCAACTGCTACAATGTGCAAAGATTCTATACTACCAAAAAGAAGTTAAGGACCACCTGATCCTTTCATATTACTATCATGACAGATATCCTTAACTTTTTTCCAGCAGTATATTTAAAGTTTATAGTAATGGAATGATCATTCTCTAACCTCACGCCGACTCCAGCCTAAGTAAGAGAAAATCATACAGCCTTATGTATAACAACCTATGGTTTATGGCACATACCGACATTTTGCTGAAGATTCTTACACCGTTACTCCAGCTTGCTAACGGGGTAAGAATCTACCTCAAAACGTTGCTACATGCAATAAACCAGAAGTTGTTATCCATAAAGTTCTACGTTTTCTTACTTACTCACCAAGTTCTAGAAAGTCAATCAAACAGTTAACACCAGCCTAAAATCGCCACCCTCTCCAAACACTGGTCTAACCCTTTAACACTTATACTTTGAGAAAATTTGCATTTGCCAGGTGACGTCTGTGCAGTTAGCTAGTGTTCAAGACATTCGTCAGCCGGTCAAGGGTAAGGCTGAGGACATCATAGTGTACAGAATCCTTCAAAGCTTTAAAAGAGAGATCCCTCACCCGTCTCTGGGGTCGAGGACGATGGCGCGAGGGCTGATCATGTTGCCTGCAACCAAGGTGGAGCGGTTGCTGCCGTCCAGCTGTGCCACCTCGATCTGGTCTAGGTTGCTCTCCACCCAGTAGATGTTTCCCGCGATCCAGTCAATGGCCAAGCCTTCTGTCGTTGCTAGGCCGACATCAATAATGGGCTTGATGTCCGTGATTGCTGCAAACACATAGGAACATTGAAGATTATGTCCGTCTGATTTCAAATTAAAAACTATGAAAACTATTAAAAAGAGTCAATGTGAAATGACTAATACATATTAACTGTTTGATTTGACTAATACAAATGATTAGAACTAAGGATTGTTCTACTTTGAAGTCTAAAATACTATATAGCTGTGCCAGTGTGGCCTGTATGCAGCAATAGTGCAGATACGTCTCAGCACCTATGGTCTGTAAGATTGTTGTTACATCATGGCAGACTGTTGATAGCAATATTACAGCCACAGCCCGCCGGTCAAGCATTTTCAAGTCAGGACCAGACAAACCAATAGTCTACAGAATGAGGATCAATTCACACTGGAGGACGACCTTGATAGGTACCTGACCACGCCCTGCCAGCAACTATTGTGCTGCTCCCAACCCACCCAACTTTCATCCCAATCATGTAATACAGGAGTTAGTTAAAAACTTTGAGACCCGGGTGTCTACACTGTAAAAGCTAATGCTGAATACAGTGATCATCAAGAGAGTTAATGCTTAAGGGCACATCGGCAATATTTCAGCCGTATCGTGACGAGTATTCCTCAAGGGTATCTTGAATATGTGATACTGATCCTAACAATGAGATCAGCCATTTCTATAACGATTCTATAAACAATCACTACAGGCTAGAAGGGGTGACAGATTTTACAATAAGAACTATTTGTAGTTCATGTTATGAGAACGAGTCCTCTGCTCTACACACATGCTTAGTAGTATACAGAAGGGCATTCTGAAAGAAATTAATTTACAGCTGAAACAAAGATTAGAAATATTAACATGAAATAATTAGCAGTGAAATGATAAGAATAGGCTACAAGTTGGAGAGTTCTATAGTTGTATCATTATTTAGTTATCATGCAAGAAAAACTAAGTGGCGACATGATGCAGTGTATTGTTTTGGTTCTTTGTTTGTTGTTTAACACCACTCTCAGCAATATTCCAGCTATAAATGTCTGTAAATAATCGAGTCTGGACCAGACAATCTGGTGATTGTCATCACGAGCATCGATCCAAACAATTGGAATCGATGACATGCATCAACCAAGTCAGCGAGCCAAACACTACATTGTTGTAACATATCTAGGATGCATCAGTTATGAAAACTCTTATTGGATGACATCTTCTGTAGAGATTACCAACACCAGAGCTTGTGGAAATTGAAGGTGGAGGAACCAGGGACAGAAGGGGAGGGGACCCTGGACGGAGACACCAGGTAGTGATGGGTATGATATCTCAACCAATGGTAGGGTACACTTTGAAGTGGCAAGACCCTGAATATCTAGACCAGTGGTAGGGTTCACCTGAAGGTAGCAAGACCCTGAATATCTAGACCAAGGGTTGAGTACACTTGGAGATGGCAAGACCCTGAATATCTAGACCAAGGGTACGGTACACTTGGAGGTGGCAAGACCCTGAACATCTAGACCAGGGGTAGGGTACACTTGGAGGTGGCAAGACCCTGAACATCTAGACCAGGGGTACGGTACACTTGGAGGTGGCAAGACCCTGAACATCTAGACCAGGGGTACGGTACACTTGGAGGTGGCAAGACCCTGAATATCTAGACCAGGGTTAGGGTACACTTGGAGGTGGCAAGACCCTGAACATCTAGACCAGGGGTACGGTACACTTGGAGGTGGCAAGACCCTGAATATCTAGACCATGGGTTGGGGTAGATCTCACCACCAATAGCTGGTTAAGGCAAACACACTTCCTTCACGAAATCCAAGCATTAATCAAGGGGGTCTACAACTGACAAGTTCCATGCTATTAATGTATATGTACATAACAGTTGAGTTCTTTCTGAAATAATACAGCAAAGTGCTTTTAAACTAAAATCACTTCCAATCAACCTGTATGTACATATACAGCTAAACTACTTCTCATAAGCTCTGGCAATGAAAGTAAGATTTATTGTTTCCATGACAACAAAACTTGTTTCACAAGCCCGGAGGAGGACCAACGTTGGCACATGCTGGGACCACTGTTGGAAGTATGGTGACACAGCTGGGTTAGAAGGAACTGTCACCATCATCAAACCTTGCAGCTTCACAATACTCAAACCCACAGAGTCGCTGCTTGTGCCTGGGCAACTTGGGGCCATCTCAAATTGTTCTACACGTTGTAAAATTCAATGGCTTTATGAATTAAAAATAAAACACAATAATTTAGACATTTGTTTCTGTTGGCATATTCCAAATGCTTAACAAACACTGGAAACAGGACTTGGAAACAAACTCAAGTACAAAACATCCTGAGATATAAATCAGAATTTACCAGTAATTTAACTTTCAAAAAGAAAAATGAAACTTATATGTCTAAGTATGAGTCACTTCAATATCACAATTAAATTTAAAAGGACAAAACAAATTGTTGTTCTCCAATACTGGGTATTAAGTTTGGAAATATTTCTCTTGAAGATATTTTCTTTTCTTCGTCACAGGCGCACATCATTCCGACTGAATATCAATGATAAACTTTGAATATGGTTTTGTTTTTGTGGTGCCTTCCAGGTGGTAAGGAATGGGGTTTATGTAAGAAACTACAGTGAACCGTCATTAGTGCGGACCCTGTTAGTCAAGAAACTAGTTAATCTGCATGATTTCATCAGACACAGTATCATCTGTATACACAGATTTACAGTACATTTTACCACCTGGTCGTCATGACAACCCCTAAAATACTTTCTTTTCAAACTTTTCCAAAGAGGAGGATGGTATTCAAGAGAACAAATAATCAATTTGCTGAGGCCATAGCGAAATATTATGTGTGAACTCTCTGAGATGGCCTTCACATGAGCTCGAGAGCATGAGGCACACCAAAGGTTGACATGGAAACTGAAACTGGCAGATTTCATGCTAAAAATGTCGTACATGGTAACTCAGACTGGTCGGCTACCTCAACTAAAGCTGAAACAGAAACATTGTGCAGTCTATGAAATGTGTGCCAAAATCACAAACTGCAAACACTTCACAATTCTAGGCTTCCAATAAAGCAACCAAACACGGTGTAATTGGCATGCAGAATGGAAATGAAATGCTTCGACAAATTACAGCATGAGCACTATGTGCTTTCAATACACAAAGCATTTTAACATCAGTAACTCCCTAAAGAAGGAAGGCTTACACAGAAACACTGTGATTCTCATTACAAGGATTCCAAGCTTAGAACACTTTAAATATTATCCTGAGAAAAGCATTAAATAACATATAAAACATCTTTATCTCTACCGCATCTATGGATGCAGTGAAAATCTAAACTTTGTTTTTAACAATAAAGTTCAGATTAATGATAGTTTATCAAATTGGAAGCAAAGAGATAATTCTGAAGCAAAGGCCAAGACACAGACATGTATTAAAATGACTCTCCTCTATCATGTGATTGGCTACTTTATCATGTGACTGGTTACTCTCTATCATGTGACTGGCTACTCTCTATCATGTGATGGGCTATTCTCTATCGTGTGACTGGCTACTCTCTAACATGTGATGGGCTATTCTCTATTATGTGACTGGCAACTTTATTATGTGACTGGCTACTCTATCATGTGACTGGCTACTCTCTATTATGTGACTGGCTACTCTCTATTATGTGACTGGCTACTCCTTATCATGTGACTAGCTACTCTCTATCATGTGACTTGGCCCTTCTACATGTACATATAGGAGCTACAAGACCCATATCCTTGATAGCTGCAAAAACACTAAACCACAAAACATAAGTAGCAAGTAGCAACCATCAAACTGGATATGGTTCGAAAGGTCCATTGTTTCAAAGCCTGAGCCTGGACATGTGTCCCCCTCCAATACAGGGACGGACACTGTGCAATACTCCGTCCCTCAGTAGCTACAACATAGAGGGGAGGAAGTCACTTACTGTTGGAAATCATCTGGCCCCTGTAGATTTTGTCGTCAACCACATCGGTCCAGAAGATGGCGTTATCAGCGTAGTGGAAGTCGAGGGCAATGGTGTTGCGGAGGCCAGAGACAAGGGAGATGTAGTTCATGGTGCCGAGGTCGTAACGCCGAATCTCGTGGCGGTTGGAGTAGATGATGTAGATGGGCACAGAATCTGGGAAAAGTATCAACATAATTCACACGACTGTCTTCAACACAGAGACCAACACATGGACTCACATCGCCATCTTTAACTAGTCAGGGTCAAGGTCAGTGAAATGGGTTATCTTGCGCAGTGTATTTGTCAAAATTTTAAATGTGTAGGTTTACTAAAGCAACTGAATACACCCATAACTGTGCATTAGGTGCCGTTGTAAAAATAACATAATTTGTTCCAAGGATTAGCCGATAATACTTTGATTGATTGCTTATTTGTTATCTAACTCTATGGATTCTTTTTGAGAACCATGGACATCATGAAAATAGTTGTCACAAGTGCTCTCTCAGATGATCAATAAGACTTGAAAACGAAGACAAACACCACAAGGTGAGGCTTTGGTGAAAGAATGGGTACTTACCATTGGGCTTGCAGCTGTATCTGTCATTGGCGAGGGTGTATCCGGGGTGGCAGAGACACTGATGTCCCAGCGGGGTGGAGGAACAGCTCTGGCTACAGATCCCCCATCTCTCACAGATGTCCTGGGCTGAAGGTACAGGACATCTCACGTCACACACAACTCCCATGAAGTTCTTCAGGAAATATTCAGTTTATTGCGTCCAGGGACAGATATCAGCACTAACCCCATCCCGTGTGCTTGAGGTGAGGTGAAATTGGGTTTAACGTTGCGTCCAAGATTATTGCACTTATATAGCGACGTGCATGCATGTATGTGTGTGTGGGTGTGGGTGTGTGTGTGTGGCTGCTTGTACTAGTCCGGACTGATGCCGATTTATACTGCTATCACACCGAGATATCATGCTGGCGCAGTTTAACATGAATACCCCCCTCAGACACAGTATACTGACTCTGAGCCGACCAGTCCTTGTTTTAGCCCCTTAATGCCGAGCGCCAGACAGGGAAACAACAAGTACCATCTTTTAACGTCTTTTGGTATGACGCGTATGACACAGAGGCGGTCTCGTGTGCTTGAGATCATAGAATGTTAAACATAGCAATAATAATAGTCTTGGTTCTCAGTAACCGCCCGCACATTTTGTTTTTATTTCCATTTTAATTTTTTTTTTTAAATTCCTCATACTTAAAAACAATGCAATCCAATATAGAACACAGTTACTTCCCTTTACAAGGGCACTGCTTTACTGCGCACCTTGTGTCATGGTCATGACGGCAATAGGACGAGAGTGTGCTTGTTTAGGGAGGCCTTTCCCAGGTTGATTGTTCACAACTGTTTATTTGGTTATACACAAGTTTGAACAAGCCAAAAAAATAACACACCACCCGCCCGCACTATATTTCCAAAAGTCATTGCCTGAGAACCAATTCTTTTATTTTTTGAAGCCTAATGTAGCACTTACTCTGAGCAGTAAGCACATCACCCCTGTAGCCTCATCAATGAGTGAGTGAGTGTGTTGAATGCTGCAGTATTTCAGCCACATCAGAGAGTGTTGGAGTTATTTGGGAGGAGAGCCTGTAGTGATGCAGGCAGAACACTACCACTTTAGTTACACCCATGAGGATGGTAGTAGGAGACGCACTGTACTAATCTATGAGTGAGTTTGGTTTTACGCCACTTTTAGCAATATTCCAGCCATATCACGGCGGGGGACACCATGAATGGGCTTCACAAATTGTACCCATGTCGGGATCGAACCCGGGTCTTAGGCGTGACGAGCGAACGCTTTAACCACTAGGCTACCCGACCGCCCCACTAATCTATGAAGCTATATAACAATGATGATGGCGATACTGACGGACACATGTGCTGTTGTTGGCGCTGAGTCTCATGTTGTCAGGGCAGTAGCAGACGTAGCCGTTGGGGCTCTTGTGGCAGTGGTGGCTGCAGTCATTGTTGATACATAGGTCGTACCCTGGTGACAAAAAACGTGAGCATTATCTACCTCCATACTAATGGCATGGTAATTATTTGTGCCATTTCACAGACCACTTCCAAATAAAATGAACAATAAGTAGTACTGTCAGCAATAAATATGTTCGCCATTTTTAGATATAAAGCATTTTGTAATTATAAGAACCACTCGAGGAGGTAATCATCCTTTGAAATTCACACCAGTTTGAAAATCCGAGGCTACTAAATTGTGTAGAGGAATAGTAAGAATCCAATGATTCCTTACCAACTAGCACCATTTGTCAGCCATAACTCTGAACCAGTCCTCGATGCTTAAATTTTTTTGCCACAGAATGAAACTGGCAGAAGATGTAAACTCAGAGGACAAGTGAAATTAGTGAGTGAGTTTGGTTTTCACTGCTTTTAGCAATATTCCAGCAATATCACGGCGGGAACACCAGAAATGGGCTTCACACATTGTACCCATGTCGGGAATCGAATCCGGGTCTTCAGCGTGACGAGCGAACGCTTTAACCACAAGGCTACCCGACCGCCCCCTAGTGTAATTAGGATTCCTCTCCACTAGTCTTAAGAAAAACAAGAATCCTCTGGCCGGTTGACTGAAGACATTTTATAAGGACAGCATCTGACTTACCACAGAGGCGACCCTCGTCAGAACCGTCGGCGCAGTCACTGTGGTCGTCACACAGCTTCTCCAATGGAAGGCAAGTATTGTTGTCATGGCAACTGAACTTGGGTGCTTCGCATGCTTTGTGATACGCTGTAAGACAGAGAAGAATCTAACTAGAACCACGGTTCATCTGGCACCCTTATACAGACAACTGATTTAAAGTCATTTCAAAGGTGCTGTCTGATTTTCTGTATGAAAGTATGTGCATACAAGGGGTTAATGCACTTTCAACAATCTTGACGATGTAAGAGTTAAACTGTGTAACAATGTCGCCATGGCAACGCTTGACACTGATACTCACTGCACTCGTCAGGTTTCTCATCAGACTGGTCGCTGCAGTCGGCGTCCATGTCACACTTCCACGACTTGGGGATGCAGCGACTTCCATCGTCACACCTGAACTCCGCCGTGTGACACGTCACGTTGCCCTTACCTGTTCAAAGTAGTAATAAAATACAAACTTGATGCCATGACAAATAAATTATCATCCTTGGCCGACTTCCAAACACCTTGTCTAACATCACTTTATTGTCGGACAAATGAAGAATATTCCTACAATGTAGCATTATCGCACTACTTGATGAAAGTCATAAAACATGGAGTTCTACCAAACACTCACATCGATTGACCATTGATGGATACAGATACCGGGAAGTTTGCTTGTGAAAAATACAATAAAAATAAAATGCCTCAGTACTGCATGGAGGTCTGAAGTTTTATCAATTATGTGATGTCAATCACTGGATTGTCATATGGCTAGCATCATGTCAGACTTCCGTGGGAGCATTGTCAGGGCCTGGTCCAGGCTTTAGGGGGAGCACCCCCAGTGTCTGTTCTAACAAATTTTTTACAATTTTGCAATTAATTTATTGGGGACTTTTACCATAATTCAATATCTTTTATGGGATTATTTTCTACATATAAAGTTTTTGCAATGAAGTTCACAATACAAGTTGCGTTACACCAACTTTCAATGAATGCAACCTGCTTCTGTACGAACACATTCTGAAATTTGTATGCAATGAAAACAATTGCCTCCCTACGAAGCCACACGTGGTGCAAGAGTTGACCTGAGGTACTCACTGCAATCCTTCTCATCGGACCCATCCTGGCAGTCCTTGTCGCCGTCGCAGCGCCAGATGGTGGTGATGCAGCTGCCGCTGCTGCACTGGAACTCGCTCTCATGGCACTGGCTCACGGGGTGGTCTGCAGACACAATGGCACATACAGCACGCTGAGTGAGTGGGCAGGTGAGTGAGCGAGTGGTTGAGTGATTGAGTGAGTGATTGAGAGGTTGAGTGAGTGAGTGAGTGAGTGAGTGGTTGAGAGTGGTTGAGTGAGTGAGTGGTTGAGAGTGAGTGAGTGAGTGAGTGGTTGAGAGTGAGTGAGTGAGTGAGTGAGTGGGCAGGTGAGCGAGTGAATGAGTGGGCAGGTGAGTGGTTGAGTGAGTGAGTGAGTGGTTGAGAGTGGTTAAGTGAATGAGTGGTTGAGTGAGTGAGTGAGTGAGTGAGAGAGGTTAAGTTTGTGAGTGAGTGAGTGGTTGAGTGAGTGAGTGAGTGAGTGGTTGAGTGGTTGAGTGATTGAGTGGTTGAGTGAGTGAGTGGTTGAGTGTGGTTGAGAGTGGTTGAGTGAGTGAGTGGTTGAGTGAGTGAGTGGTTGATTGAGTGAGTGAGTGAGTATTTATATCAAGGTGTGTCAACTTGATGTGGGGGGATGCTGGTCTGAGCAGCCCACAAGCATGGATATAGTGCTGACAAACATAGCAATGCAATCAGAGCCAACCGACATTTGAAGCCACAATCACGGGACACAGCTCTGCACAGCTAATTGTTGCGCCTTAGAGGACTACACCAGGTGGTAGTTACAGAGACGCTGAGATCAGAATGTAATGGATTCGTAATATGAATAATTTGAAGGATATGAGACATGAATAGTTTGATGGATGTGAGATATGAAGTATTTGCTGGAGAGAGATTTATAACCCATACCACAGTCCATCTCGTCCGACTTGTCTGCGCAGTTGAACTCGTTGTCGCACTTGTAGATGAGGGGGAGACAGACGCTGCTGTTGGTGCACTTGAACTCCCGCTTGAGGTCACACCGGTTGCTGCAGTCCCACTGACAAGGTCAAACCAAGGTCAAACTCTAACGCATGTACAGACAGTTCTTGTGGACATATTCAAACATGTTGAAATGAGCTAATCCTGTGAACTATTGAATTAGGGTTGAGTTACTTCACACAATGGCAGTCATGTTATTCTGGGGATACCAATAGTGGAATACAGAGAGGGTTTGGGTCTAGATCAGGCCGATCCCTGGACCAACAATCCTGTCCGATCAGTGGACGACCACCACACATTATATCAAGTGGGTGAGACGAGTGAGTGAGAGTATGGTTTTACGCCGCTTTTAGCAATATTTCAGCAATGTCACGGCAGGGGACACCAGAAATGGGCTTCACATATTGTACCCATGTCGGGAATCTAACCCCGGGTCTTTGGCGTGACGATGGAACGCTTTAACCACAAGGCTACCCGACCGCCCCAGTGGGTGAGGTGAGGTAATATGGGGTTTAACGTCTCGTTCAAGATTTTTGCACTTATATAGCGATGTGCATGAATGTGTGTGTGTGGCTGCTTGTACTAGTCTCAACTAATGCTGATTTTATGATGCTAGCCCACTCAGATACGATGCCACAGTTTAACATGAATAGTGAGTGAGTGAGTTGGGTTTAATGCTGCTTTTAAAATTATTGCAGTTATATCACAGCTTCTTTTAACTTGAATACCCCACTCAGACACAGTATACTGACTCCAAGCTGACCAATCCTATTTAGCCCCTTCATGCCAAGTGCAAGGCAGGATAACATTAAGTACTATCTTTTAACGTCTTTTGGTATGATTCAGCAAGGGATCGAACCCCGACAGACGGCAGATGCTCTACCACTGGACAAGTTTGTACATTTGTATTCTAATGCCCTGGTCAGAAAAAAGCCAGTGCATTCTGAACCAATGAATAGGAGGAAAATATCACACCTACAGGGTACTTCAGGGTACTTCAGGGTACTACAGGGTACTACAGGGTACTACAGGGTACTTCAGGGTACTACAGGGTACTTCAGGGTACTACAGGGTACTACAGGGTACTACAGGGTACTTCAGGGTACTTCAGGGTACTACAGGGTACATGATACATAAACAAACAAGTCACCAAGTCGGACAAACAACCATTTTAGTCGCCTCTTATGACAAGCAAAGGATGCAGTAGTCCTATTCTATCAGGGAATTGCCACAAGAAAAGCTATGTAACAACGTGCACCACGACTGTATGGGGTAGCTCAGCCGGTCTGGACTCACCTCATCCGAGTGGTCTTTGCAGTCGTACTCGTTGTCGCAGCGGTACATGTAGGGGATGCAGCGCCCACTCAGACACTGGATCTGGTCAAAGCTGCAGCTGGTGTTGTAACCTACAACATACGTTACCATGGTAACATATGCTTTGCTTCAACAACAAACCCCTCAGCATATATTTCGTAACATTTGAATGAAGTGAACATAGATTCATGCCCGCATTCCTGCCATTTCACATCACAGGCAGCCGTTGCCACCATACACTGAAGAAAGGTCTGTGATGTACCTGTGTGTATAGGACATAATGTAGAACATCAATGATTGCCAAATACAAGAGACAGTGGATAATTAACTCTTACCACACGAGTCGTCTTCGTCCGAGCCGTCTGCGCAGTCATTGTCGTGGTCACACCTCCAGCTCTCGGGGATGCAGCGGTGCGAGTCCTTGCACATAGTGTAGTTGGCCGGACACTTGCGGTCTGGGGAAACAACACACAGACTCACGTAACACAGAAGGGCAAGAAACCATGTCTTAACATTCTTCCCTTGAGTAACATACTTTGAAATTCACACTTGTCCACTAGCCTGAGACTACTAAACTGTGCCGAGGACAAGGAAAAATCCAATGATGGTAGATTTTTAGGGCTACAATCTGAAGAAGTTCTTAATTTTGCTACAAATTGGAACTGAATAAAACTGATAGAAAAACTAGTCCCAAAGACTAGCGTATACCTTATTTCACTGTCCTCAGTTTGTAGATGGTCCTCATTGAACAAGACAAAAATGTTAACTGTTTAAACAGTTTTATTCAGTTCCAATTTGTAGCCAAATCAAAGCCTTGACAACAAGTACCATCTTTTAAAGTCTTTTGGTATGATGCTGCCGGGGAACGAACCCGGACCTTCCTCTCTTCGGGCAGACGCTCTACCACAAGACCACGGAGCCGGTCCAATGGACAATACGTAACTCTGCCTGACTTGATGGTTGAGTACTTACTGCTGTTACAGGTATTGGCATGTTCATCTCTCTCGTCGATACAGTCCGGCTCGCCGTCACACACGAACTGGGCGTAGATGCAGCGCTTGTTGCCACAGGCGAACATATCATCAGGGCAGGTGACGTTACCTAGTAAACACATAATCTCACTATCACACAGGAGAGTTGACAAACATATCATCAGGGCAGGTGACGTTACCTAGTAAACACACAATCTCACTATCACACAGGAGAGTTGACAAGAGTTGTAAACAAGCGGAAAAGAATTTTACTTTCTGTGCCCCTCTTTGGAAGGGTAGGGAGCCCTGGAGCCCTCGGCACAACACTGCAGACTATTTGGCATCACAGAAGGTCTAGGAAGTCAAGAGTTTCAAGAGGTCATTTTAGTGTCAATATATGGACTTTCACAGCTGAGATTACAAGGGGTTAACTCTACTTAATGCTGTGTGTTGACTCCTAGCTGAATTCACAGACTACATACTGCAAGGTCCCTCCTCCCCAACATCCTCGTCCGACCGGTCGGGGCAGTTATAGTCGCCGTCACACTTGAACTGGTTGTTGATGCAGCTGCCGTCCTTGCACTGGAACTTGAAGTTCTTGTCACACTTCGGTGGCAGTTGGTAGTTAGGAATGTCTGCAAGTTAAACACAGTCCATTAATTCCTTCTGGTTTAAGAAATGTGTAGGCGTGTTCCAGGGAGAAGTCATTGTAAAGTTTTGTAAAAAAAACTTCCACCAATGACCCCTAATACTATGTACCCCCATTGACCCCTATAAACAAAGTACTACACAGTAGTTAAGAGATAAGCAACACATCTTCTAATTCTGTCCCTGCATTGCCTCCTACCTTCACACGTCAGCTTGTTGTCAGTCAGTGTGCGGCCATTAGCACAAGCACACACCTTGCCCTCCGGTACGGACAGACAGAGGTCGCTGCAGCCTCCGTTGTCCACTGCACATGGTTTATCCCCTGTGGAACAAAAAACAAACAGTGAGTGAGGTTAAGTAGGCAAAGTAGTTCACGAATGACTTCCATGCAGTCCACACTCAGTGAGTCAAACATGCTGCTCATCTCAGCACAAATGATTGTTACCAACTACACACTGGGGAACCTATAAAACCCAAAACCTTAATTCAAGGGGCTGGATTTAGAAATTAGATTACTTGATTTAGAAATTCACATGGTAATCAACAACTGTAATTTTTAGTCCAGTATTGACAGAATCCACTGTATACTTGATTGAAAACTTGTCAACTGAAATTCCTTAGTTTTGACATGTTGTTCAAGACATTTTAACTTTGTAGTTCTCAAAAAATCCTTGGGACACAGTGGTCTACTTTTGGTTTGTATCAAATAATGGATAACACAATATTTGTGATGGTTCTCTGGACCTTCCGTTCACAAGATATTACTGAAGGTCTCACAATGTTTTTGAACCATCAAACTTCAAGGGAAGTGAGTTATCTGGGATTGTTCCGCTTACCATCAACAGTTTGTGCCGTCCTGTCAAACAGCACAAGGTCAAACAGTGGGGAACTGTCAGTGCGAAGATGGACGACAGAGTTGCTGGTTTCATTGAACGTGTCCACCAACCCCTTGAGCGACTCTGTCCAGTAGAGGCGGTCGCTGTAGAAGACGATGCCGTAGGGATGGCTGTGACTGACGCCCTCAAGATCTCGCTCCGTCTGTTCACCGATAATGATGCACAATACAAGAGTAAACAAGTTGCATTTACTGCTGCTTGGAACAGTATTTCTGTTATATCACGGCATGTCAGTGTCTAATGTGGAAGTGGGTGCACAGGTGGCCCAGTCGTCTAAGGTGCCGCGAATTGCTGTGCAGAGTTGCATCCCTTGGACACGCCAGAAACCTATGATTAAGGGTTTGAATCATGGTTCGCCCCGATTATGTTACTAAATTTGTCAGCACCATACCCGTGCTCGTGGGTTTCACCCAAGTGGTAAACGTTTGAGACCTGCATCACTTTGGGTTTTCCTCCCACATTAAACTGACACGCCGCGATACAACTGGAATACTGTTAAAAGCAGCGTAAAACCCAACTCACTTACTCACTCATTAATGTGGAAGGAGAGTCCGAAGTGATGCAGGTTTTAAACATTCACCACTTTGATGAAACCCACTAGCACAAGTATGGCACTAACAAACCTAGAAGCATAATCAGGTCAAATCTAGGATTTGAACTCATGATCACTGATTTCTGGCAGGCCTAAGTAACATTTGGTTGTTGTTTAACGAAGCACTCAGCAATATTCCAGCTATATGACGGTGGCCAGAAAGTAACATTTGGTTGTTGTTTAACGAAGCACTCAGCAATATTCCAGCTATATGACGGTGGCCAGAAAGTAACATTTGGTTGTGGTTTAACGTAGCACTCAGCAATATTCCAGCTATATGACGGTGGCCAGAAAGTAACATTTGGTTGTTGTTTAATGCTGCACTCAGCAATATTCCAGCTATATGACGGTGGCCAGAAAGTAACAGTTGGTTGTGGTTTAACGTAGCACTCAGCAATATTCCAGCTATATGACGGTGGCCAGAAAGTAACATTTGGTTGTTGTTTAACGAAGCACTCAGCAATATTCCAGCTATATGACGGTGGCCAGAAAGTAACAGTTGGTTGTGGTTTAACGTAGCACTCAGCAATATTCCAGCTATATGACGGTGGCCAGAAAGTAACATTTGGTTGTTGTTTAATGCTGCACTCAGCAATATTCCTGCAAATAATCTTGTCTGGCTAGTGATTGATATTGTGAGCACGCTGTCAGGTTATGAAGACATGCCATCCACCAAGCCACAAAGGCTGACCACCAGATCCATCTGGTCACCTCCTCTTATGGACAGCATGGGCTGCTGGGGACTGAACCCAGGAATCTCCACCCAACTACATAACGCGAACAGCTGTGCCCTGATTGCCCATTGCGACTTTTAACAAAGGAGAAGATGTCGCTGCTGTGTACCACCTGATGCTGTTCAAGCAACCAGACACTGCAGCTTCATCACCATTGGTCACCCAAATAAAACCTTACCAAAACTATTACTAACCATACCACTCAAAACAAGTCAAAGAACACCCACAATTGGAAGACATTACAGATTAACTATGGCCATATGAAAGAATTGGGCTTTCTTTAACTTCCTATGAGTAGTATATGTGAAAGCCTTCTAGGATACACTGACTCCTGAACTCCATCAACAGCAGAATTGTTCCACACATGATAACAATGTGATAATGCATACCCGTCTGTCCGACCCATTAGTCAAGATACTTTCGATCTTGTCGTAGTAAGCGTCGGTCCAGTACAGCCTGTGACTGGCTGTATCCAGAGTGAGGCTGTTCGGCCACTTGATGGTCTGGTTAACCAGGTCTCTCCGGCCACTGCCATCCAGCGCAGCCTGTTCGATCTTAGCTACAATGTCGCCAGGGTGTCTCCACAGGAGGTCAATCCAGTACATCATGCTGCAAGGATGAAGGTCACACTCATTAGAAACATAATGACATTCACATCAATAATATGTTTGCTTGCAGGTTTACACTGCAATCAGCAATATTCGAGCCAGATCACAGTGACATGTCAATAATCTAGTGTCAGTCAGGCAAAAGTAGCACCGGACAGTAACCATTGCAATAGGTATGTTACGAAGCAGTCAGGTTTTGTCTCAATTATATCATAATAACTAAGGGACATACTCAAAACACCCAATTTGTTTCAAATGGCTATAGCTATGGAGGGTGGATATTGCAACACATAGTCTCCAACTCTGGGTGTTCTTTATGGTTTGTTTGTTGTTTAACAACCGCACTCAGCAATATTCCAGCTATATGACAGCGGTCTGTAAATAATCTAGTCTGGACCAGACAATCCAGTGAGTGACATCATGAGCATCGATCCACGCAATTGGGACACGATGACATGCTTCAACCAAGTCAGCGAGCCTGACCACCCGATCCCATTAGTTGCCTTTTACGACAAGCATAGTCGCCTGTTACGGCAAGCATGGGTTGCTGAAGACCTATTCTACCCCGGATCTCCATGGGTTGGGCGTTCTTTAACTTGTTTGAGTAGTATATTCATACTACAATATGAAATAGCAACATAATGTAGATCTCCAATAATGAAAATGCCGTTAGGTGACATTAAAATTAGGAAGGAATGAGATCAGATTACATTTGTCAGCTAATCAAAGTAATTTTACAAAGAAATAATCCCCCCAAATGGTAACAGCTGAGCTCTTTTACATTGGAAGTAACAGAATTGACAACAGCACATATGTAGGATGTAAAATAACTCATGCTTACCCTTCATTTGGATCTACGACCATGGACCGTGGATGGTTGGTGCCGTTGACGACGGTGTAGACCATGGAGGTGTTGTCGAGCCTGACGACGTTGATTGACTGGTGGCCGTCATCAGTCCAGTACAGGTTGTTGCCCACCCAGTCGATGGCCAGACCCTCACACCGAGTCACTCCTGGAACACGGGGCACGGAAACAGATATGTAGCTGTGCTGTCATAAGCGTGGCTCCATTATGACCAAACACCACAGTAACCATAGCAACAGGAATGTTGCTAAGCACCACAAGTCTTGGCTCCATTATGACCAAACACCACAGTAACCATAGCAACAGGAATGTTGCTAAGCACCACAAGTCTTGGCTCCATTATGACCAAACACCACAGTAACCATAGCAACAGGAATGTTGCTAAGCACCACAAGTCTTGGCTCCATTATGACCAAACACCACAATAACCAAGGCAACCAAGGATACTAAGTTGCCATAATCCTTGGCTCCAATCTTTACTAACCCTGCACAGTTGGTACATTATTGAGACAAACACAGTTACTTACCTGAATCAAGGAAAAGTTCAGATTCTTCTTCACTGTCCACATTCCGCCGCCGTATTTGCATCTTGCTGACATCGGAGAAGTACACAATGCCCGTCGAGGAATGGGGAGCCAATGCGATTGGTCGGTTGAGGTTCTGGATGGGTACCATGACGTCGTGCGCAATGCTTGGGTCCAATGAAATGCCGTGTACACTTCCTTGCTGGGCGCTGGCGTATAGCAGGAACTTGTCCGGTATTTTCTCTGTAACCACGGTAACATGCAATAGTTTAGTTATACACAGTTGTGACTACAGCTGTTAAGTGAGTGAGTGAGTGAGTTAGGTTTAACGCCGCCTTTAACAGTATTCCAGTTATATCACGGCGTGTCAGCTTAATGTGGGAGGAAAGGCCGAAGTGATGCAGGTCTCAGACGTTTACCACTTTGGTGAAACCCACGAGCACGGATATGGTGCTGACAAACCTAGAAACATAATCGGGGCGAACCGGGATTCGAACCCACAATCATAGGTTTCAGGCGTGCCTAAGGGACACGACTCTGCACAGCGAATCGCGGCGCCTTAGGCGACTGGGCCACCCGTGCCCCCACAGCTGTTAAGTGATGGCTGCACCAGACAATCTCGTGGTCGACAGAGTGAGAAACAACAACACTGGTGCAGTTCAGTATAGCCACAGGTTGTTCATCATGGTCAGTACGGGAGTCGATGGAGGGGTGCTTACTAGTGCAATAACTAGTAATCATAATGAACTAACTGTGAAAACCTTATGAAAAATTACAGTGTGAAGATCAAACCGATTGTGAGCTGGGAAAAGACTATCCCTGTTTACTTTAGCACACATAAGAAAGTGATGTTTTCCTGCCTCATGTATGCACAGATGCTGTTGGCTTGAGAATACTATCTCCCTCAAGGCTATTAGAGAGCTACCAATCAAGGAGCGTCTGTTGAAAATCTTAAGATGTTTCAGTGTTAGGACAGCCGAAATATAGGATTGATGTCTATGACGTAATAGGTTATGTCTTCAAAGGAATTACCAACCTAAAAAGTAGTTTTCCTTGCAAGATTCAGTGACAAAGTCTGACACGTCTGTCACGTCTGTCACGTCTAAGAGTCAGCAGACTGCTAGGGATGCTGTAATGTCGTCTAACAACTGTCTGCTGTACATCATGAGCACATTCCAACATGTCTTTCCAAGCAACATATATTTGGATATCAAATAAAAATGGAAAAGCAATCCAAAGAAAGGAGTTTGTTTCAACTTTTTTTTGTTTATAGATTCTACACTCTTCCGTTAACATAAATGTGTACACACTTTCACTCTGGTCACACTGGGTTCCCTTAAATGTGTACTCACTTTCACACTGCGCTCCGTTAAATGTGTACTCACTTTCACACTGGGTTCCGTTAAATGTGTACTCACTTTCACTCTGGTCACACTGGGTTCCGTTAAATGTGTTCTCACTTTCATACTGTGTTCCGTTAAATGTGTACTCACTTTCACACTGTGTTCCGTTAAATGTGTACTCACTTTCACACTGGGTTCCGTTAAATGTGTACTCACTTTCACACTGGGTTCCATTGTGCAGTCGGAAGCCCGCCCGGCAGGCACATGTAGCTTGAACTCCGCCACTCACGAACGGCATCGGGATGCAGATCTGGCTGCACTTATTCTTACGAATCTGAACATTTTCTGTGGAAAAAAGGCTGAGATTTGAGTTTGTTGTTGGATATGTGCACACATTATCCAGTTACATCATCCACAAGAAAATACTTTCACAAACTGATACCATATGAAAGACAAGAAAATGCATATTAAATAACTCCAAATAGCAATCTCTTCTCTTCTTCATGGAAGTTTAACAACAAAAATGCTGAGAACTGACAAAATATGACAATTGTCAAGAATCCAAATTCAACCAGTTCAACAGAATGACTCCACTGACAATCAAGCTACAAAACCTGAATACCACACGTTGTGGAACAATCTCTGAATAACACATAGATAATCTCCCCAATCTGCAACTATGCCCCTGCACACAAACTTACTGTGGCCTGGCTGTCTCACGGGGTGCACCACCTGCAGGGCGCCAGGCTTGATGACGTCCTTCTTGATCACTTGCGGCGGGATGGTGCGGTCGTAGCGGTGCAGTTGTACGACGCTGTGGTTGCGCTTTTGCAGGTTAGACACATATAGGGCATTTTCAAAAAGTGTTAGTCCATACCGCGGCTTAATCTGGAAGTAAGGTAATACACAGTCCTCAAAGTTCTACTAAAAATGACTTGAATTTGTTTGAAAGGCATTACTTAGAAGTTGAGGGATGACAAAGTAGACACAATTTATGGACTTTGTTCAAGATATGCTCCAGAAATGAAATACGGCCGGATGATGACCATATCACTCTGCTTTATATGCCGGAGGAATAAAAAAGAATCACTTTGTAGAAGAGGGCCCAGGAACATGGGTAGAATCTCCAGTTAGATGCAGTGAGTGAGAGCAGTCAGTACCTTGGTCAATATGTTACCGGGCCAAAAGAAAAAGAAAACAGTCACAGAGTGATCGAGTGTGAGCATCAATTCCACCAATCCTCCAGCAGTGGCACTGGAGGCCCAGAGACTACAATCAACTCAACACTTACAATTGTCCCTGGGGACACGGTTCTCCGGTTGTTGCCGTCGTAGTCTGCTCGCTCAACAAGGTTGAGGAAGGTGTCTCCCCAGTACACGTGTTTGTTGGCGTAGTCCAGGGTGATGCCGCTGGGGTGGACGATCTTCCGCGTCACAATGCCATGAGCTTCAGAACCGTCGAGATTTGCTCTCCCGATCTTGGACTGTGATGACCAATCTGCGTAGAATATATACCTGAAACACAAAGTTAATCAGTATCGTCATCTTCATCATTTACTCAGAGCATCTAGGACGTCCATCAATAACATTGAAGTCAATAAATAAATATCACATACAGCCTCTGGATGCATCGATGGCAATACTCGTGATAATAGTGAACGTAGCTTGTACATGACATACCCTCTGGATGCACTGATGGCAATACTCGTGATGATAGTGAACGTAGCTTGTACATAACATACCCACTGGCTGCATGGATAGCAATACTCGCGATTATAGTGAACAGAACTTGTACATGACATACCCTCTGGATGCATCGATGGCAATACTCTTAGGCTGACTTATTCCATAGTTGAGCACTGTCAGACAATGTTCGCCAGTAGCTGTGCACAGAAAGATCTGATCTCGTTTGTCGTCAGCAAAATACCAGTTTCCAGACATCCAGTCTTTGGCAATTTGATTCACAGCTGAAAAGAAAGTCAACAATAAAAACAACATGTAAACCTACACATGTAACAGGCTTCATTCATAAGCACATAACTGTCAGTAATATTTGAGCATGGAGTCCGCAGACCAGAGCTGTGAATCGTGAGGCCACGAGAAAGGTGAACAGAGCCTTGGGTGAAACACAGCAGCCATTGTGACCAACAAATTCCCATATATGCAGGCCGCAATATTCCACCTATATCACTGCAGCCTGATATTATCAAGCCTAGATCAGATAAACAAGTGGTTGATATCATCAGCAACTTAACACCATCGGAGTAAGATGACAAGAATGTACTAAACCACGGAGTCTGACCACCAGATACAATCTAGTCATCCCTTTTGTTTGTTTGTTGTTTAACGCCGCACTCAATTATCTAGCTAAATGACGGCAGTCTGTAAATAATCGAGTCTTGATCAGACAATCCAGTGATTGACATCATGAGCATCGATCTATACAATTGGGATATGATGACGTGCATCAACCAATTCAGCAAGTCTGACCACCTGATCCCTTCAGTCGCCTCTTTCAATGAGCATAGTCGCCTCTTTCAATGAGCATAGTCGCCTCTTTCAATGAGCATAGTCGCCTCTTTCAACGAGCATAGTCGCCTCTTTCAATGAGCATAGTCGCCTCTTTCAATGAGCATAGTCGCCTCTTTCAACGAGCATAGTCGCCTTTTATAGCAAGCATGGGTTGCTGAAGACCTATTCTACCCCGGATCTTGCCGGAGAGCAATAATGCCGAGGACATAACTCTGACCCACATCCACAGGGGTTGATAGTCCATTTATGATCCCAGTTGGGGAAAAACACTAACAACATTATGAGGAATACATGCCCACTCTCTGGAACATGACCATGTGTAAACCCTGCCTAGTGGTAAGACTCACATGTAAGTTTGAAGTGGGTGGGTATCTTCCACTGTTTCGAGCTGTCGTGTAGGTCTGCACACTGAAGCTCATTGTCTGCCTTGGTATGATTGTATGACAACTGAAACGATGAAATGAAAATAACGGTCAAACTTCTTTTGGATAACAAGTTTATACAACATACTGCACACACAGTCAACTCAGATAACGAGATACTTTCAATGAGTTGAGACCTTGAGTGTATAAGAACAAATTCAGGATATCTTTAAACATTTTGGGGGTACCTTAAGTCACTTTTTATGACTTATTTGATTGTTCATGGGCAGGAAAAAATATGTCCAAGGGTTTTAAGGAGATTTAATCAGAGGGTTTTATATCTCATATAAAATACCCAAGATGGAAGTGTTTTATCTTACATATAAACCAAAAGATAAATCTACAACAATTTATCAACAATTTCATGGTTCAAACATACTTTCCATGAACCTTAGGAAACGGATGTCAAACATTTCTAGCTGGCTTATATGTACTTGACTATAAAGAGATTATGAACAGCATTGTGGTTTATCAGCATCTCTGTTTTATCCCCTTAACGCTGACTGCCAGGCAGGGCAACAACAAGTAACATTACAGTCCTTCCTCTCTCCAAGCACACACTCTAGCCATGACACCAGACAGGTAGAGGAAAATGTTGGCACTTTTAATGCCTACTCTACGCTTTGGTACAGCTTGTACCCTTTCTGGCCATCATGACATGGAGTTGTCAGGCAGAGAATTTACTGCATCGACAAAAATTCTTCCAGCGCCTTACCCAGCAGGCTGAGTTGTTCTGGTAGTCGAAATCTAGCGTGGTGATCCTGTCGCCGGTAATGTTGAAGGATGGAGACACGGCGTTGGTGGACAGGTCAATGAGGAGGAGGTTGCCGTAGTTGGCAACGAGGAGCCTGGCCGGTGCAGCTGCACACAACAATAAAACTCGTCAGAAATGCAAGTAATCACTCACAAGGATTTAACCACGCTAAATTACATATTTGACACTTCATATTGCACATTCAGTTCAAAATTCAACTTAGCGCTGTAAATTCTACAAGTAACTTGGCCCTAAATTGGAAACATTATGTTTATCTCCTATATAACATATATCTTTATTACGTGGTAGTGTTTTTATTGATGGATGTTTCTCTATATTTGCTCAAATTCGGCCTCGCTAGTCACATGATTAGTACAGGTGGTGAAATCTTACAGCCAATGGCTCTACATCGTCCCATCTTCCCGGCCTTGTACCCCGTCGTACAGGAACAGTTGTAGCTGCCATTGGTGTTGTCACAGTTTTGGTCGCAGAAACCATCAATCTTACACTCATTAAAATCTGTAACACAAAAAATATTCTGACCAAATGTATATTCCAAGCATCAGCCAGTACTTGTGAGCGAGTGAGTGAGTGAGTATGGTTTTACGCCACTTTGAGCAATATTCCAGCAATATCGCGGCGGAGGGACACCAGACATGGGCTTCACACGTTGTACCCATGTAGAAAATCGAACCCGGGTCTTCGGCGTGATGAGCAAATGCTTTAACCACTAGGCTACCCAACCGCCCTCAGGCAGCTCTTAATAGTCAGCAATATCTCAGTTATATCACACGGGCCTGTTGACAGCAATATCTCAGTTATATCACACGGGCCTGATGTCAGCAATATCTCAGTTATATCACATAAGCCTGTTGACAGCAATATCTCAGTTATATCACACAGGCCTGATTTCAGCAATATCTCAGTTATATCACATAAGCCTGTTGACAGCAATATCTCAGTTATATCACACTGACCTGATGTCAGCAATATCTCAGTTATATCACATAAGCCTGTTGACAGCAATATCTCAGTTATATCACACAGGCCTGATTTCAGCAATATCTCAGTTATATCACATAAGCCTGTTGACAGCAATATCTCAGTTATATCACACGGGCCTGTTGACAGCGATATCTCAGTTATATCACACTGACCTGATGTCAGCAATATCTCAGTTATATCACAGGGGCCTGTTGACAGCAATATCTCAGTTATATCACATGGGCCTGTTGTCAGCAATATCTCAGTTATATCACACAGGCCTGTTGACAGCGATATCTCAGTTATATCACACTGACCTGATGTCAGCAATATCTCAGTTATATCACACGGGCCTGTTGACAGCAATATCTCAGTTATATCACATGGGCCTGTTGTCAGCAATATCTCAGTTATATCACACAGGCCTGTTGACAGCAATATCTCAGTTATATCACATGGGCCTGTTGACAGCAATATCTCCGTAATAACTCACCAACACATTTGATGGGGTTCTTGTCGCTGATCTGTTGGCCCTCCTGGCAGTAGCACTGCGGCCCCTTCAGGGTTTCCTTGCACATGTACTCACACTGCTGTGCCCGGCACCCATAGTTGGCTGGCAAACAATCAACACACTACATGAACAATATGTCCTGCTGGGCACTTCATTCTGTTCTAACTCAGGAAACTGTTCTGTTCAACCCGAGGATAAAACTTGTTATCATACCTCCATGTCAGAATGATGAAATCTGAGTGGTCCACGGGATCTTGATAAAATACTGTTTAACCAGCCTTAGCGGGGAATAAATTTCTCAGCAGGGAATAAATCCCTTATACCCCACCACGAGCAAATCAGGCTGCATGCGGATTTCTGAGAGACAGAATAAATACCCTTATACACTGCTTCAAAGCAAACATATGGGGCAATGGAAGTCACGTGTCATAGGACAAGCTAACCTCAGCTCAATCAGAGCTATTTTTGTCAAGTTTTAATTTGTTTGAATTCTTTTGAATTCTATGTCTGTAAGATTAAATCATTATAGCAGGGTCACTGAGGCTACATAGGTTAGGTTGTGAAACCTAGCACAGAACGCATAAAACCCCATGTACCCCATGTGATCCAGCTACAACTGATATTATTGCACACCTGAATGTGAAGTTATGGTCAGTGACATCTCTCCATTCAATATTCATTCATCTATAACAATCAGTGAGTGAAAGGGGTTCTAGTCTGTGGCCAGCAATAGTAAACATATCACAGGTTAGGAGCAGACAAACCACCTAGAGATTGATTCCATCCATGTGGGCAGGCACACTGACATCGTTGATGGTCACTATCTTGGCACTGCCCCACTCAGACCCTGGCCATCCCATCCCCAGCCATCTTTCCAAGTGAGTGACATGTTTATTTCTGATTGCAGCTGTATAATAAACGTAGTTGGACATCAGGACTTCACACCTGTCAGCCCCTAGAACTCCCAGGATCACCCATAACTCCCAGATTCCCAGGATCACCCATAAGCCAAAGATCTCCAGGATCACCCATAACCCCCAGGATCACCCATAACCCCCAGATCTCCAGGATCACCCAAGAGCCCCAGATCTCCAGGATAAACCATTAACCCCCAGATCTCCAGGATCACCCATAATCCTCAGGATCACCCATAACCCCCAGATCTCCAGGATCACCCATAACCCCCAGATCTCCAGGCTCACCCATAACCCCCAGATCTCCAGGATCACCCATAACCCCCAGATCTCCAGGATCACCCATGAGCCCCAGATCTCCAGGATAAACCATTAACCCCCAGATCTCCAGGATCACCCATAATCCTCAGGATCACCCATAACCCCCAGATCTCCAGGCTCACCCATAACCCCCAGATCCCCAGGATCACCCATAACCCCCAGATCCCCAGGATCACCCATAACCCCCAGATTGCCAGGTTAAACCAATAATCCCTAGAACCCCAGAATCGCCCATCAGCCCCAAATGTCCAGGATGATCACCCGTCTGCTCCCAGATCCCCAGGATAACCCATAAGTTCCGAGATCACCATGACCAGCACCTACCACAATGGGCTCCCTCGTCGGCGCCATTGTCTTCACAGTCCACCATGGAGTCACAGACTCTCGTCAGGGGAATACAGTGGAGGGTGCCAGGACATAAATACTGGTTTGGAAGACACTTAAAGCTGTCGATGGCGTCACCTGAAACATGGTCACAACATCCTCAACGCAATTCATCAACACACAATCCTTGATGGTGTTACCGCAAGAAAAATAGAAATGAAGTGTATTATTTTTCAAGAAGTGTAATAATTTTAAAGTAGAGTCATAATTAAAAAGGAATACTTGCTTTACATTGACAACGGTGGTACAAAAACCATTAACACATGAGCACCTGCCTCGCGACATTTAACTGTCTCTCTCATAGCTGTTGGTCATTTATTAACAAGATACATTGCTTCTTTCCAATGATTATTCAAGTGTACGATTATTCAAGTGTTGAAAAAGTGAAAAATACAAAAATGATTGACCATTTAAATTCTATGAGCATAAAAGTAGACTTACCATAAACATGAATAGATACCTATTAATTCAGTATTGCATAGGCTCAAAGTTTACAATCAAACATTAAACTTTAGAATAAAGAATATTGAAACAAAAATATTCATCAAAATTATAGAAAGCCTTTGAAAATTTTCTGTGCCCAAAACTGGATTATGTCATGCAGATGATCAAGCTGCATGACGTCATGTCATAAGTCACATACAATCTCTCCGGTTACGTTGTTTGTAAGGAGTTACTGTGTGCTAAGAGCATGCAGACACATCAGGACAAACGCAATGCAGTGTTACATAAGCAGGTAGTCCGCGTGACAACACTCGGAACAACAGCAACATCAACAGCAACAACATCAGCAGCTACACACAACACACATGTACTCAACGTACGACCGAGATACTGGTGTATGGAAGCCTCAGAGAACAAGAACGTTCATATTGTAATCAGTAACATGGCTTTCACAAGTGTCTCTATCAAATGTTGAGTAGCATATATTTTCAGGAAATCATTTGAAATTAGAGATAAAAGTTTCAGTTTTTTAAATGTTTTTTTTTTAAAATTTGTTCTAATAATGCACACATTTGACACCACAACACTGTGACACAAGCATGATATGATCTGTCAGTGACAGAAGCATGATATCTCATGGTGACATTAGCGTGATATCTAATAGTAACACTAGATGATATGATCCGACAGTGACAGAAGCATGATATCTCATGATGACATTAGCGTGATATCTAATAGTAACACTAGATGATATGATCCGACAGTGACAGAAGCATATCTCATGGTGACATTAGTGTGATATCTCATGGTGACATTAGCGTGATATCTCATGGTGACATAAGCGTGATATCTCATGGTGACATTAGCATGATATCTCATGGTGACATTAGCGTGATATGATCCGACAGTGACAGAAGCATGATATCTCATGGTGACATTAGCGTGATATCTCATGGTGACATTAGCGTGATATGATCCGCACGTGTGTATAAGCAGGATATATCACGGTAACTAAACATGGTATCATCCAGCAGTTATATGAATATGATATATCATGGTAAAACTAGCATGATATGGCCTAATAATGCTACATTTAAGCATGACATGATCCTCCAGAGTATTAAGCAGGATAGATCATAGCAAGGTAATGTGATTAATACGATACATTTAGCAGTGCAGTATATGCCTAGTATGGAATTGCTACATGTAAATCATAAATGGGTAATGGTTGCTCATCACTGAATTTCTGTCATCTGGTCACACCCACATGCATCTGATGATATACAATATTTCAACAGTGATATATGTCATTACATCATGTTATTATATGTCCTCAATACTATTTTTTTAGATTCGTTTTGTTTAACGCAGCACTCAGCAATATTCCAGCTATATGACCGCAGTCTGTAAATAATCAAGTATGGACCAGACAATCCAGTGATTGATATCATGAGCATCGATCCACGCAAGTTGGATACGATGACATGCATCAGCCAAGTCAGCGAGCCTGACCACCAAATCCCATTAGTCGCCTTTTTTAGCAAGCATGGGTTGCTGAAGACCTATCCTACCCTGGATCTTCAAGGGTCTCCTCACAACTAACAAGAGGAGCCATCACCATACTGTAATCTCCACTTGGCCACTGTGACTGACACGTCCCATGTGATAGTACTGACTATAATAAATGGGTAGTTGTAATATGCTATACTCCATCCTCTAGAGCGTCTCAATGCGTGAAGACCATTATTACCTTGGTTAAAGGATCAGTGTGAGCTCATTTTTTTTTTTCTCAGCTCCCTAGGGAGTATACAACCCAAGCTTCACATGGAAGTTGGATGTGATGATCGGATCACAGCCGTAAACATCGACTTGATCCACAGACAAAAGAACATAATTATTTTGATTCTTTGGTGTCATAGATGATATGTGTTACAGAGATTGACCACTGACCTGGGTGTTATAGATTATATGTGTTACAGAGATTGACCACTGACCTGGGTGTCATAGATGATATGTGTTACAGAGATTGACCACTGACCTGGGTGTTATAGATGATATGTGTTACAGAGATTGACCACTGACCTGGGCGTCATAGATGATATGTGTTACAGAGATTGACCACTGACCTGGGCGTCATTGATGATATGTGTTACAGAGATTGACCACTGACCTGGGTGTTATAGATGATATGCGTTACAGAGATTGACCACTGACCTGGGTGTCATTGATGATATGTGTTACAGAGATTGACCACTGACCTGGGCGTCATAGATGATATGTGTTTCAGAGATTGACCACTGACCTGGGCGTCATAGATGATATGTGTTACAGAGATTGACCACTGACCTAGGTGTCATAGATGATATGTGTTACAGAGATTGACCACTGACCTGGGCGTCATAGATGATATGTGTTACAGAGATTGACCACTGACCTAGGCGTCATAGATGATATGTGTTACAGAGATTGACCACTGACCTGGGCGTCATTGATGATATGTGTTACAGAGATTGACCACTGACCTGGGTGTTATAGATTATATGTGTTACAGAGATTGACCTCTGACCTGGGTGTTATAGATTATATGTTTATAGAGATTGACCACTGACCTGGGTGTTATAGATGATATGTGTTACAGAGATTGACCACTGACCTGGGCGTCATAGATTATATGTTTATAGAGATTGACCACTGACCTGGGTGTTATAGATGATATGCGTTACAGAGATTGACCACTGACCTGGGTGTTATAGATGATATGTGTTACAGAGATTGACCTCTGACCTGGGTGTTATAGATATGTTACAGAGATTGACCACTGACCTGGGTGTCATAGATGATATGTGTTACAGAGATTGACCACTGACCTGGGTGTCATAGATGATATGTGTTACAGAGATTGACCACTGACCTGGGCGTCATTGATGATATGTGTTACAGAGATTGACCACTGACCTGGTCATCATAGATGATATGTGTTACAGAGATTGACCTCTGACCTGGGTGTTATAGATATGTGTTACAGAGATTGACCACTGACCTGGGTGTCATAGATGATATGTGTTACAGAGATTGACCACTGACCTGGGCGTCATAGATGATATGTGTTACAGAGATTGACCACTGACCTGGGCGTCATTGATGATATGTGTTACAGAGATTGACCACTGACCTGGGCGTCATAGATGATATGTGTTACAGAGACTGACCACTGACCTGGGCGTCATAGATATGTGTTACAGAGATTGACCACTGACCTGGTCATCATAGATTATATGTGTTACAGAGATTGACCACTGACCTGGGTGTCATAGATTATATGTTTATAGAGATTGACCACTGACCTGGGTGTCATAGATGATATGTGTTACAGAGATTGACCACTGACCTGGGTGTTATAGATGATATGTGTTACAGAGACTGACCACTGACCTGGGCGTCATAGATATGTGTTACAGAGATTGACCACTGACCTGGGCGTCATAGATATGTGTTACAGAGATTGACCACTGACCTGGGTGTCATTGATGATATGTGTTACAGAGATTGACCACTGACCTGGGCGTCATAGATGATATGTGTTACAGAGATTGACCACTGACCTGGTCGTCATAGATTATATGTGTTACAGAGATTGACCACTGACCTGGGTGTCATAGATGATATGTGTTACAGAGATTGACCACTGACCTGGGTGTTATAGATGATATGTGTTACAGAGATTGACCACTGACCTGGGCGTCATAGATGATATGTGTTACAGAGATTGACCACTGACCTAGGTGTCATAGATGATATGTGTTACAGAGATTGACCACTGACCTGGGTGTTATAGATTATATGTGTTACAGAGATTGACCACTGACCTGGGTGTCATAGATGATATGTGTTACAGAGATTGACCACTGACCTGGGTGTCATAGATGATATGTGTTACAGAGATTGACCACTGACCTGGTCGTCATAGATTATATGTGTTACAGAGATTGACCACTGACCTGGGCGTCATAGATGATATGTGTTACAGAGATTGACCACTGACCTGGTCATCATAGATATGTGTTACAGAGATTGACCACTGACCTGGGCGTCATAGATGATATGTGTTACAGAGATTGACCACTGACCTGGGTGTCATAGATGATATGTGTTACAGAGATTGACCACTGACCTGGGCGTCATAGATATGTGTTATAGAGATTGACCACTGACCTGGGCGTCATAGATGATATGTGTTACAGAGACTGACCACTGACCTGGTCATCATAGATTATATGTGTTACAGAGATTGACCACTGACCTGGGCGTCATAGATGATATGTGTTACAGAGATTGACCACTGACCTGGGCGTCATAGATGATATGTGTTACAGAGATTGACCACTGACCTGGGTGTCATAGATGATATGTGTTACAGAGATTGACCACTGACCTGGGCGTCATTGATGAGATGTGTTACAGAGATTGACCACTGACCTGGGCGTCATAGATGATATGTGTTACAGAGATTGACCACTGACCTGGGTGTTATAGATGATATGTGTTACAGAGATTGACCACTGACCTGGGTGTTATAGATTATATGTGTTACAGAGATTGACCACTGACCTGGGCGTCATAGATATGTGTTACAGAGATTGACCACTGACCTGGGCGTCATAGATATGTGTTACAGAGATTGACCACTGACCTGGGTGTCATAGATGATATGTGTTACAGAGATTGACCACTGACCTGGGCGTCATAGATGATATGTGTTACAGAGATTGACCACTGACCTGGTCGTCATAGATTATATGTTTATAGAGATTGACCACTGACCTGGGTGTTATAGATGATATGCGTTACAGAGACTGACCACTGACCTGGGTGTTATAGATGATATGTGTTACAGAGATTGACCACTGACCTGTGTGTCATTGATGATATGTGTTACAGAGATTGACCACTGACCTGGTCATCATAGATTATATGTTTATAGAGATTGACCACTGACCTGGGTGTCATAGATGATATGTGTTACAGAGATTGACCACTGACCTGGGCGTCATAGATTATATGTTTATAGAGATTGACAACTGACCTGTGTGTTATAGATGATATGTGTTACAGAGATTGACCACTGACCTGGGCGTCATAGATGATATGTGTAACAGAGATTGACCACTGACCTGGGTGTCATAGATTATATGTTTATAGAGATTGACCACTGACCTGTGTGTTATAGATGATATGTGTTACAGAGATTGACCACTGACCTGTGTGTTATAGATGATATGTGTTACAGAGATTGACCACTGACCTGGGCGTCATAGATGATATGTGTTACAGAGATTGACCACTGACCTGGTCGTCATAGATTATATGTGTTACAGAGATTGACCACTGACCTGGGTGTTATAGATGATATGTGTTACAGAGATTGACCACTGACCTGGGCGTCATAGATGATATGTGTTACAGAGACTGACCACTGACCTGGTCATCATAGATTATATGTGTTACAGAGATTGACCACTGACCTGGGCGTCATAGATGATATGTGTTACAGAGATTGACCACTGACCTGGGTGTTATAGATGATATGTGTTACAGAGATTGACCACTGACCTGGGCGTCATTGATGAGATGTGTTACAGAGATTGACCACTGACCTGGGCGTCATAGATATGTGTTACAGAGATTGACCACTGACCTGGGTGTTATAGATGATATGTGTTACAGAGATTGACCTCTGACCTGGGCGTCATTGATGAGATGTGTTACAGAGATTGACCACTGACCTGGGCGTCATAGATATGTGTTACAGAGATTGACCACTGACCTGGGTGTTATAGATGATATGTGTTACAGAGATTGACCACTGACCTGGGCGTCATAGATGATATGTGTTACAGAGATTGACCACTGACCTGGGTGTCATAGATGATATGTGTTACAGAGATTGACCACTGACCTGGGTGTCATAGATGATATGTGTTACAGAGATTGACCACTGACCTGGGTGTCATTGATGATATGTGTTACAGAGATTGACCACTGACCTGGGTGTTATAGATGATATGTGTTACAGAGACTGACCACTGACCTGGGCGTCATTGATGATATGTGTTACAGAGATTGACCACTGACCTGTGTGACTCGTCTTGTGCTCCTATTACTTCTCATATTAATCTTGTAAATCTGCCATGGCATGTCATAGCATATATGATGAGATGAGGTGAACTAGCTACCCTGACACTAGATGTCAGTGTTGATCTTGCCACTAATAAGGCTTGTGGAACTCTGCAGCAACTACTGTGTTGTCAGGTCGTGTACAACTCAGTCCACATACTGACAGTGTAGGTATGCCTTGTATACAAACCGAAAAAGAGAGAGTTAGGAATCATGGATATTTTGGGGGATATTTTAATGAAATTTGGTGCTCAGTCTTTACTACATAAAAATATCTCCCAAAATATTCATGATCCCTAATTTTCTTTGTTTAGTATATATATTTGACCGTGTGAGCGTGTCATGTACATAAATACAGTGACAAAGTGGGCGTGACCTTGTTGTAGCAGTGCAGGTGAAACATGTTAAGAGATATATGAATTCAGGATGATCCCGCAGTGGTTAGATTCATATGTTCAGAAGCATATTGTTGATGAAATGATAACTCCAAAAACTAGTCATAAACAGACTTAAGGAAATATAAAAAACATTTGCCAAATCAGCGTAATTAGTGCTCGCAAAAACCATAAGTTTGTTCAGCATAAATCTCTTTGTGTTTCAGGATAATGAAGAAAGCTATTTTGGTATAAGTAAAAGGATTGACGATTGGCCAGCAGCATGTGCGTATATTGTTAATTATTCACTGCTGGCGTGAGCAAATGTTAAATGACTCTCTACTTCAGGGCTTTAATTGTCAGTAAAGCATATGTTGATGACTGTGTTATGTCTCAGCTTGTTACTAAAGTAGAAACACCTCTCGTTACAAACCAACAATATTAACATGATGTAGGACTAGAAACCAACATGTAATGAACCAACAGAAGAATATCCAATGTTAACAGGTAAATCAATGTTGAAAAGAAAAATACAACAAAATTATACAAATCGTTAAACAACAAAATAGATTTGTTTCTCAAAAGGCAAACATCAAAAGAGGAAATATGAAAAAAGAAGCAAAAAAAGAAGCACTGCATAATTTTGACCTTTCCATCTTAATGGATGTTTTCTTTTCATCAAGACATAGACATAGACAACCTTTAAGAATATCCATGATTCATAGTCTCATGTACACCTACAATATTTATCCCTTATCCCCCACTCACGTCTACACCTGCAATATATATCCTTTATCACCCGCTCACATGTATGCCTGCTATATATGTCCATTATTTCCCACTCACATCCACACATGCAGTATATATCCCTTATCCCCCCCCACTGACTACTACACATGCAATATATATCCTTTATCACCCGCTCACATCTACACCTGCAATATATATCCTTTATCACCCGCTCACATGTATGCCTGCTATATATGTCCATTATTTCCCACTCACATCCACACATGCAGTATATATCCCTTATCCCCCCCCACTGACATCTACACATGCAATATATATCCTTTATCACCCGCTCACATCTACACCTGCAATATATATCCTTTATCACCCGCTCACATCTACACCTGCAATTTATATCTTTTATCACCAGCTCACATTTATGCCTGCAATATGTATCCTTTATTCCCACTATTACATCTACACCTGCAATATATATCCTTATTCCCACTATCACATCTACACCTGCAATATATATCCTTTATCCCCGCTCACATCTACACCTGCAATATATATCCTTTATCCCCGCTCACATCTACACCTGCAATATGTATCCTTTATTCCGACTATCACATCTACACCTGCAATATATATCCTTATTCCCACTATCACATCTACACCTGCAATATATATCCATTATTTCCACTATCACATCTACACCTGCAATATATATCCTTTATTCCCACTATCACATCTACACCTGCAATATATATCCTTTATCACCCACTCACATCTACACCTGCAATTTATATCCTTTATTCCCACTATCACATCTACACCTGCAATATATATCCTTATTCCCACTATCACATCTACACCTGCAATATATATCCCTTATTTCCACTGTCACATCTACACCTGCAATATATATCCTTTATTCCCACTATCACATCTACACCTGCAATATATATCCTTTATCACCCGCTCACATTTACGCCTGCAATATATATCCTTTATTCCCACTATCACATCTACACCTGCAATATATATCCTTTATCCCCTCTCACATCTACACCTGCAATATGTATCCTTTATTCCCACTATCACATCTACACCTGCAATATATATCCTTATTCCCACTATCACATCTACACCTGCAATATATATCCTTTAATTCCACTATCAAATTCACACCTGCAATATATATCCTTTATTCTCACTCACATCCACACCTTCTACATATAACCATAATTCTCCGAAATGAGCTAGATGTCCATTCTCCTATGGAGTGTATGAGTCTACGATGGCGCCATGGGTGTTATGATGATGGTGATGGTGTATGGCACGTTGGACACACAGGATGAGACAAGCGGTGAACTAGCAGCATCAGCAGAGCAGTCATCACATGACCAGGAGCCAAGAAGCAAAGCTGGTTGGGTGTGTTGCAATTTCAAAACTGCTCACCAGAAACTAGTTCCATATTGCAAGATACAGTACTAGTTTCTTGATAACAGATTCAATTTTGAGTGGTTTCATTGTTAAAAGAGTTTTAAAATTTGTTTGAAAATGTACAACACATTTCAATATTTATTAAATGTCAATGCCAGAAACAACCCACTCTCCTGTGTGATCATTACTTGCAAAGCACCCATTTTTACGCCCAACCCGCTACCGCAAAGAATGATGGGAAATGGTAAGATGGTATGGATACCAACCTCGTGCATGTTTCCCGCCCTTAAGTTTCACGCCTGGGATACGACACAGGATGACGCAATTAGTACAGAAACTTCATGGATGCACCTAGCTGGCACCCGCCATAGCAACCAGACATATTCCTTGACAACATTCTACAAACTACTTAATGCAAAAATTTCTGTTTCAAAATACATTACAAAAAAAATGAGTCATGGAGTTCTATAGCTTCATGTGGGCTGGCTACTTTATCTTAAATGCTTATTGCATTATAACACCGGGGTATGTCGACTCCTCGGGGTTAGAATGTGGAAGAAAACTCAAATTAGAGAAACGTCATCAGGGTGAATTTCAATATCTGGGAGTTAATTTGAATGGAAAGTTGTTGAAGATTTTAAACTTCCGATATTTATGATACGGATGATGAACAACACATCACTGAGTAAACTCTCACAACCACTCGTTTAGTTGAGCTACAAGTAATATTAAAGAATCATAGACTGAGTTTGAAATGTCCCTGTATCAGTGTCCCCTGAAACCAGGTTGTCATGGAATTGGTAGTCCGGATCTGGCACTAGTAATTACAGCGGGTGCAGCCATTGGCCGTATAGGATCAAACACTTTACCAATAGAATCACTCCTGCTCTCTCATTGGTGGAAACAGACACCTGACACAAGACAGGCTCATCTCACTGTCTCGGAACTCTTATTAAATTGAAAGATTTGGAAGGACTTTTAATCAATTTTGTTTCACATTCGAACAATTTACTAACTTTACTAAACATAAAGTGAATTCAGTCGGCTGACATTTTTGTCTTTCCCGGCAGCAGCCACCAGGGAGAGAGAGCAGCTGTCATTTGTTAATAATTTCATTTCGCTGAAAAAAGAAAGTTTGATTAGCATTCCTGCGACATCATTAACAATAGAAAGAAAACATTCCCATGGAGATCTCATATAAAACCATTCCTACAAAACATTGTGTCATGGCACTGTAGCTCACCTAGTCATATATTGTAGGCATGTTCAAATATCTACAGAGACAGTCACAGGATTAAACCAGAGACCATATACAGAGAGAAACTGCAAGATTCGAAAGTCCACTGTTTCCAAATATTGATATAGTGTCTTTCCCTTTAACATGACTTTATCATCAGATACCTACTTGATGTCTTTGCGTTCATATAAACATTAAGATGCCAATATGCACAGCGACTTAAGTTTGCATTCTTCAACAAAATGGGGAATCAAGGGAAAATGCACAAACCGTCACGATGGATTGATTCGACTTACTGTTTAGAAACCTTTCAATTCTGTCATGATTGAGGAACAACTGTCGTCTATTTCAATCATATTCTGGGCTGTCAATAATGGTCAATATCAACATTTTCTCTAACATTTATGAGCCAATATTTCAGATCACCCCTTTCCCAAGTTGTCCCCTGAATAAACATTAATTCTTCAATAAACATTAGCATATTTGTTTTGTAACGTATGGTTGAGTATGTGTTCCACCCCTGGCCAGGACAGTGATAGCTGGTGGTACTCAACTGACTGACAAGGGCTGTCCCTCCGAATACAGCCAATGATTAAAGCTGGCATAATATTTAAATATTTTTGGTATGAATAGTCAGGAAAAATGGACCAAGATAATTAAGTAACTAAATTTCATAACATGAAACAATAAATGCAAGGTGTTACAATGTCTGATTGGTGTAACACAACAAGGCATCCCTCACACAATTCTGGGAAGATTAAAACAAACCAATTCACAAAAGTTAAACTTTCAATACTCATGCCTATCATGAACAAAAAACTTATCAGGGTTAAAAAACATCCAAATAAAGTATGAGAAGGTTTTCCTGAATTGTCCCAAGCTCCTAAGAGTCCACCGAAAGACGTAGTATATACTACCCACAGATCGATGCCACTCCCAGCCTCATCATCATGCCTGGAATCTATTTATAGCCATTTTCATTGATTCAAAGTATCACCTTGATGACTCGACTCCTGTAGGTTATGTGAAGATGATTATATTTGATTAATTTGATTTGATTAATTAAAAGTTTGTAAAAAAGAAAAACTCATAAAAATCACAAACTTTCAAATAATATGCTATGATATTTCAGCTTCTTCAGATGTTCACAGACTAACACATACAAGAAACAAATGTACTTGTCCATTGATGTCATTTTGCAATATGGCTGCCATTGCAGCCATATTGAAAATCTGATTTAAACCTCTTGCATCAGGTGCAGGTTTCATTGGTCCAGTGGTAAAAGAGGAGGAGCTTCTGAGTCAGATGGACGACTGACAAGCAGGCCATGACATCAGCCCATCTGACATTGTCAGGTCAGCTAATACATTATACAGAAACATTGCTACAATATAGATACACAATATCTAGAATACATGGCAGTTAAACTGTTAGTTTTGAACAAGAAACTGATAGGTGTTTGTCCAAGCAATGACTACGCTTAGGTTTCTAATTAACTTGGAACTGAGTTAATCATGTGGCATGCACTATTTCATGCAGACACCAACGTCTAGCTTACAAACAAGCAGACATCTTGAGAAAATATAACACAACATTTCAGGACGTTAGATGTGCAGGAAGATCAATCAAATATGTAATACTTCTATCACTTTTCCGCATCTAAGTGAGCTTAGAGGGTAGACATCCACTGGCAGCAATGTTACAGCTGACCTGTTTAGTCAGGCTTCAAGCTAGAAAACCATTGCTGGTGTGAGCAATGATGGTAACACCATTGGGACACCCCCCACACAACACCAGCCTGGCAGAGCCCAAACAGAGTTGTGCACCTCCATGGTCGCCCATCACAGTAATTTATACATTCTGCCATTGGGACCATTTCACCCACATATTTCTGGAGGTGGTCATAAAATCCTTGAATTAAGCATTATCTTATCCCCTCTGAAGGTATCCATCATACTTAGACCCTTCCCATCAATAACAATAACATACATATCCTGATGTTCATATACATTCTGATCTTACATTAATGTTATACATGTGGTACTTATCTGTTTACAAAGACTGAAGACGTAACAGGGTATATAAGGATATGGACAGAAACAGGCACAGATGCCAGGAAGGGAGATAATCACAATTAGTGAGACCAATTAATTAATCAGGGTCACTATACTAGCCAAGAAGAAAGCAACATTTGAATATATTAAAGGGGAGAGACGTACAGGGAGGTTGCTCCAGTTTGGGCAGAAATACTCGTATTCTGTAACTAAACCGAGTTAACCTAAACCGATTTAAATTCATTTTCACATATTTTATAGATATTCTAAAGAATAAAGGTTCTGTGGCTACAATGTATTTGAGTGATAAAGAAGGGAGCAAACTCACATTCTTGTGGGGATTCGTCGGACCCATCACTGCAGTCCTCTTCCCCGTCACACACATAGCCCTCCTTCACACAGAAGGGAGTGCCCTTCACACAATGGAAGTGTCCAGCTTCACAGGTCGGGATGCCTGAAACAGTCAACATGGAGATGACAGCAACAGTGTACAGACCACATGGCAACAGTGTACAGACCACATGGCAACAGTGTACAGACCACATGGCAACAGTGTACAGACCACATGGCAACAGTGTACAGACCACATGGCAACAGTGTACAGACCACATGGCAACAGTGTACAGACCACAGGGCAACAGTGTACAGACCACATGGCAACAGTGTACAGACCACATGGCAACAGTGTACAGACCACATGGCAACACTGTACAGACCTCATGGCAACACTGTACATGGCAACACTGTACAGACCTCATGGCAACACTGTACAGACCTCATGGCAACACTGTACAGACCACATGGCAACACTGTACAGACCTCATGGCAACACTGTACAGACCTCATGGCAACACTGTACAGACCTCATGGCAACAGTGTACAGACCACATGGCAACAGTGTACTAAGAAACCCAAACATACAGCAGTGGCTGTTCAAGATCACACCACTAATTACAGTGTGTAAATATAGCTCCTGTTTCACACTACTGTGGTAAACTGCAACCCTCTAATTAAGTCAAGTTGTGGAAGTGTCGGGGTAAACAATGCTCAATCCAGTGACTGAACACCAAAATGTCTCCACCAAGAAAAGGCTGTCGAAAATATTTACTTGATTAGTCGGCGTATGTCAATGTTATCCATATTAAGGTCATATCAAAGTCAAGGTCTTCTAGACTGTAAACAGTGTTTGAATAAAATCACAAGACGTCAGCTTCAATATGTGTTGGAGGAAGCACACAGTGACACATGTTGAAGAAGTCTAACACTTCAGAGACACCTGTGAGTATGGGTTTAGTGCTGACAGACCATAAACAGCAGATCCTGGTATGACTAAGGGACTCAACTTAGCTCAGCAAATTCTGTCCCCATTGCTTCCAGGGAAATTATCTGAATCTACATTACCTTTTCAACTCCCATTATTTGATCCATGAATGCATGCATTCATACAACATTATCAAATCTGTCTAAAAAAAAATAAAAGTCATAGTTACTGCAGTTGGCAAGTTCGTCCTCTCCATTTGCGCAGTCCTCGTCTCCATCACAGAGCCAGCTGCGTGGAATACAGTGGTGGCCGATCTCTGTCTCATTGGGGCACAGGAATGTATCATGGGAGCACACCGATTCTGAAAAAACAAAACGTAGAACAATATAAAACAAAATAGAACAATACAGAACAATGTTGACAATGACTCTTCCCCCATACAACAATGTTTGTTCTTTAACGCAGTACTCAGCAATATTCCAGCTATATGACTGTGGTCTGTAAATAATTGAGTCTGGATGAGACAATCCAGTGATTGACATGATGAACATCATTCCACAAAATTGGGATGTGATGACATGCATCAACCAAGTCAGTGAGCCGGACCACACATTCCTGTTTGTCGCCTCTTACAACAAGCACAGTCGCCTTTTTGCGGCATGGGTTGCTGAAGACCTATTCTAACCCTGATGCAACCATGTACGTCTTCTTTAAGTAAGAAGGGTCAGTTTCTGGATGCCATCATGGAACTGCCCACTCAACCATCATCAGCTATCGGTGTAGGCAGGTACACACAGTGAGTGAGTGAGTGAGTGAGTGAGTGAGTGAGTGAGTTACTCCAGCATGAAACTTAACCGATCCCAAGTATTTTACATAATCCCATCGTCATGCTACAAAATATTCTAAAATTTGTCAGAGCCAGTTTCAACATTTGGACAAATGTTTATTGTCAACGATGGTTGATGACTGAGGAGAAAAACACTATCCTGTCAAAAATGTCTGGACCAAGCAAACTAGTGACTGCAAATAATGCCCCTAGGATTGGTTGGAGCACGATGACAGCCAGTGACTGATCCCCTCCGATCCTGTTCAGTTAACTCACACCACCAGCAAGTGCCGAGGGAATTCTGACCTGGGGCCTGGTGGACCCTGAGTAATAAACTAGTGAGAGTTTGGTTTAACAATGCTCTGAACAGGACTCCAGTTATTCATGCAAGTCAGAAAAGTGAGGTGAGGTGAATTGGGGTTTAACGTTGCATACAAGATTATTGCGATTATATAGCGACGTGCATGCATGTGTGTGTGTCTGTGGCTGCTTGTATTTGTCCGGACTGATGTCGATGTTATTGTGCTAGCTCACTGCCGCAGTTTAACATGAATACCCCACTCAGACACAGTATGCTGACTCCGAGCCGACTAGTCCTTGTTTCATCCCCTTAATGCCTAGCGCCAAGCAGGATAACAACAAGTACTATCTTTTAACATCTTTTGGTATGATTGCACCCGGAGATTGAACCAATGACCTTCCGCTCTTCGCGCAGAGGCTCTACCACTAGACCACAGAGTCGGTTGAAAGCCCCAAGAGATGCAGTCACAGACGTTTCCCACTTTGGTGAAACCCAGAAGCACATGTACGATGCTGACAAACCTAGAAACATAATTGGAGTAAACCCGGATTCGAAACCACGATCACCGGTTTCTTGCATGCCCAAGGGGCGTAACTCTGCACAGTGCAAGGGTAGTGCCTAGCCTTGTCGAAGTAAGTCAGACCAAATTATTTTGATGAAAAATTCTTGCTGAATGACAGTATTGAAAATATTTCAATCATAACGTGAAACAGTAATCTCCGAAATGGCTCTGGCGCCATCTGCTGATAAAGGAAGATTGCATTTCTTCAGCCGTCTTAACATGACTGTTTGCACAGCTCTCCTCTACTGCTGGCAATCTATAATCCTTCACACAAGTAATGTTCAACCATGGAACCTGTGGCTCTAACAGAATCAGTTACTGTTTACCAGTTAGTTTTCAAACTCAAAGCCAAAAGGAAATGACAAAAAAATTCTACTTTTTCCACAATTTTCCCTAAATTGAAACTTGATTCTTTTTAATCATAAAAATGTTGCTCTCAATAGGGCACAGGCGTAAACCATTACATGACACCATGGCTCTTCCATTAAGTTTGGTAGATGGTGATGTAATTGACAGAAGCCATCCCAGTGTCCCTCGTGTGTGCAGCTGATGACACAGACCCTCCTGGATCACCGACATCCAGGACCGCATTCCACTCCGCAATCTTAGCACTACGACTGTCACAAGTCTAGGTTAAAGTATGGGAGTTACAATCACTTCATCACAAAGTTCAATGCGGGGAACGGGGCCCAGTTATGGATTTCATCACGTCTACTCAGCTTGAATGTATTCCCCCCGAGAGTTGGACCGAAGTCTTGTGAACATGTACATCTCTCAACTCCTTTAGGTGGACATTTACAAATCTGACACATCAATTATGTTTAGTGCAATTCCCTTTTTTGTCTTGTACAATAAGTTCCTGGGTTTTTTTTTCAGGTGAACAACAGACTTGGGTCTGTGATGTGTGCCACCAACAGGGCAGGACATAACCACCTTTTCGTCAGCACCTGAACACTGTTTGAAGGTGATCCATAAACACATGCCCATGATATAATCGGAACCCTACAGTGGACAACTTCAGATGAGGCTTCACATGATTATGGAAAAAGTGCATAATTGTCGCTTTTATTCATGTCATCATACAACTTTGCAGTCATTACTTTTAATGCAATCTTGACAATTCTCACACGTATTCATCATCCATAAAAGAATCGTTCCAGATGAAATGTGTCGAAAAAGCCCCATGAACTGCATAGAACTCCTGCAAGATACCGAGTACTAAAAAGCATCGTAGCTCGGTTTCAAAGAGATGGATAAAACTATGATAGGAAGGGAGATAACTGCCATGTAAGCAATCGCTTAAATTCACAGACGTACAAAATTAACATGTTAAAACAAGACTCAGCCAAGACAGGATGGAGTTTTGCCAAGCACTGCACTTAAAACTTTGATCAAATTGGACTAAAAACTTTCAATGCTCCACTAAGGAGAGTAAGTACAAAAAATACGGAAATTTTGGATGTAAGAGTTAACTATTACAAGATGTTAGTCTCCGATTAATCACCATAAATTGATTATCTTCAACAAATGTGTTGACTGGTTGATAGGGAAATTTCGACATCAGTCTCATTACACACTGACACCACCATCACTTTGTACACACCGACATCCGGCAACTGCTACCACCATCACTTTGTACACACCGACATTCCCGCACCTAATGCCACCATCACTTTGTACACACCGACATCCCCGCACCTAACACCACCATCACTTTGTACACACCGACATCCCCGCACCTAACACCACCATCACTTTGTACACACCGACATCCCCGCACCTAACACCACCATCACTTTGTTCACACCGACATCCCCGCACCTAACACCACCATCACTTTGTACACACCGACATCCCCACACCTAACATCACCATCACTTTGTACACACCGACATCCCCTCACTAACACCAACATCACTTTGTACACACCGACATCCCCTCACTAACACCAACATCACTTTGTACACACCGACATCCCCTCACTAACACCAACATCACTTTGTACACACCAACATTCCCGCACCTAACACCACCATCACTTTGTACACACCGACATCCCCGCACCTAACACCACCATCACTTTGTACACACCGACATCCCCGCATTAACACCAACATCACTTTGAACACACCGACATCCCTGATCCTGTTAGTTGCCTCTTAGGACAAGCAGAGTCGTCTTTTACGGCAAGCCTGGGTTGCTGAAGACGTATGCCTAATGCGAGAGGACAGGAATGGTGGTTACAAGCCAAGCATGATAACGCCTAAGTTATTCAACTCCACAAACTGCAGGTCCTGCCATCCAAGTGACACAACTCCACACGCTAGACCCACAGGTCACCCACATCAATGTAACTGTAGTTAACCATATGGCATCTAATATCTCAAATCCTTACTTGTATATATTGAAAAATTGTATACCTTGGGAAGAGAGAACACAGGCCATGAAGGGGAAGGGCAAACACACTACCAACTGGGCCACCCTACATCCACAAACAGATGTGCTTGATAAACATGTGGAACGTCTTATCTTGGCCCCAAATAATCAATACTTGTGAAACTGGTTGCGCCACCATTTGTTCCTCTTTTCCTTGGTGTAGATCACCATTGCTCCGTATTCCCCCCGACATACTTCACACAGGGGGATTATACAACTTCCCTGCTCCACTTCTATTCACTTCAAAATCAAGCATGTTGAATAATTCATCATATCACATGCCTTCACGATGGTTGACAAAATATCCCTGTGGTATCAAGAAATTGAATTTATTGGTTTCTCAAAACGTCAGCCAGACACCGGGACTAATCTTCAATTATACATTGAAAAGAAAATCTTGGCTTGATTCCATATGGAACAAATGCTGATTGGTGATGACATTCTTCAGCATTTTTGAAGAAAATCAAATAAATCTAAACGGTGAACGCAATAACTGGGCTACCTCAAGGGTCTGGTTAATCCATTTCAGGGAATATTTCTAGGCATGAGAATGGGTTTCTTTCTAAGTGGGGAATCAAATCCAGAGCTTTGGCATAACGAACCAATGCTCTTACCCCTAGGCTATCATCATATATTCTTATATTACGGACATATATTTTTTTTAACTGGTTTACAAGACCAACCGACAAAAAAAATCTGAGATTAGAAAGAAGAAAAACATTACTGCTGACACACTGATTTAGCTGACTCTTTTTACAAATAGGTGAAATGAAAAATACATGATATTTTATCACCACTGTTTGTAAGAAAGGGTGAATGTGTGTATAAAAAAACAAACTTTTTGCTTACACTCAATTATTTTCAGCATTCATACATTCATGATGGTGTTACCTATGAGTTTGGTTTACATTCATTAGTGCCTGTGAAGATCCGGGAGAATAGGTCTTCAGCAACCCATGCTTGCCGTAAAAGGTGACAACGCTTGTCTTAAGAGGCGACTAATGGGATCGGGTGTCAGGCTCGCTCACTTCGTTGATGCATGTCATCGTATCCCAATTGCGTAGATCGATGCTCATGATGTCAATCACTGCATTGTCTGGTCCAGACACGATTATTTACAGACCGCCGTCATATAGCTGGAATATTGCTGAGTGCGGTGTTAAACAACAAACAAACAAACAACATTCATTAGTAGCAGTACTAATCTGGAAGTTGAAAATTTATACACTTTTCCCC